ACTAGTCCTACTTCGACATAGTAGGTAACCTAATTATTATAAGGAAATATTAAGGTATAAACACGAATTACGCGCTAACTAAAACATAAACCGTAATCGCTTATCTTACTAACTTAGCGAGTATATAGGTGTGCTGGAGATAAAGCGGAGTAAAAGCATAGTAAAAGCATAGTAAAAGCATAGTAAAAGCATAGTAAAAGCATAGTAAAAGCATAGTAAAAGCATAGTAAAAGTGGAGTAAAAGCATAGTAAAAGCATAGTAAAAGCGGAGTAAAAGCTCGATAAAAGCTCGGCAAAGTTAGCGCAAAACCCGCTAGTATATCTAGGTACAGGTAGATATACTAGCAATTATACACACATTTTATAAAGGGTAGGGGAAGGTATATCTAGGGAGATTCTTAGGTAAGCCCATTTTTTTATTCTTTTTTCTAAAATACATAGGGTATACCCCTAAGGGTAGAAGGTTAGCTTATATTAGAGGCGTCCTAAGGGGAGTACCCAAAAACGAGCTAGTATACCTTAATAGACCCGCGCTTACCCTAGTCTAAACCTAGGGCACCTAGAGGGTTACCCTAGGGTTTAACTAGAGGAGACGTCCGATTCCTCTAGGTACGTAAGTCTCTTAGTAGCGACTAAGTACTAGGTAATGCGGCCGTCGGGATTACCCGAGTTTCTAACGTTAAAAGTTGCCTATACCTAAGTTAGATTAGGTAACACTAGGGTACAAGCTATATATACCTTAATAACCGAGCATATGCTAGGGTCGGAATAATAGGGAATACCTAGCTTAGGGCAAACCTTATACGAGACGCCGTTAGGTATACCTACTATCTAGCGAACCTACTATAAGGCAAGCTAGGATATACTAGTTAGTATCATAACATAAACAGGTATACTAGATACTTACGGAGGATATATAGTTAGGCTTTACGGGTTCGTTAACAGTAGGGGGGGGTACGAAGCGGGTAGGACTAAAGCTAGGCAAGGTACTAGAAGTAGGTCCGTAGTAGGTAGAAGGGGGTAAACCTAGTAAGGCGCTAGGGTTAAACGACGAGGCGAAAGGGTTATCTACGGGACCGGGGCGGGTTAACGGGACTATAGGGGTAAACCTAGCACTAGGGGGTAGAAGGCGAGAGGAACGCTTACTAAACTAGGGGGGTTTACTAATAGGGGTGTCGTCGGAATCGGATATAGCCTTAATATAGGTACGCTTACGCTTAGAACCCGATAGGGGTACCTTAAAAGGTATAGGTAAACTCGTATTACTATCGTTAACGTATAGACCTAGTCGAAGGGGTAAGAGGGCCTATACCTAATTAGCAAACGGGTAACTAATAGTATAAAGTAGGTATACTTACTTCCTTTCTAGGGTTCTTCTTTAGCTACTTAGGGTAACTAATCTATAGTGCCTTACACTACCGGGATACTAACTCGTAGTAACGGGTAGCCTCTAGGTACACCTCCGTTAGAAACAGATTATCTAGATAAGGAAGGGTATACTTACTATAGATCTCTTCGCGATCCTTTATAGGCTACTAACCCTTAGTAGGTTTAGGTACTAGGTTCTCCTATACTAGTTAGCTATAGGTAAACCTATATAGATCTAGGTATACCTATAGGGTAATGCTTTACTATATGCTTACGTAGCTTCTAGGGTTACGCGTATGCCTAGGGTATATTAGTAGTAACCTAAGGTATATAAAGGTAAACCCTTACGTTTCTACGGACGTAGCCTTAAACTAGGCATATCTTGTCCTCGCTATAGATATACTAAAAGCTATTCTAGGTATACCGGTTAGCTATGCAGGTTATTACGGAATACCTAGTATATACTATAGCGTTTATATAGGGTATATAGTAGGTAATCTCGTAGCAAGCGTAGAAGGCGCTAAACTCTAGGTAACCCTCGGTATTACGGTTACGCTTACTAGGCTTACTACTACTAGGTTCCTTAGGTTTAGGGGTATAACCGTTAGTAGGTTCGGACTTTATACTAGGTTTAGGTTTAATGACTAGGTTTTCTAGGCGGTTCTAATAGGTACGGCTAGGTATAACGAACGATTCGTAGAGGAAGATAATATTGTCGTCGTTAGATTCGTTAGGGATTACCTAACGTCGGTCCTTAGGTATACTAGTTAGGGAGGCGGTACCCTTAGGTACAGCTAGATACGAAGTGTTAGTTACACGGATAGACTCCTTAGGTATACCGGTTAGGGAGGCGGTACCCTTAGGTACGGCTAGATACGAAGTGTTAGTTACGTAGATAGACTCCTTAGGTATACTAGTTAGGGGGACAGTACCCTTAGGTACTACCTTACGGGCTAAGGGTTTACTAGGGGTAGCCTACAGTCTACGTAGGTTCTCTGCGCTAGGAAGGGTACGGAATGCGGATTTAGGGTAGGTTTTGGTACTAGGTGTACCCTACTTACCCTATTAGTGCTTAGGGGGTTTAGGGCTAGGTCTAAGAGGGTTACTAGTAGGTCTAGGAGGGTTACTAGCAGGTTCGGGAGGGTTACTAGCGGGTCTAGGAGGGTTACTAGCGGGTCTAGGAGGGTTACTAGCGGGCTTAGGTAGGGGGGCTAAGGGACTAGCGGTATAGTAAGGAGTACTATAGGACTCCTCTATAACTACGGTAGGTATATATGTTAGTTTACTTAGGTTTACTTACTATAGCTACTAAGGTATTAGTTAGGTACGTTAAGTTTATGTCTTTAAACCTAGGGTAATCCTTATAATACCCCTACGCTAGTAAGTCTAAAGCATAGGCAATACCTAAAGGATATCTAAACGACTGTCCTATAGTATAGGGGTTTACCCTAGAATACTCTTAGTCGGCGGTTTTAAAAACTACTAGGGTATACCTAGAAAAACCGACACTATATCCTATAGGTACGTTAAGTTACGTAGAGGATATAGCATTTACCTAAAGTAAGTAAAGGAGTACCGCTATGTTAAATTAGAAGTAATCCTTTACTTATAAAGTAAAGAAATAAGTGAAAAAATAGGTGTATGCCTTATTAAAGGATCTTTCTATAGGTGCGAGCGCTATAGCGATAGTGTATACCTAGTAAAGGGATCTTTTAAGGTAGAGAGAGAGCGTAGGGTATCGAAAGAAAGGCTAGAGGTAAGAAGGTTAAGTAAGATCTTCGTCGAGGGTTACGCTAAGTCTAGATAGAGAGATCTTTACTATTTCGAGGTACGTAATAGTATACGTAGGTGCGCGTAGGTGCGCGCGTAATAGCTATTAAGCGTGCATATACACTAGAGGTATATATAAGAAGAGAAGGCATAGGAAGGGAGGGTATACTTATAAATTTAATAGTTATAGTAGAAGAAGAAGAGGAGAGAGGAAGCTCGAGGATTTGTTTACTATATAGGGAGTAGGGATTTAAGGTTTGCGCGTCTTAGTATTGCAACGCCGCGTCACTTTACTATTTATGCAAAATCAGGTGCACGGACAATTTACCCCTCGCTTCTAGCTTAGCTCCCTTCACTTCTAGCTTAACTTTTACGGCGTTTCGGCGGTTCTACCCTCCGTTACCGCACTTCCAGCTTAGCTATATGCTCTCTTTTCCTTTCTCTTATCATGCTTTTAAGTATAAAAGTTTACTGCCATAATTTACTGCAGGGCGACAGAGCGGCTCATGATTGCCTGTTAAAATTGTCGCACGCTGTGGCTGAGATTCTGCCAAAGACACCAGCGTTTCATTTCTTCCAACATCGCAACGGCTTGCTTGCTTGATCCGCGAACGGAGTTACACGGAGCTGAACCATTACTCGAGTGCATGCTTATTCTGGACAGCTGGAGTGTCACTACTATGCCGACAGAGGTCAGATGGTCTTCCAGATCATCTCGACGGCTCAGCCTGTAGACAAAACTGGAAACGCCATGCTAACGTTATTCCGTGCGTACACCACTAATGACCTGTCAACCGGCATTTACTCTTCGCAAGAGATACCGACTTTAGAGTTGACTAACTACCGTTTGAGTTCCTTGTATGATGCTTGTGGGAATGCAGGTTGGCAAAACGTAGATTTCACGGCTAGGCACATTGACTGGGGTCCCTCGTGGCAATAGAAGTCAGCTCCGGTCCCCACGGGTCTTTCGACCGACCTTTTCGCGGTGGTCTGGTTGGTTGTGATGAAATTCAGTACTGCTATTGTGAGTTTGTTGATTGGATCTTTCTTCTATCACGTCTTTCACAGCTGACCATGAATTCAAGATAGCTCAAGTGGTTTTACTCACATTGACATTGTCAATCACTCTTTTGAGATGTTTTGTTCGTCTGAGACTTGAAGCACGCGCTCTTACCTTGTCCGATTACTTGGTATGGGCGGGATATGTCTTCACTTTGGCGTTTGTGATATGTCAAGGTATAGCGCTCAACGCTGCACGAACACATCCACTCGTTGATGCAACCTACACCGACTCTGTCGTATATCTCAAGGCCGTCTACGCATCATGCTTCTTCTTCGACTTTGGCTTGTTCTTGCCGAAAGCCTCCATCACGGCCTTCTACTGGTGGCTCATCCCGAATGTCTTCCGAAACATGAGACTTTTGCTCTGGGTTACCACCACATACCTGGTTCTTGCAGCGGTCGGTGCTGTCTTTGTAGACATCTTCATCTGTTATCCAGTCGAGTACAATTGGTCTCTTGATTACGAGAAGCAAGGACAATCAATCTGGAACTCGTGGACAGACTTTTGGATCAACTGGACTCTTAACTTTTCGGCTGATGTGTTGCGTATGACTACATCAAACCAGTTGATGACCGAAAACATGCTAACCATCTGGTAGTCTTCTTGATCCCTTTCTTCATCATGAAGTCACTTCAGCTGCGCCAAAGACAGAAATTCGGACTGATTGGGGTGTTTTCTCTTGGCCTTATCACCATGGCTATCAGCTTCGGCCGCTTCATGATCTATTCAGTCTCGAATTACGACCTTGGCGACAACGATGGAGGTATGTATTGTCCTGGTTCTCCATCTTCCTACATACAAGCCGCTGACTATAGACCACAGCCGTCTTGTGTACAGCAGAAATGTGCACATCTCTCATCGTTGCATCCCTTCCCGGCCTAAAAGTTCTCATCACCCGCACAGTAGCCAATCATCATTCCCGATCCACTTCAGGCTACAATAAATCCTCCGAGAATCCATCTCAACCCACCAGCCGCATTGCAAAGATGTCTGCTCGCCTCGCTCGTCCACGAACGACTTCTGTGGATGATTCGGAATTTGAATTGGTCACGGTGAATCCGACGGACAAGCAGAACAATGGCAAATTGGTCACACCAGCGCGGAGTATGGATTTTGAAGGAGATCAGATTGTGGTCAAACAGGACTTTACGGTCGAGCTTGGAGGGAACGGGAAGAATTATAACAACACTACGAGTCTACCGTTTGTATAATCCGTAATACTGCTTCGAAAGCATCCATCAGTTATGCATGACCTGAAGTACCTAATCCGATTAGCCAAAATCCAATGTTCTAACCAGAGCTGCTCGTTTCTCCACGGATTTTCAGGTTGACGGGAATTGATGACAGAGCCGGCCTATCGCAATTCGCTGTACTTCTAGAGCGAGAAGCATGACAGACTTGGGGATAAGGCATGCCTATTTTATGCAACAACAAAGAATCATGCATAACTATAAGGTTCAGAGCTAGCCTTGGAACAGCTGGACGCGGAGCTATCCGCTGGGACTCGGACGGTCTAGAACTACGCGATCTTCGAGCCTTCTCATTCTGCTTTACTCTCTCTTCCATTCCGCGGGTTGTTGACGTGTAATTGGTAGACGTCAAGCTCTTGTTATTCAATTCTTCCGAGAGCTTGATGCAGGGAGCACAATAGTGCAGCCAATGTTTATCGACGACTAGTCAGCAGCTTGGCAAACATGAACGCATCGCGGGTGCCTCCGCCCGGCGAGCTCGTTGCGACAACACTGCTAGAGTATCTCCAGCATGACAACCGGCCAACTTTCATCATCGATTTGGCAGATGCCAATAATATCAATAAGGATCTGGCGTTCTCGTTCTACAACGAAGCCTTCTCCTCATGCCGGACCTATGTCGCACTCACGACAATACACGCTGCGAAGGAGAGCGACAGTTTACTAAATGCATTTCACTCCTGGATCGTTCAGCGTGGGGACGAGCTCTACGGTGACCGGCATTTTCAGGACGTATCATGGTCGGCGACGACTTTACAAAAAAGATGGCGAATCATCAGCGGGACGCCCATTGTCGCATCCAGCCTGAACGCATGCTCGATCGACCATCATATCTCGGACAGTGCTTCATTGTATAACTACAGAAAGGCGACCAAAGAAACTCTGCCGTTGGTTCCAATGGCGCCCTCGCCATACCAGCGTCTAGTCGACGAGTTCGATTGGGGAAGCTCAACATTAGGTCCTATCGCTTCCTGGCCCAAAGCTTTGAAAGAGATTGCCAAATCTGTGATTTGCAACTCGAAGCCGGTAGGAGTATTCTGGGGCCCCGAAAGGATCGTGATCTACAACGCGCCATATGCAGAACTCATTCCATCCTTCCATCCACAACAATTTGGACGCTCGATGAAAACCGACTTTCCGTATTGGGACACTTACGAGCTGGTATGCCAGGAAGTAGAGACTACAATGAAAACCGTGAGCTATGCTGCTCAACCAGGACCTCTAATGGAACGCAATGGCTCACTCCACGAGACGTATTTCTCCTACGATTATATTCCTCTCTTCGATGACGGTGGAAAAGTACAAGGCATATATTATCAAGTCACTGAAGTCACAGGAGAGGTACTATCCCGATCGAGGATGACGAGCTTGCTGCGACTGAGCAGTGTTGCCTCCCGAGCTACGGACCAGAAGACTCTATGGAAAAACGTACTTCATGTTCTCGAAGACGGCAAGGAAGATACTCCCATGATATCCATTCACACTGTTGGGGAACAGATGGCCTCGATATCGAGTCAAGTGCATGGCGATCAGGCTGCAACCACCGGAGAATGGCTTTGTCAGGGATCAGTTGGCTGGCCGGAAAGCAATCTTGCAACTAGCAACGTATTGAATCTTACCTCTGCACGCGGGTATGCACTCCTTGTCCAAAAAAGTCTGGAGAGTCTCGAACCGGTCGTGCTCAGGAGCAGTGATGGGGGCCAAGTCGCAGCCTTGCTCGAAGGTTGCCAGTACAAAGGAGTTGCTTGCACCAGCCTTGTCATTTGCCCGCTACAGCTATCTTCCGGTATTGCCGTCGGCTCTTTGGGCATCGTTCTGAACCCAGTCCGACCGTATGACGACGATTACAAGCATTTTGTGCGGGTAATGGCCCGACAAATTGAGGATGCCCTGAAATTAGCCGTCTTTCTCGAAGCACAAGAGGAGTTGTTGAAACAAACAATTCTCCAAGCACAAGTCGAACAGCATAGCTTGTCCAGACAGCTTGAGCGGAGTATTCAAAAGGCTCGCGAGAGTGATCTCCGGTTCTTCAATTTTGCCAAGCAAGCCCCAGTAGGTCATCTCACTTTCCTGTTCTGATGTTTGACTTATCTAACGTGCAGAATAGGTTGGAATTTACGTCTTGAATCCTGATGGTAGCATCCAATTTGCGAATGATGCTTGGCTCAAGCTCATTGGCATATCCAAAGAAGCAGTGGAAAATAATAGCCTGAAACCATGGTTAGCGACGGTTCATCCTGATGATTTGCAGAATGTCCACCAACAATGGCAGTCACTGAAGGAGGGAATCTCATCAGCATTGCATGAGTGGCGAGTGTTGCGTCGAAGTGAGAGTAACAACAGCCAGCCGGATGTTGCATATCTACGATCTGCCGCATATGCCGAAGTCAATGGAGATGGAAGTTTGAAGGCTGTGACTGGTATAACCATAGACTACTCTATTGAAGTAGCCCATTTACGAGAAACGAACGCCAAAATGGAAGCTGCGTTGGAGGCCAAGCGGGCACAAGAGAATTTTATGGGTAAGCTATCTCGTGTGCTTTGGCAGTATCGCGGGTTCTTCGGTACAATCGAGAAGCTGACAGCTGGACAGACATGGTCTCACACGAGATGCGAAATCCTCTACATGCCATTATTCAATGTGCGGAGGAGGCCGAAGATTTGCTCAATCAACTGCAAAAAGCTCACAAAGCTGCATCACCTCCATCCATAATCACACAGAAGTGTTCCGCAGCGATAGACACTATATTGTATTGCGGTGGCCACCAGAAGCAATTAATCGACGACGTTCTTACCATGTCCAAGCTCGACTCGAATCTTCTCACCATATGTCCGGTTCCAGCATGTCCTGGCAGCCTGATCCGGCAGGTACTGAAGATGTTCGAAAGCAGCATGCGTGCCTCTGGTATCGAAAGCTTCGTGCAGCTTGAAAATTCGCACCTACTCAAAGACACACAAAGGACTGTGTCTATAGATCCTGGACGGACTCTGCAGATTCTGATCAATCTTGTTGGGAATGCAGTAAAGTTCTTGGCGGATAGGGAGAAGAAGGAGTTGCATATTTCACTAGCAGCCTCCGTTACGCAGTCCAAACTGCCAGGAATCAGGTACGCGCCGTCAAGTCCGGAATCCAACAATTCAGTCGGCACATTTCCTGAATTCCCCAAGGAAGAAGAGGTATATGTACACTTTTCAGTAAAGGACACTGGTCCAGGTCTATCTGAAGAACAGATGGACGCGTTGTTCACTCGATTCCGACAGTCGTCACCCCGAACTCATGCCCAGTACGGAGGCTCAGGATTGGGGCTCTTCATTTCACGCCAGCTGACCGAGCTCCACGGAGGTCACATTGGCGTCGCCTCCAAACTCGACCAAGGCAGCACATTTTCCTTCTCCCTGAAAGGCCACAAACTCGCTCCGGTAGCCACAGATCCTAATTTGAACAATTTAACACCCAGCAAAACTCTGCAGATGTCAAATTCTGAGACGAAGGCTTCCCCAGAGACCCAGCCTGAAAGACCCGAGGTCTCCCTTGTTGGCCGTGGTGTGTTGATCGTGGAAGACAACATCATCAACCAACAATTGCTGGCGCGCCAACTACGCAAGCACGGCATGGAAGTCACATGCGCCAACCACGGCGAAGAAGCCCTCTCAATTCTCAAAAGCTCAACATGGTGGAACGGCACATCCGATGACCACAGCCATGAATCTAGAAGGCAGTTTTCTATCATCCTCTGTGACCTGGAGATGCCCGTCATGGATGGCAAAACTTGCGTGCGTCATATACGAGAATGGCAAAAGAGTGGACTGTTACACTCGCATATACCTGTTTTCGCGGTGACGGGCAATGCTCGAGCGTTCCTACAGAATGCACTTGAATGGGGATTTAATGATGTGGTTACGAAACCATTCGGGATGAAAACTCTTCTGCCTTTGATACAGAGTTATATTGAGACTGATCGTACAGAGATTCACGAGGGTAATGATGTATAGATGATGATATAGAGCTTGAGTTGATTACGATATATTTGATGAACAAACAGGTACAGCTCAACAGTTGTAAGCAGACGGTGATAATGGCCCCACGCTGTTGTGAGATGTAAGTGATGGATAGTCCTGCTCACCAGCAGAGCCGCGTGAACCGCGATGTTGTGCAATCTCGAGCACTAACATACCGTAGGCAGGACCAGGTCCATAGAAGTCGTGACAAGGAACATTCTGTGGAATTGATGACACAAGAGAAAGAAGTCACGAGACTCCCCAACGCGCAAAGAGCTGTACTCGAAGGCCTTCGCTCACAGGAGCAACAACTCCAAGTCGTCAAAACACGAGCCGAAGACACTGGCGACATCGACGACATAGAAAAAGCTGAAGATGATCTCCGAGATGTCTCTCGAGCTCGCATAGCCATAAGCCAATTCGCGACCGTCACAGGACATTGGCAAAGTCGTTATCTCTGATCTCGGATACGGTGCTGTAGGTATATGCAATGTCGAAGAGATAGATACTGTCAAGCAAAAGATAGGCGACGTGAGCGTCGGCAGCGGAGGCACAGGATTCATCGGCATTCATGGAAATGTCGACCACAATGCTGCTCTGGCCGGTCGCTGGATTTCCGGAAACGAGTCATAGGTTGCAGAGATTGACTGGGCGAAAGCGACAAGATTGTATCCATCGTGTTGACGAAGTCGGAGGAAACCATTTGAGAGAGAGGCCTTTTTCAGCGTGTGATCATCGGTCGGAGATTGGATGCTTGAAGGTTTGCGACCGCAATCTCAGTGACAGAGGAGGGGCCTGTCATTGTAGCCGATCTGTTGCGATGTACGAGCGAGTGGTGTTTGTTGTAGAGAAGGAGGTTCCTTTCTCGAGTCGCACTTGCGTGTCTTCGTGTCATTTGCCAAGCCTTCGGCCCCGCTCGAGGGTGCCTTTCTTCACCAGCTTTCTCCCCTCGTTCTTCTTTCCATTGAATCTTACATCTGACATATGTTTCTCATTGCGACGGAATATGTAGTTCGTTCGAATGACTTCCTTTGAAAAAGAATGCCTGTTGAAGTTGCATTGATGACACAGTGACTTTTGCCGGCTTCAATTACCGCGCAAGGCGTCTGTCAAAGGGCGGAGCAGCATGAATATCTTTGTATTGCAAGGGCGAAGCTACGGATCTGGACGAAAATATTTGTACTCATGAAAGCTACAGAGCTATCTTCTACCTCATCAGAGACACGTCCGAATCATCTGCCTTTTCAGCAATAAACTCCCGGCCACAAAGCATCAGTGCTCCGGCCGAGCTTCGCGCACTCATTACGGTTGAGGACCATAAACACGTCTCTCGAGATTGCCGATAGGAACTTTGAGCATAGCTTCCCGGAGAATTTCAAAGTACTTGGTACAGGCTTCCGACTTGATACAGCCATGGTCCATCCATACCTTGTCCTTGGGCTGCGGGATGAACTTGACCCTGGGGTATTCGACCGAAGCAGCAGATGATGGGCTGATCTTCACCAGAGCCATGCTGGTTTCGAGCTCTGCCTTAGGCTCAGAGTCATCAGGCTCAGAGACAGTAGCAACGGCATCCTTTGCCTTGATCTTTTCGGCGGCTCTCTTGCGCTGGTTGCGTTTCTTGTTCTTCGTCTTCTTGCGCTCGGCTTCTGCAGACGACAAGGGCGTCTGCTCGGAGGCAACGAGTTGCTGTTCAGGCGACTTGGACTTCTGCTTAGGCGACTGGGGCTTCTGTTCGGGTCTGACCTTCTGACTGGCTGGTTTCGACGGACGAGTGCTCGGCGGCATGGCGTCGATATCGGGGTCGAAGTCTTCAAGGCTCTCCATATCGTGGTGGCGGGCGAGAGCTTCGAAGTATCCGTCAAACAGGAAGTCCAGTTGATGACATCCTTCAACCTCGACAAAGCCATTGTACCTCTGAATCAATGTTAGCAGAAGGTCTGACCTCCACCTTAGGACACAAGACTTGCCAGCTCCATAGCTCTCATCTCCAGGACGTGTTTGAGATCTGGATGGTCGAAGGCACGCTCAGGATACATCTTGACGATGGCATATCTGTAGGCCAGACCCAGTTCTTTCAGATTCTCTCTTGCCTGGCGCTCGTTCTGAATCTGGAGAGTGCGCAGACCAGAAGGAGGTGCAGATCTCTTCTGCTTTCCAGTGAGCTCGTCGAGGATGTGGTGGCGGATCTTGTCGTCAACACGGGCTTCGGCATTCTTGCAGCAGAGGGCTGCCTTGCCGCGCACATGAAGGTATGATTGGGCTGCCTCAAGGCGGAGTTTCTACCTCGGAGTCAGTACTTGTCGCAACCTTGAACCACCATGATCAGCATACCTCAGCTTCTTCCCAGCTCGGGACCAGCAGGCCGAGGATGGCGGTGAGAGCTGTGCGATGCTCTTCGTCCAAGGTGGCATTGTCGGCGCACATCAGGACAAGCCGGATCTTGCGTGCAGCGCGTCGAAGTCGAATCTTGTCACCAGCTGCACAGGCTTCCATGATGTCGTACACATTTCTGAAGCCCTCGATACCACTTGAAGCCATGTTGGTGTTGCTGGAGAAGATTCGCTATGAGCTCAAATGATTTTGACGGTGTGGAGGGAAGGGAAACGAGAGCAGAGTGCAAACGCGCAAACCGTGAAATCTACAAACGCCGAGCAGGATCGATCTGGAAGCTACTTTCACGGAAACTCAAAACACGGGAACGCACAACTCAGTGCAACGAACGAATAATTGGACCAATCTGTTGCAACATCTTTGTGCAATGCGACAAGGTATCTTTTCCGACCAAAACGAGAGTGTGTGTTATCTTACTATCTAGCTGCGTCTTTCCGGCAATTACGACATACCCCCAGATCTCTCCAATGCTTCGGATCCAAACGATTAGGCATGAGGCTTTCACATCTCAAACGCGACCGCTGGGAAACTTGCGGGTTGTAGGGATAGGTACAGCGCCTGGCTTGAGCACAAAGCGACCCTTGTTCTGACCAGTAGACACCCAACGAAGAGCGCCAGGAGGCATCATACACAACCACTCAGGAATACCGAAGTCAAAAATGACCAAAGCCGGGAATTGCTCAAGATCAGGCAGCGGATCCATCTCGATCTCAGGTAGCGACGTGTCGGTGCTACCTCTGCCGTCGAAAATCCAAATGTCGAGGTCGACAGGCTTGAAGCGTAGAGGCATGGTGTCGATGTCGTAGGGAAGAGTGCCATCGGCGGAGAAGCGACTGAGCTGAGCGGCGGTCCATTTGAAGGTCTTGAAGAGACGGAGGTGGCCGCGAGGGTTGGGTTGTGGCAGCCTGAGGTAGATGCCTTCCTTGCTCTTTGCGAATTGTTCGTTCAAGGTCTTGATGACCTCGGTACGGTAGGCAGGCTCGACGGGAGGAGTGACGGGAGACTGGACAAGGTAAGTGATCTGCCAACAGACTTCTCGGTCATGAGGAAGTATCTTACGCCGGCGCCATTGGCATTGGTAGTGTTGGAGGTAGACATGGTGATTTGGTGAGTTGAGTTCTGCAGATGCTGAATTGCGAAAGTGATAGGAAACCAAGAGTCCAGAGCAAAGAAATAGAAGGAAGTGATTTGCGAGGAATATCCAGGACGATACACACTCCAGGGTCTACGCAAGCGGTCTGCATCGGAGTGCAGCTTTCCTATCGCATGAAACGTGTCTCACGACTGCAAATTCCCGCACTGCTGCCTGCTTGCTTGCTCACTCCGAGGCTTGCTCTGATCGCTGTCACTGCCGAGCACCAATGAACAACCGATTGATATGCAGTAATATCAAGTGTCGGCAGGCCAACTAAATATTCAGCGACCGAAAGATACTGCAGAAAAGGTATGGCACCAGATCGTCCAATTGACTGGTCATGTTTTGTCTCCATGAGTAACAGTCCAAGCTGCTGAACTGAGTTAATGCAGCAAGCCGGAGATGATCCACGCTCGTGCAACCGGGTATTTCACGTCAAGCATCTCCACAATTCTGACAGGTCAAAATTGACCAGTAACCTCGAGACCACACGTATTCATTCGAAACAAAAAACATGCAAGACCATAAAACTGGTATCGATTATGCGTTACTAGATGCCTCTAACACTATACTCGTGCACATCTTGATCGTGTTTGTCCAAGCTCCACGTTCAGATAACACCAGGCATACCTCTCTTGACACCAGGCTCTCCAAGTCCAGGAACAACCATAGGTGCACTCTTCTCAGTGCTAGTTCTGAACACAGGGAAGAATTTGGCAATGCCGCTCTTGGGTCCATATGCCTCTTCGATCAGGTATACAGCGACTCTCCACCATGCGAGCAGGGCTGCAAGCATCCAGAAGTATGCGGCGACTTTGATACCGATGTTAACGCCGTTTCCGTAGGCGAAAAGGCAGCAGGCTATCGTGGTACCGATGGCGAGGCTGAAGAGGAGGGTTGCGAGGATAACGTCACGGGCGGTCGCTGCGATTGCCTGGAATTATGAAGTCAGCATCTGTGCTAAGGGAAGAGGAGGAAAACCACTTACTCCAACCCAGGTGAATGCAGCCAGGACCACAAACCAAGATGCCAATTCAGGAAGATGCGCGTGGATATCTCCAGCAGGCAGCGCTCCAGTCGTATTCAACAAAAACATCAACCCCTCACTCATCCAAAAAGCACCCCACCTGTGTCGTTCACATCAGCACCTATCCTCTGCTTTTCCTCTCTTCATCCTCCACACACTTACATAGTATTAATCACACTGACCAAAGTATCCCTAGCATGGAACCCATATAATCCCGCAATAAACTGACTCAACCCTCCCCAAAAGGCCACGAATGGGAAGAATATGGTAGGCGAGGTTTCACTGCCCCACCATCCTGCTATCCAAGATGCTGTTATCCAGGTACTGCCGGCGAAACCGGCGAGACCTAGTGCTGCTGGGGGAGCGATTGGTTGGAGGACGATGCGGACTTCGGGTTCGCGGTTTATGAAGGAGTCCACTTTTTGGACGTCGTGGGAATTCAAAGCCATGACGGTATCTTGTGTGGTGATTTGTTGTTCCAGCTGATATTTGGTGGAACAGTGGGTGAATCGGAATAGGTGTGTGGTCGGGAAAGTCGCAAGAAAGATGCGGAACAAAAGGTAAGCAAGGGAAGACCAATCAATTATCATTTCTACAATACTTATCACGGCAACACGGATGTCAATTTTCCATTTCCTCCCACCATCAAGCATCATAATCAAGATGCTTGTTTCCTTTTTGCATCCCGCGGATCCCCAGAAAATCTGGGGGATGAGATGGTGAAGTTTCCAGATGCGGTAGTCGCAAATGCCGATCTCTGGGGCTCTGTGACCTCAGCGTTAGGTCATCGAATCCATTATCGATTTTTGTTGATTATCTTTGTCGCCGATGACTTCTTTTTGCGTGTCGGACACCCTGATGATGGGAAGGAGGTGACTTTGAGATGTGGAGATAGCTTGATGAGCATGACGTTGTGGAGAGCATTGTTTTGGAGACGGAGAGGCATCCCGATGACAGATAGGAGAGAACTGCGGAGGTGTTGAATAATTTCGTTTTGATTCTGACTTGATTTCTTTTCTTTCACATTATAAACCTGCTCGCCGTAGACACGGTGGGAGCAATATAACATTGGCTGATATATTCCACGGACTAGATGTCTTGACCTGCCTGTCCATCAACAACCACACCAGTAGTCTCATCAACCCAAGTACCAGGGCATGACAAAGCCGTACACTCATCATCAGAGGCTGTGTCCTGTCTCTTGACCATCTCTCCAAGTCTGTCCTCTCTACGCCTGAACATACGTCTAGTAGATGATGCATTAGCACAAACAGTGCTCAAAGGCATACAAACACCCTTGTCAGAAGAGCTCGAGCCATTGTTATTGCAGCAGGCTCCGAAAACACAAACACCTGTGTTGCTACCATTGTTGCAGTCTGAAGTGGTATCGCAAAGCTGGGTGCACTTGACCATCTCGAAACAGACATTTCCGCCAGATTTGAGGTGGCCACATGCGCATTGGCCTGTCGAGTCTTTGCTGGACGTTGGGCAGGCGAATGTTTTGAAGCTTCCACAAGTGGCACCGTTGCTACAGCCGTAAGGGTCAGCTGTTGCGGTTGCTTTGGCCGTGCTGGTGACTGTGATAACTGTGGTTGAACCACTTGCGGTGATGATGCTGGTTGCGAAAGAAGTGGATGCTGTAGATGTGACTGTGGTGAGGACGGAAGTAGTTGCTGAAGACGCTTGCAGACGGCAAGCCGATGAGACGATGGAAGCGGCGAATGAGGTCAGCGCAGCTGGTATTTGCAAATCGCGCTTCTTGGGGGTGATGGTGCTCGTGGAGACGAAGGAAGTAACGACTATGGTGCTAGTCAAGGAGCTCACTGCAGGAGTGGTAGTCGATCGAATAGTGCTTGCGGGACTGAACACAACCGTAGCCGTTGAAGTGGGTGCATTGAAGCCCAATAGAGTAGAACAGAAAGGCTGAAGGGTAGAGGAGCCGATGATTCTCGAAGCTGAAGCTACTGCACAAGGGACAGCGGGACCACCAGCGTTAGTGGCATTGGTGAAGGTGTAAGAGTAGCCATAAGTGTATGTGATACCACCAATGACAACACTCGAGCTGGTAACGGCAGACGATGGGAAGCTTTGCTGGTAAAGAGCACAGTATTGTCCAGCATCCTTTCCGTTGCCCTTCAGAACGTAGGTGTTGAAGAATTGGCAGGTCTGAGCTACACCTGTGGCAGGAGTGTTGGCATTGTAAGCTGAGCATGCAGCTGCGCAGCGTCCAGCGTCGAAGGGACCTGTTGTCCAGAGCATACTGGACAAAGAGTTGTTATAACCAGCACAGTCAGTAGCAGGTGCATTGACCACGGAGTTTCCAAGATAGTTCGGTGCGGTGTAGCCAATAGGTGTATCAATCGAGCGGTTCACGTAGCCATTGCTGCCTGCGATGACAACATGGAACTGATTGCGGTATTGTCCATTGTTGAGAGCATTACTCTGTGTCACCGGCCCGCCCCAATACACGCATTTTATCTGCGAATACGAGGTAGGGTTGGAACAAGAGGAATCGTTGGGATCAACTGAAGTTGTGTTAGAAAAAAGTTGAGACGAAAAGGAGGTAAATGAACTTACCAGAAGGGTCTCTCTCGAAGTAGATATTGATAGCTTGACATCCATTGACCTTGTCGCAGCGGCTAGCACATGCGGACGGGTCATAGGAGCCCATCAAGCTGAATCCAAGGTATCCAAGTGCGTTGTTCGATGCCTGAAGGTTGGTGAAAGACACGGAGTATCCTGTGGGAGCCGAGGCACCTGTAGCAGCACTCGAGTAGTACGAGTCGGCCAAGAAGGCAGTGTCGGTGTCAGGAGAAGACGTGTGAGAGATACCAGTGGGTTGAGCAACACACAAACTGGCAGCGAGGGTAGGCATGTTGACCAGAGCTCCTCCATTGACACCGCTGTTTGCCTTGGCAGTAGCACCTCTTCTCTTGAGGTAACAAGTGCCAGATCCAGAGCCTCCTGTGAAGGAGAAGCTAACGCAACCTGGATAGCCATCACATTGAATGTAGCAGTCGGCGAAGGAGGAACCTGAGACTGCAGCAAGGTCATATCCACTGTAGTCTACGCCACAGTCAATAGTATATTGAATGCCCTTAGGCGAGGTGTAGTTGCCGCCTTGTGCCTTGAGGGCTGCACAAGACGTAGTGGTATCGCGTCTTGAGATATCGGTTGGTTGAGCATCGTTCACATCGGCTGCGACCTCTGCAGACACCGATGCTGCAGCAGCTGCTGCGTCATAAGCAATGGTTGAGGCGATGACAGTCGCCGAAGGGAGAGCATAGTCGAAGCTGGTTGAGTAGACGACAGGAATGTCTGCCGTAGGAATAGGGTCGGCCTGGGCGATGGCATCGGAATCAAGGTTCTGAGCATAAGTATAAGCCGCATAGGCAGCGACCAGGAAGGCAGAACGCATCTTGCTTTCGGGTCTGTGATACCGAGTAGAAGATCCAGATATGGTGATGATGAACAACGTTACAAGAGTGATGCCAGACGTTTCTTGTATCTCTTCTCGGGCTCTTTCTTACCATACCTCCGAAGCATTCTCGATCACAGTAGAGCGCCTCTTCCAATAGTTCAGCTCCACAACTTCGAGCCTTTGACCAGGGTATGCGAAGTTTGCCATACCGAAAAGCTCAACAAGAGAGGTCTGCACTTCATGATCCATTCTTCTGTGACGTGAAGATCTAAAGGTAGCGTACCGGACATGCATCCTAAGAATCCAAGTTTGTCGTCGCCAAGTCCGGAATAGAAGCCACATAGAAGAGATCTTCCAATGATCACTCTTCGGGATGACCTCGAGCATGCAGGAACAGCTGTCTTGGCTATGTTCTTTGCTGCAAGTGCGGCTGGAGTTCAGGGTCGAGACTGCGATGACATTCTCTCGGCAGGGCCAAGCCAGATCGCAGAACCAAATAAGCTACCGAGATCCCTTCGAATCGCCAGAAACAGAGATCGGACGCATTGCTCTAACTGAGTTTGTACAATGCGAGAACACCGTCCGGCTCTGGCTACAAGGGAGTCGAATAGCAGATTGAGAAAGCAGAAGGCACGAATGGTGGCGAAGCATGGGATTTGCAAAGAAGTTCGGCGGAGCGAGCCGCCGGGAGTGACAAAGCCGGCGTGTTTACATCTGTTGACATCGCGATGGCAACGAGAGCCCGGTCCCGGAGAATTCCACTGCCGCTTTCCTCAACCTTAAGAACACACCAGCATTTTGCTTGGACCAAAGTATTCTTATAGTTGCATCTCTTCGGTCTTCCTGTTTCACCTCGCAATCTCCTCCGAAAGAATCAATAAGTTGTAAAAGACTACAATGCCCCATACACTGAGGTTTGTTGGGTACGGCGCTCCTTGGAGACCCCTCCAACATGGAAAATAATCGTGCCTTTTGACAGCTCTATATGAGGACCAAACCCCACCACGTCTAGACAAGAGCCCAACAACAATCTCAAGCATCGATATCAGTATCAATTTCAAAAGCTCAAGACTCAGAAAAAATACCTCTATGCCAGACGTCCATGTAGGGCATTGCTCCATGTATAAAGCGATGAGATGACAGCCAGTTCGCTCGATGCTATTGACTCATTGATATTGACGCTCGAGTCGGTACTATGTGGTTGCACAAATGCACGAAGGTAGACAGAATCCAACATTAGGATGTCTTTTCTTTGTTGTCATCAGGGTAACAATTCGCCTTTGTTGCTTCTTTATCCCACATTTCGCTTTGTTTCTTCGCCGCATCCGGCTGCCCACTCAACCACTGAAGGACCATCGGACCAAATATTCCCGAGAGGTACTTTGAAAGTCTTCTAATACCTTCCTAAGTCCTCGCAGAAGTAGTCGCACAAGATGATGTCCTCCATTTTGAAACTTTTCGCTGGAGGGCCCACCGGACCAATCGTTGGAAATGATTGGATCCTCAAAGGCATCAGTCTCCAGCAATTGGACAAGCAAGGCTACATCAACTTACCCAGCTCCAAGTTCCCCATCAAGTTCAAAGATGAGTTCCAGGACTCAGCAGACGATCATAGAACTGGACCATACTATCGCCGGGCCCTACGCATGCAGGACGAGATCGAACTAATACACCCAATCTTTGACCGTTCACGCTGGTGGAGGATTGACAAAAATGACTACCAACTTCTTGTCCCGTCTTTAATGCTAGCCAGTAGAATCCTGGACGAGCCTCATATTCTGCCATATATCAAGGGATTCTTGACAAAACCACTGACACGTGTGAACGATGCTGCAACGGAAAAGGAAGCTGGACAACCACTATACACTTTCCAATCCGAAAACCTGAATGCATGGCATTCGGAAGAAACATGGCGCACGCTGAACAGCATGAAACAAAACGTCATCTTCCGCTTCCTCCCCTTCCACAAAGACGACGTCGACGACGATACCATGGGAGTAACCAACGACGCCCCCGAAGACTCCACAATCGTCCCAGGCGCCTGCAAAGCCATCATAACCTTCAACAAAGAACTCCTCGACGTCCTCCAACATAAACTCAAAGCCTCCAATATCTCCAGAAGATGGAAACCAGGCACGGATGCCAAATCAGCATACCTCCGTACCCAACTCCTCTTCGCCATCACCGCAGTCCACGAAGTCCTGCATGCAATCTGGCGAGTGAATAATGCCAAATACTCGGATACAGACCCGACGATTACCTCGGCATACAAACAGCCCTTCGAGCCTTTCTGGCGCGATCAAAGGATGAACGAACTGGGCAACGCATGGGAAGGTCAAGTCTTCGGCGGCACCTTCTGGCCCATAGGAACGCCCAAAAGCGCCGCCGTACCCTACGGTCTCTTCAGCCTACCTTTCCCCGGCCTCACCCGCGTTCCCCCCGACGACACGGTGATCGAGCGCGGCGAGCCCGAAGAATGGGGTGTCAATTGGAGCACCATGTATCCGGTAGAAATGGAATTTGTGCGCAGTTTGTTCACGCATGAGAAGTGGAGGGAAGTGCAAAGGTATGGCATCAGGAGGTTGAGGAGGACGAAGAAGTTGGGTTGTAGGGTCAGGCTTGTGGATCCGGATGTTAAGCCCGCGGTTTTGGGTGTCACTTCGCCAGCGGCGAGTGTGGGGAGTGTGGAAGGTGAGCAGGATAATTTCGGGGTTGTGAGGAGGCCTTGATGGTTAGCTGGTATATTGCAAGACAAGTTTCACATCTACCCCCATCAGAAACGGAGATGGCGGAGTCAGGGGAACAGAGATTGCCCTGTGAATACAGACTAGACACCAGATTAGCTATCGAAAGGCATGGTGTTGATGACAATCCAGTGAAGCAGCACATTCCTCACAATTCTCCAGGGCAGGCAGATCAGGAGATTCACGTTTTTGGCAGACCAAGACAATTGTCATTGGTCGCTTTGATTATGTTCGCTGCTATATAAACTTTGCAAACGTTATGTGTCACTGCCGCAATACAATCTGGTAATCCGTAAATGACAGGAAAGTGGTTGCAGATCTGTAGCCCAGATTATTCCTGAAGCCTTGAATCCATCGATAGCTCGAAAGCCAGAAGAGGAGAGGGACTGCAGGGAGATTTTGTGGTGAACAGAGCAGTAAGCATATTTGTTCCTTCGAGAACCTTCGAATAGCCGTCCGTCAAGTTCCTCCTATTAACCAGCAGATCATTGCTCCTTCGTCGAGCCAGTCCAGAGATAGAGCATGTTCTTCTGTTGTTTTTGTGCTTATATTGTCAATTATGATAAGAGATGAAAGTTGTCGTCAATTTGGTCGAAAGCAAATGCTAGCCAATCAAGAAAACTCCTTTGGTGTCACAATTTGGGAGGAGTTGAGAAGACTTTCAGTCTGGGCGTAGTCGAGTTATCGGAACCAATGTTTTGTTTTTTCTGGTTTTTTGTTGAGAATTGAGAGGGACCGATCAAGCAATTAGCGTTCGAGGTTGCGCGTTCTGCGTATCAATACGTCGTCATAAGACTCATCAGACGACACGAGGAGAAGGACGAGTGCTATAGCAGAACCAAAGATTAGCAAGGAAGACCAAGAGACAGAAGAGGACCTATAAGGAAGTCTCAAACTTACTCCTTCAAGGAAGTCAGATCATCGATGTGATTGCTCATGGCTACGAAGAGATCAAAGAACATGCGACCACCACTCTCCATGTCAACCTGCATGGTTCCACTGCGTTTGAAAGTGTTTCTGCTGCGAATGATCAAAGCAAGGTAATGCGCACGCAACCTCGCATCATTCTCGGGGGTGTTGTCATAGGCATATCTGGCACTACGCAGGATAGTAGCCACCTCAATACCAGACTGCAAACCTTGCTTACGCAAGGATAGCTTCTTGAGGTCTTCGAGACCGAAGCGCTCAGCCAGGCAGTAGATAGCTGTATCCCGCAAGATCAATCCATTGACACGAGAACTGTAGGAGGTAATAGTGTCGGCGTTACCCCTGCCCTGAAATTTGGGAGAGAGGGAAGAGCACTCGTCGACGGATTCGAGAACCCAGGCGTTTCTTCTGCGGTCGTGGAGGAGACGTGGGAAGTAGTCGCCTTTGTACATGAACTCGAGGACGGCGGAGAAGATTTCTGCGTCTTCATCGGGGAGGAAGATGCGACGGGTTGATTGGGAAGCTGAAGTATAGAGGGCGTCTTTACTGGCCGATTCGAAAAAGGGCGAGTTATTGAGGACGTCTTCGTGGGCAGCGAACAGGCGTTGGTCCTTGCCAACCACAATGGTGACTATGGCACTGTTAAGCCTGGGTGAGGCCTGGCTGAGGGGGCATTAGTACGTGACTGAGATCGATAGGGCAACAATAACATAGAAGACCAAAACAAGGGGCAGGACTCTCTCCATCACCGAGCTCTGTCTCATTTGTAGCGGTCCAAATGCAAGATGATTTTCAACACCAGAGTCGTGTCCAGTGAGAGCGCTCAATTGGCCCACTTTTCCTGACGACTTCGTTCAAGCAGAAAGTATTGTGCCTTTCCACAGGGTTATTGCCCCTGATGATGATCACGGAAGGAGGGTGGACATGGCAGAACTTTGAGTAGAAGAGTGTAGAGAGACAAAGAAATCAAGACACGTACACAGCACACGGCGGACTGGACGGCTGATTGAGCTGTTCCATCAACTTCTTCTTCGCATCATCACGGAAGGATCTCTTGACAGGCTTCGGAGCCTTTCCAGCACGATCCTTGTAACCAAAAGATCTCTTCAACATCTTGAAATGAATTGTCACGACGAGAGGACAGAGAGGAGGGAAGCGAGATGCTCATAAACGAATGAAGACTGACGCGCGTAGCATGAGGAGCTGCTCGAGGGAAACAGGCGCGCACTCGGACAAGCGTTTCGCAGGCAAGTAACCACGCCCTTTTCTTGCGAAAAGAAGGGGGTGTACGTGTGCGAAATGCTTGGAGGGGGTTGATTGTCGGCGACCTTTTGGCGTGCGTGGAAGGAAGGAAGAGAATTGGAATTCAGGATGGATATGGGGTACTTATTGTCGAGGTCGTCACGCACCCCTGGCGCGAGGCTGGATGTTGCATGAAGCCGATTGGGCGCGTGTGATTACTAGGCAGCAGCCGCCATGATGATGCAGGTATTGACGAGGGGAGATCTACAATGCGTACAGGTGTGGACGTGTGTTGCCTGGTTGACGGTAGGAAGGCGCTGTTATGAGAGTCACAGCTGCATGTCGAGAAGTGAGACGGACGGGAGTGTGAGGAAGGAACGAAGGAGAAGCTGAAAGTCAGAGCGACTTATTTTGGTTGGTGAGAGCATCAGCGCCCCGCAATTCACGGCCAATCAACCCCGCGTCGCTGAAACACCCTTGACACCTTCGTGAAGGCTGAACCAAGTTTCTTCGACGCCTTCCTTCTCCTTTCCTTTCACATAACAAACATATTCTCAACCCATCATGGCTAACAAGAGAATCGTCACTGTATGATGCATGCGAACATGCGCATGCGACAATGACTGACGCGCCACCACAGGAACTGGGTCAGGTGTCGACCAACCCCGTGCCAGGCACAAGTGTGCAGCTCGCCGAAGAGGGCAACGTCTTTCTCTGGGAAGTCATCATGCAGGGTCCGGAAGACTCTGTCTACGCAGTGTGTAACCTCCTGCCTCTCCTCGTACCGCTCACCATACTGACCACCGTCCAGAATGCCAACTTCAAGATCGAAGTGTCGCTACCCAAGGAATACCCCTTCAAACCACCCACCGTCTCGTTCAAGACCAAAATCTATCACCCCAATGTCACCAACGACGACAAAGGCAGCATGTGCCTAGGCATGCTCCGCTCCGATCAATGGAAGCCTCCGAACAAGATCCGCGACGTCCTCATCCTCGTCCGCCAGATCCTCGCCGCTCCCCAACCCGATGATGCCGTCGAAAGTAGAATTGCCGACGAGTACAAGAACAACCGCGAGACTTTCGACAAGAACGCAAAGGACTTTATCGCAAAGTACTGCAAATAGGATGTTAAGATACACAAGGTGATGAGTCTGAGGCAATCTGGCATTTGGGGCGGTAGGCTGAGAGACACACAGCGGGGCGTTAAGGATTAGGTCGGAAAAGGGTTGGCATCTGAGCATACGGCGCATTATCATCACATTACCGGCAGCATCATCACATACCTATCTGGGCACAATCAATTCGTTTTACCTTTCTTCCCACATCAGAGACTACGAATGGCATGACTCTAGTAGAGGATCCGCCATATCCCCTTCTGGTCATCGGCAATATCCTACAAACACTCAAGAGTGACTCCCCGGCGAAAACACTGCAATGAGCAGCGATTGTCCGTGTAGCGCTGCAACACACCATCACTTGCTCGGAAAGTATCGATTTCGACTGCCACCAGGGTCATGCCCACGGAAACAAAATTATTGAATCGTGATCCATTTCCCACCGTATGACAGTCATGTAAGACCAGTACCAAGGCTTTCTTTTGCTGATTCACTCCATTGCGATTTGTGCTCCTGTATGTAAAGTTTCGCTTACATCTAATCGAGTTGCGAATTTGCCAGCTCACGGCACAACTCCATTGCACATCTTCGACTTGAGATTGAGAAACCACCGCGACACAGCGAGACATGAGGGGCAAAAGAAGCCAGATACAACATTGTCTTGCGATGTCTATAACAAGCTAAGGCGCACTAGGCATATACCAAGACCGACTCAACATCTTCAAATCCCAATGCTCGAAATGCTCCCACCGCATCAGCGTCTCCAGCCAAGGTCCCGTCTCCTCACTCCCTTGCTCTTCGAGATAAATCGTCTTTCTCTTCTCCGTGTCGCTGCGATCAGAATTTGTAGGACTAGTATTTGGAGAAAAACTGCGACTGAAGAACCCCCAAGCTTTCATGACCGAATACTCGCGAGACACTTCAGTGGCAGAGGAAGACGCAGTCGTCGTTGACGGCGAAGGAGATGTGGATGAGTTTGCAGGTTCATGTGTAGATGAAAGTGTTGTCGCGATGGGTAAAGGTTTGCTGTCATTGGTTTCTGGCTCAGGACGAAACCGCGATCCTTGACGAATTGCTGCATTGCTCTTTCCCAGATTCTCATGCTCCCAATTTGGATTTGATGCATATTCACGACCCCAGCCTGTGTTTGTGAAGGCCAGTGGTATTTCTCTTCGCTGGCGCTCGGAGGATTTGCTGGATGATTTGCTGGACGTGGAGTCATGATCGGAGGGATGAGATGAGTTGACATTTGTGTTTGCGTGACGATACATTGGTTCGTGTTTTGACAGCGTGAGAAATGACACCCTGAACATCGAGGAGTCGGGTGTGGGTTATGAGAGGCAATAATGACCTCAGGCGGATGTCTTGGTCATGTGTTTATTTTTGGTGAGAATCAACTTTCCTCGCTTTGTCCATGGAGACATCCTTGGATATGTCTGAGACATGCTGACCTCTTTGTGAAGGATAGAGTCGCGTTGTTGAGCGTAGAAGCTACACAGAGCAGTTGACATGGAGATGGATTGCAAAGCAAACTCAATGCGTACTCAAGACTGTGCTTCCTTGTCTATCCAAGCCTGTACATCCTCAAGAGTCAGAGGTACCTTGGTCTTGGACCACTTTTGCGTCTCTTCAGCGATGAACCCTTCCATGGAGATCAATGCAACAACCAGAAAGCCGAGCTCCTCTCTGTCGACATCAAAAACTTCCCACCACTCCTCGCCCGGCAACTTGACTCCTATATTTTTGGCGGCGAGATAGATGGCGGCCGTAGCGAGGGATGGAGGTTGATGTGTCAGGTAAAGCAGCTGCGGACTGAACAAAGCCGAGTTCAAGTGTGCAAATGCCTTTTTCGCCAAAGCTTGTCCATTTTCGGTTGTTGTGAATACATCCAATGCCTGCAAATAGTTGATGCAGATCGCGTACGGGAGAGAGACATGGGTCTGATAGCCAAGGATACGAAGCATCTGGGCTTCCGTGTGGATAAGTGCTAATCGCCCATCTTGGTAAGAGCCTTCTGATAGAAAGCAGTCTTCAGGGGCGACTTTACTTGCTGACTCGATGTCAAGTGATGGTCGAACCTTGTTCAGATATGCTAGAACACTCAAAAGCCGCCTAGGGCTTACCGGGTGTGCGGATGGTTTGGTCACCAGATATACTGAAGCAGCAATCACGTCCTGGAAAAAGGAGTCAGTAACGGAAGCATCGACAAGGCGCGGGAAGGTGGCCGGAACGTGACAATGGTTCATTCACGGGCCTGCTCGATGTCTCTGACGATTCATCTCGAAGCGCCGAATCAGTCAGGACGTCGTACATGTCAAATGAAAGCCCTAGTGAATTGCTCCTAGGGCAGTCTCGGCAGCGACTCCTTTCGAAGCGACACGGAAGCGAGCATAAACTGCTGCACTATGATGACGGCCACAACACTGTCGAAGAACCAGAGCCACGTTCGGACCGGCACCCTTGAACATGCATACCTTGGCGTGATACTCTGCTAAGCTTCCGCCTTCAGGCCCTAGCCAGAATCTGGCAAAGATGATGATGGCTTCTGCAATAAGCTCCTGAGGTAGATGCAGCAAAACGCCAGCGGCTTGAATAAGCCTTGAGCCTTCAAATCTGATCGAGACTTCCAGGTCACCAGGTATTCTGTCGAGCTCGGAGGCGGTGTTCTGTAATTGATATGGTGTTGCAAGTGGATTCGTGATGTGTGACAGACCTATTACAGGTGCCATGGTTGAATCACGCGTTGTTGACGTCGGATGAAATTCCAAATTTGTGCGGACACGAGGTTGTCTTGCGAACAAAGGGGGCAATTTCGGTATGCAAGGCGAGTCCGCAAAATGCACAGTCGTTGATGGAGTCACAACTGTAATACAGCGACGCGCCGGAGCAATTGACGAGATGAAGTTCAGGTCGGAGTGGAGTTCTTCCGCGATGGTGCAGAGTTCGCCTTGAATTTTCCTTGGCATCGAACCCACCCAGGATTTAAGGTGAAACAAGTCCGGGCCCCTTTACCGCACGAACCTGCCCCAGAACGTCCCCGACTCCAACATTCGCGTTTCGAAGATATGGCGTTATGTGAGTGTTGCTCGGTTAGATCATTTACTTGCGTCAGATACGGTGGTTGGCGCCGGCGTCGAGCACGCGAGATGAGCCAGGAGTCGAGGCGCATGTACAAGAGCCGCACCCCGTCATCTACCTACAACGCGAGTCACAGAAGCGAGCTGGACCATACCAGCATCGAGACTTGCAGCTGTCGGCTCGTCCTTGATCGCTTGCTAGATCGCTCGTTGTTCCTGTTGTTGGATGAAACAGTGGAGACAGCGTGAACCTTGCCCTAACCCTGGTCTCCTGGTTCTACCTCTCATGCAAGAGACTTCGAGTATATGTAGGTTTCTGCTTTACCTCTGTCTTCTTCTTTCCAAGATCATTGCAACCTTCGCACCTGTACGTTCTTTTTCACACGGTCTGTGACCACCCACATTCATTTCTTCTTTCGACACATAGCACTGGGTGCTTTTTAAATCCATTCGTTCTCTGATCATCGAATTTTCAACTTTCAAATTTTCCAATATTCAAAATGAAGTACACCACCACCGCTCTCGCCGTTGCCGGTATGGCCGCCACTGTCCGTGGTCACGGTTTCCTCAGTTCTCCCAAGGCTCGTATGCCTGGTACCACTTTTCAGGCTGCTTGTGGCCAGCAGGTTTACTACAACCAGGCTGGTGACAACTATGGTAACATTCAGGGCGAACTTCAGGTTGCCAAGACCCAGACCGACTACAAGGCCGCTGAGTGTGATGTTTGGCTCTGTAAGGGCTTCAAGTACGAGGACAACAAGGACCTCGTACAGACCTACACCCCCGGTCAAAAGGTTCCCATCACGTTTGATATCCGCGCTCCTCATACCGGTACCGCCAACGTCTCAATCGTCGACACTACTACCAACACCATCATTGGTGCTCCTCTGATCTCCTGGGACGTCTACGCATCCACTGCTTCGAGCATCCCTGCCAACGAGACTTCGTTTGACATTACCATCCCCGAGGACCTTGGTAGCAAGTGCTCCACTGCTGGTGCTTGTGTTATCCAGCACTGGTGGGACTCTAGAGAGGTTGATCAGACTTACGAGTCTTGCATCGATTTCACTGTCAGCGGATCTGGCTCTGGTGCTGCACCTGCCAGCTCCAAGGCCGCTTCATCTAAGCCTGCCTCCAGCGCCGTTGCCTCCTCGAGCGCTGCCCCCGTCGTCTCCTCCAGCGCTGCTCCCGTCACCACTAACGTCGCTAAGGTCACCTCTTCTTCGAGCGTTGTTGCTAAGGCCCCTGTGACCTCCACTAAGGCTGCTGCTTCCTCTGTCAAACCTACCACCATGGCCACCGTCGTCAAGTCTAGCAGCGCTGCTCCTGCATCTTCCGGATCTGCTAGCGGCACCGTCGCTGCCTATGGACAGTGTGGTGGTAAGAGCTACACCGGTGCCACCCAGTGTGCTTCGGGATACACTTGCAAGGTCCAGAACGACTACTACTCCCAGTGCATCGCTGGTTCCGCCAAGGTAATTGATGCCTCCTCTGCTGCTTCCAGTACCTCCTGCACTAGCACCATCACCATCACCAAGAGCTCTTCCGCCGCTACAAGCACAGGCGCTGACAGTGCTTCTACAGGTGTAAACCTGAGCGACGCCGTTAAGGCTATCAGCACCGGCGTCCCTTCAGCAGCTCTCACTGCCACCGCAACTGGAGCTGCACCTACCGGTACTGCCAAGCCTATCCCTGAGGGCTTCACTCTCAAGGACGGCCTCGACTGGATCAACTACATTGTTAGCAACGCTGGCCAGCAATAAAGGACAAACATGATTATCGCGTGTTCATTTATCTAGTCTTTTGAGTTTGCAGTCTTTTGGATGATTGAAAAGAGAAAATACCATGACCATATTTGTTGGTTATTCTGGTTAGATTTTACCTTCTTGCATTGATAAATTTTTACATCTTCTTCTTCCACACTGAAAACGTTTCATGTTTGTGTGATCGTGTGTTTGAAAGGAAAGTGTCGTGGGTTCGTGCCTGACGTGAGAAGCTGCAAGCAAAGGGGCCGACCCGCGTGGGGCACGGGCCGCTTGAATATCTTCAATGCGGCAGGCAACGACGAATCAGTTCCCTCAAACACACACCCATCGTCATAGTACCACTTCGGTCGTTCGCTCCGTAGCGGATGTGTCTTCAAAGTTATCACGGTGCATTTCCTTGTCGTGTAGATGCAGGATCATGATCGGATCGACGGGTCGCGAGTTAGAGAAACTCGACTCATAAGACGATCGGGGTTTCCTGCCATCAAACGACTCATAATATGTTCAGACGGTATGATATTTCCAAATCGCCAACATATTCACGTGTTGTATTACTCCAGATCGCTAGACTGGTTCATGGTGAGGGAATTGTGTCGCTAATGGAGCGTACGCAGGCACGTGGCTCAACTCTGACAGTGGCAGCTTGAAAGGAGGTGATGATCTTGCGAGCAACGTCACCAGGATATCACGAGCCATCAAGCCTGCCAGCTCAGACTCCATACCGCAAATTGTTTATTATCATTACGGCGTCGGTATGATTTGAGCTTGTTGATTTATTTGATGGATTCTCATCATGGGCAGGAAGCCAAGGCGGCATTGTCGATCGGGTCTATGGAGGAGCCACTGGTCAAGGTCAGTTGAAGCCGAGATGAAATCTCTAGAATTCCAAATCTCCAAACCTGATACTAATGGTAGTTCACAGGTCTGTCTGAAGCTGTTAGGGAAGGCTACAGCTATCTTGCGACAAACTGGGAGATTGGCGATGAAATCTTCCTGTTCGGCTTCAGTCGTGGAGCGTGAGAAGGCACATCTATGTTTCTGACATACCATGATGCTTACTTATCCAGATTTACTGCACGTGCGATAGCAGGCCTCATTGACAACATTGGCATGTTGACCAAGGACGGTTTGCCATATCTTGCAGAAATATTTCGAGATGTCCAACATCGACACGACTCCGACTACAAACCGAAACATCCGAACAAACCTTTCAAGAACAAGCCAAGTGTGATGGATCCAAGATACAGTCATGAGCTCGAGAGAAGAGGCATGACAAGACTGCGAGTTCCTATCAAGGTGATAGGAGTATGGGACACCGTCGGTAAGTGGTAGATCTTGACGGAAGACTCACAGGTTTTGACCGTCAACAGGCTCGTTAGGAACCCCAAGGATTGGCTGGCTTGAGAAAGTGGGCATACAAAGCTCAGCCAGTAAGCGGATGTCCTTCTATGATACAAGACTGTGTGACTGCGTCGAGTACGCTTTCCAAGCACTTGCACTCGACGAACGGAGGTCAGCCTTTCAGCCAGCTTTGTGGGAGAAGAAGCCAGGTAATGAGACCGTACTGCGACAGGTATGGTTTCCGGGTGTACACTCCAACGTCGGCGGAGGACTCGAAGACCAGGAGCTGGCCAACATAACTCTGGCCTGGATGATGTCCCAAGTTACACCCTTCCTCGACATGGACCTGGACTACGTTTTGGATCAGCAGGACGACACTGAACGATATTACAAGGAGAGCAAACAAAAACCGCGTTCTTGGTCGTTTGGCAAGATCATCGACTCCATGACTGGGATCTATGCTCTAGGCGGTGCAACCACACGGACACCAGGTCGTTACTATGTCGTGGATCCCACTGATGGTCGGAAGACTGATTTGCCATTGCAATCGACCCACGAATATATGCACCCGTCTGTGCGTAGTCGGTTCCGACTCAAGGGACCTGGTGTAAACGACGAAGGCCTATACGAGCCTAAAGCCTTGCGAGACTGGAAGTTGTATGTCGAGTATGATGGGGAGAAAGGCAGAGGCGGTGGACCGGATATTTTCTGGAAATTGCGTACATCAGAGAGGAACGTTACTGCTCGCACTATACCAGAAGCACCGCTTTGGCCGCTAGAGCGAGAATTGCTGGAGATTGATCCTGAGATCGAGGACTTCGTGCTTAGACCTGCTCCTACTGCAAGGAATAGTGTCCGGCGCATGCATAATGCTAGCCGCAGCCAAAGTCGTCGGCGCTGAGGGGACCGAACAAATTGCTGCTACCACAGTCACACATTAGCATGGTTACTTGGTGGTTCTCAGACTCGTGTTATTTGCTTGACCAAAACGTTGAGCTAGGCCACGAGGAAGGATCATGCGGGTAATTTCAGTCCAATGCAAGCTGGCTTGAGCTTTCTCCATAAAAAGCTGACAGGATCAATTGGGGCTTCGGACTAAACGCCCGAAGAGCGAAGGCGCCTACAAGCACGCCATGACAGAGCTGACGAATCTTTTCATTGGCTTAGCGAAGGATTTCACCTTAAAATCTGCCTGTTACTAGTGGAATAGTCATCCTTGCGACATGAGTGGATGTTTATAGAGTGTAGCTGCAACCGAAGGTTGGTGTGAGCTTTGAACACTCCTCATATCGACCTTGGTAACAACTGTCATTGGCCAGATACCCTCATTATGCAAGGAAGTGGGCTCTCAGACCAGCCATCGGACGTGAAAGCAGCCTGTATTCACAGCCTCATATTGCTTTGGGCTGATGTTGAAGGGTCTGAAGGATCATGAACATCCTCAGAGTAGTATAGGATGCGTGCATGCTTTGATTCACCCTCGTGTTGTTATCACGACGCCGCAATGTTGACGCTCTCTCGGCCGAGAGACGAGTAGCCTATGCTCATTTCACAGCCTTCGCTCCCTGTGCCCAGACTTGGCCTGTTATACTCCATGCATCGTTGAATCCTCGTTCTTACTCTTACGCTCTTTGTCCTACTGCGCATCCAACAAGTTATCTTTTCTCATTTACCCTGACCGGTGCAGCATTGACCAGCAATCAGTATTACACATGGGACAACCAACTATACCCCCAACGCCATCGGGGACTGATCTGAGCAACAAGACGGTGATTGTGACAGGCGGCAATGCAGGCATGGGCTACGAAGCTGCCCGGCAGTTGCTCGTATTACATGCATCGCGCGTCATCATCGCCGTGAGGTCTGCCGTCAAAGGCGAAGAGGCTGTGGCATCGTTGAAGCTTGACCTCGAAGTCAAAAAGCATAATCCAACTGCAACCATTGAAGCTTTCGTGCTCGACCTTGACGACTACAAATCAGGTTTAAGCTTTGCTCAGAAGGTCAAGCAAGAAGTGAAGGAATTGGACATCCTTCTTTGCAATGGAGGTGTCAACATCATGAAGTACCAGAAGAGTGTTGCTGGACACGAAAGAGTCATGCAAGGTTAGTCGAGCGAATGCACAAGCAAGCATACATGACTGACACATGGTTATCAGTAAATTGCTACACGCACGTCTTGATCGCTCTGGAGCTTCTGCCACTTCTCCAGGCCACTTCGAAGCTCCGCAACGCTCCCACCCATTTGACCTTTGTCGGATCCGCCACGCAGACCATGCACACTCTCGCCAAAAAGCCTGTCGCCGCCTCGGAGACAGTGCTCAGTCATTTCGATGACCAGAACATTTACAGCGGTCTGACTCGATACAGTGATAGCAAACTAGCTGTCAACGCTTATGTTCGCCGTCTATCGGCTCTTGTCTCTTCTTCCGAAGTCATCGTCAACAATCTCTGCCCTGGTCTGGTAGCCACAGGATTTGACAAACAACTGCCCGCATGGTTGAAGCCTCTCATGTTTGTATACCGCAAGATTGCCGCTCGTGATGTGCACGAAGGGTCTCGCACTCTCGTCTATGCATCAGCAGTCGCAGATGCAACTACCCACGGCAAATTCTTACAGTCCAACAAGATCGACCCGTAAGTTGTCCGCTGCACTTTGTGTGCCTTTCCATTGTGCTGACATTCTCGCCAGTGGTGCCCCATTCCTCGATCAACCCGCTGGCAAGACCTTTACCGATAAGCTGTGGGCGGAAACGGTGGCTGACATCGCGAGATTTGACGAGAACCTCAAGGTATACGCTTGATCTTGTCGTACCCTGGAGCTGAACTCTAATTATATTTTTCCTGCTTCGCTCTCTGCCGGACCATGTCATCTCTTTTGCCATGAGTGATCAATCGATCAACAAATAGAATACATGACAACATAATTTAATACCATACCTAAGTGCTATAAACCGAATCACTCACTCTGATCTACAATGTCATTGACGACCGCGAGAACATCGATAGAGAGCGAGTCTACTACTTACTCTCTTTGGACATTTCCGTAGCGCTGAAAAGGATCCTGCATTTTGACAGATAGAGAAGAGATGCTCGCCTAGGAAGGATGGAAGAAAGCAATGAGAGAGTTGCATCTTGAATGGAAATGCCACAAGCAAATTTTGAGACAGCCTCGATGTGAAGATGGCCCGAATTAAAAAGCTTGGTCAACCTTGGAGCGCCTTGATCACTTCTGCTGCCGCACGTTCGCCGCTACGGACCGCACCTTCCATATAACCCTTCCATTCGCCAGCTGTTTCCGTACCAGCGAAGTGCAAGTCCAGCCATGGCACTCTTAAGCTCCCACCTCCAAGCTTTGAAAAAACTCCTGGCGGTAGAGCGGTGCAAGGACAACCCCAACCAGAATATTCATCGTTGATCCACTCGTAAGTGACCAGTTGGATGAACTCCTTGTCGACGATATCTTCCGCGCCGAAGAGCTGACCGATCTGTTTCAGCAGGCTTTGTTCGCGCTCGCTGTCTGATAGTGCCGACCACGCTCGACCGGGTATGCCGCTCATGAAGCATGTGAGAATGTGCTTGTTATCCGCTGGACTGCTGGTGTCACGAATGACAGACGAGGGGCCAATGAAAGATTGTGTGAGGCCGCAGAAGCCTTTTTCTACCCAGAATGGTGATTTGAACACCATCATGGCTTTCGTGTAGTATCCATAGGTGGTCGCTTCAATCCATGATCGCTTGCCAGAAGGTAAGTCGGGCGAGAAAGAAATGTTCTTGAGCGCAGGTGTGGGGAGGGTTGTAACGACCTTGCGAGCATGGATTGTGTGATCCTTGGTGTGTACCTCCACGGCGCCAGCTCCAGTATTGTTGTTGATAGCCGTCACCGGACTTGATAGACGAATCGTACCTTCAGGCAAATCACCAGAAAGTCCTTTGGAGAATAGCTGCATTCCCTGACGTACACGAAGATGCTGGCCACCACCTTTGCGATCTGAACGCATTTGTAGAAGTCCACCTCCAGATTTGCAGTAGTTGAGGAAGTACAAAGCTGATACATGGTTGGGCTCTTGTCCGAGCATTGCTCGCGTCCATACTGTTCCTGTTGATAAAGCTGTTGCGGTGGCTCCTCGTGATTTCAGGTACTCTTCGAAGCTTATTGAATCCAAGTCCTTGTCGTTCGGGTCGAAAACATCCAGAAGTTGGCAATCTGCTTCGCACATATCACGAATTCGTGCTACATCTTGCACAGTTGCAGCATCGAACTGAACTCATTAGTACTGCTCAGCCTTGCATACGAACAAGTCTTACCTGTGGTAATTCGCCATATGGGAAGCTCGATATCTTTCCGCTACCATCTTGTATTGCACAATTACCGGTAGTATTCTGCTCAATGAACTCTGCATTGTATTGCTTGGCCAAGCCATACACTCGAGTCTGGTTGACATCATTGATCCAAGCAGCGCCCAGGTCGACAGTCCCCTTTCCGTCTGGAAGTTCCTGACTCCAAGTCTTGCCGCCGACGCGATCTCTTGCTTCCAAGATGACACAAGAGAGGCCTGATCTTACGATGTCGCGAGCTGCGGTCAAGCCGGCGAGTCCAGCGCCAATCACGACGACGTCGAGGTTTTCCATCATGCACGTATTTTTGGGTTGAAGATATCCAGTACCCTCGGTGAATTGATGCTTGATGGTCTAAGGAGACAAATCACGACGACCGCGTGGCAGATATAGGACGAGGACGAAGTATGAAGTTTGAGACGCGTTATCATCGCCGGCCTTCACCTTCTGCCCAGCGCCTCAACCGGAAGCTAATCGCTCGCCGGCCCATACAGTATCAAGTTTTTTTTTCTCCGACAACGGGAAACATGTTGTTTGCCCGTGACAAGGACTTGGTGGTGACAGCTTGAAAGTGCCTATCTTTGCCGAGGCGGATAAGGTGGGGGGGCTGGCCTATCTCCTGGGGAGACTTCGGGTCGGGATGAGCTTCCTTTTGTGTCGTGTTGTACATTACCAGTCTTGAATGGGATGTATTGTGGCATATGGAGATACACATACGGAAGCCCGTGCCGGCATCTCACCTGCGACTGCGTCTCTCAATTCAGTGAGCGTCGGTCGCTGGGTTGCGTTCACGCCCAGCTTTCACATCTTCCGTGGCGCAATTGGCTAGTGCGTTCGGCTGTGACGCCTGGAAAGAATTCTCAAGACAAACAAAAAGAAAAACAAAGCTCTCTCGCACCTTGCTAACCGTTCTTCAATCACACAACAGCTGCAAAGAAGCAAAATCAAAAGATCAGCTCTCCCGGACAGGCTTGAACTGTCAACCTCTCGATAGCCGATTTCTTTCGAAATCTTAACAGTCGAACGCGCTAGCCAATTGCGCCACGGAAGATGTGAAAGCTGGGCTTTCTGTGGCTTGGTTGGCGGATGCGGAACTCGAGCGAATATGATTCATTCCGTGAGTGCCGATTGCACGTACATGATTGACTTATGCAGAGTCAATAGGGTCAGGACAATTCAAGCCTTGTCCGAGAGAACTGATCTTGTTCTTTTGGCTCTTGAGTAGATGCTGCGAGATTTTCGGTGTGGCGCGGAGCTCCGCTTCCATCCGAGGCATCATGTCTCGAGATTTTGTGTATCTACGAGGTGAGGAGTTAGCATTTCCTGCATTTTCAGAGCTTGCAAAGGAATCATACTCAGTAGAGTCGCTCGAGACGTTGAAGGTGGTGTAGCTCGAAGTTCTATGTTGCCTTTTTGGCACTATGCTGCTGTTGTCTCGAAATCTTTGGTCATCTCTGTGTTTCTTTAGTCCAGGATTTGTGAAATGCCAGCCGTTGACCTATAGATAGCTCTACCTCCTCGACAAGGGCATCTTTTCAAGCGAGAGTAAGCAATTGACTCTTTCAAACATCAAGGCATATATCCCACAAAGTCAAACATGCGTATCTAGTATCGTTGTGGAGAAACACGACATCTTTGGCTGAAAACCATGGTTGCATGTGTCACCCGGACGCTCCCATGGGGCGGAGGGCGGAGCGGAGTCTTGGCTTGGCATTGGAGTCGCGCGGCGCGATGACATCGACACTTTTTCGCGTCGACATTCTCTTGATATTCTTTCTCTTACCATCTCGTTCTTGAATAGCACACCGAATTTGCTCATAAGCTCAGCAGTCAGGTCCATCATCTCAAGCGATCGTAAGATTCATGTGGTCAACTGCGCCACTGTCAGATCCTTGTTCTTCTGTCCCCTGCGTACCTTCAATCGATACGTGAATCGATTCATGATGGACAACTTACAAAGACATCGGCTGTAGAGACCTTGGTCATGTCTGATCATCTGTAGTTCACGAAATTCGCTTGACACGTCATGAGATGTTTCGCTCTCACCTATCCTTCCTGTTCTGGCAAGAGAACCTCCGCCCAAGCTACTCATCCAATATTAGCTGTCGATCAAGGTCAAGCGTTATCGCTTCTGCTCGAGGTTTGTTACAAATCCACACTTACAAGAATCGACCAGCAGAATGTACGGTTCAATTATATAATGACTGCTTGAGAGCATGACCAACAACGACAACACCGACACCAGCGCACGCAAATGATGGTTTCTTCAGTCTTTTTCGGAGCTGCCCTCTCCGCTTCACTGGCAGCAGCGTATGCACCAGGTCTTGAACTTGTTTACTCCCTCGATCGAGCTACTCAAGGCATCGCTATCTCCGCCGACGGCCGCAAGTTTCTTTCTCAACGTTACTCCCTCACCGCAGCACCTCAAGCTGTTGAGCTCTTGAACGACAACACGACAAGACTGTATCCTAACGCAGCTTGGAACTCGTATAACGCGAGCGACAACTCTTCTGACCCGTATGAGACCTTCGTCAGCATTGATGGCGCACGCATTGGTCCCGATGGACGCTACTGGCTTGTGGATGGCGGTTCCTCTGGTCTCAATGGCTCTACTAAACTGGTCGGCGTCAATCTGAGCAACGATACTGTTGACAAAATCTATCATCTCGACAATATCATTGCCTCCGACAGTGGCATTGATGACGTTCGCTTCAACGCAGCTGCAGAAGTTGCATACCTCAGCGATACCGCTGGTGCACTTGTCGTCCTAAACATGACTTCTGGTACTGGCGTCCGCGTCCTCGTCGACGATCCGTCAGCTGTTGCCTGGTTTCCCATGATGTACAATGGTACTCTGGTTCCAGGCTACCAGGGCGCGGATAGTACTTTGGCTGTTGGACTTGATCAGATAGAAGTATCTCCTGATGGCACCTGGCTCTACTATCAACCCTGCAATGGTGGCCTCTACAAGATCGAGACTTCTCTCGTCGATGCCTCCCTCACCAACTCTACTCTTGCAGCGACTCTGGGTGATTACGCCATCCCGGTCGCATTGACCCCTTCCACTGGTGGTACAACTATTGACGGAGATGGGAACATCTATTTCAGCGATACCAACCTCCTCGCCATCTGGAAAGTTACACCCGAAGGCAGAGCGACTATTCTGGTTCAAGATGATGCGCTAATCTGGACTGATCTGATGTGGGTCACTGCGGACAAGAAGCTGTGGCTACCTGCTAGTCAAATGAGACCCGGAGCTGATGGATTGATGGCCCAAGGTCCCAACAACATCTTCACTTTCCCTATTGATGCTGGTCCGAGTCCGATTGATCATGCTTGAAGCATCATCAAGAAGTGTGAAGAGAGGAGGCTTGAGCTTGCCGTTAGACTGAGGCCTGAAAGTGACTATCAATATGCCGCATGCGTATCAACTGCGATCAAACTTTGATATACGCTCTACTCACAGGATCCTGTGATTGGTCCGCATGATAACACCGGAGTTATACGATTGCACAATGACATTGGGGTAATCGAGAGCTTGACTTCCTGCTGTCCTCCTCTCTCTTTCTCTGGATATAATTCGAGTTCTCAAAATCTTTGTGCAATATCACAGTTATGTCGTATCAACATCTACCAAAGAAGAGGTTACATGTCAAATAAGCATGCGATATGCGCTTGACAAAAGCACTCTCTAGATTTATCAGCTGATCCTACCGCTAGATCTTCCAATCAATATTTCTTGGTCGTCCTCGTGGTACTGCCGGCATCATTCGGATACGCGTCAGCAACTGTGCCAAGCTCGGGCAACGATACCATCAGGGACTTAGAATCAAGAGCCGTATACGGCTTCCAAGTTTTGGTCGTCAACTTTGATCTATTACCGACGCCGATAGACTTCAACAGACTTTGTGTTATCCTTGTCGGTGTCTGGGGACCCCGGATCTCGACACCACTGACACGGAAATAATCTTCGTGTTCCCTAAACCTTGTCGGTAAACCACGGCTATCTCTGTTTCACAGTCGCTCGGTATCTGGTTTGGTGTGTGTTATATGAAGCTGGACGATTTCACATGTTTGCCATGTTATCTGCAGCTGCTTTCATACAGGACCATCATGCTCTTCCCATATTTGTGGTTTCTATATTGTATTGCCGTTCAGGCCACACTTGTTCGGAAACATGACGAGACTTTTATGCCAGACTTCTCGCTACGAGTTACAGTCAAGAATATCTCGCAAGGATGCTTCTTTCGAGAATCCGTCGTTGTTAATGGTACTTCCCCGGGCCCTACTCTTCGCATCAAGCCGAACAAGGTCTCATGGATCAGAGTGTACAATGACATGGCTGACCAGAATTTGACCATGGTGAGCCTAGATGAACACCGCTCGTCACAGGGAGACGCTTACGAGGTTCCAGCACTGGCATGGCTTGTCTCAAAGAATGGCAATCTTCTCCGATGGCACGCCCGTTTCACAATGGCCTATAGCACCAATGCACTACTTTGATTACGAGATTCTGCCAGGGGAAAGTGATGCAGGAACATCATTCTATCATTCACATGTCGGTTTCCAAGCTGTTACTGCGAATGGCGCTCTCATTGTTGAAGATGTTCGAAGTCCGCCATATCACTATGATGATGAGCGTATTCTTCAACTGACGGACTACTTCAACAAGACAGACTCTGTGATCGAACAGGGGTTGACTTCCAACCCATTCGTCTGGTCTGGAGAGACGAATGGCGTACTTGTTAACGGCGTCGGAGTGGGAATAGGCAAACAGAATGATTCATCCTGCAAGCTCCCTGTCGTCGACGTCTTGCCAGGGAAAATTTATTGCATGAGAATCATCGGAGCAACAGCACTGTCGCATGTCTCAATGGCATTCGAAGGCCACGAAAACCTCACCATCATCGCCGCCGACGCAAGATACACCCAGCCCTATAATGTTTCCCACATTTAGGTCGGCAGTGGCCAACGCTTCGACATTCTCTTCAAGACCAAAACAATCGACGAGCTCAAAGGCTCAAATCGCACACAATTCTGGATACAATTCGAAACCCGCGATCGGCCAAGCGTATATCGTGGATACGCATCTCTCCGCTACACAATCCCCGGTGCAAAAAGAGCTATTACCCCTCCAGCGCCATCAACACCACCACTGTCTCTACCCAACACAACATACTCATGGTTAGAATATTCTCTTCAACCCCTCGTACCCAACAACTTCCCCACCGCCGCAGAAGTGACCCGCCGCGTCACCATGACAGTCCAACAATTTCAAAACGGCAGCATCTATTGGTCGCAAAACGGGTTAAATTGGACAGACCACATCGCGACACCAATGCTAATAGACATATACAAAAGAGGCGACGCCGCAATGCCCAATCACACCCGAGCACTCCAAAACAACAACTGGGACCCAATAACAAAATTCTGGTCCGCTGAAATCGGCCAAGTGTTGGAGATGATAATCCAGAATACTGGATCTTTGGTGGAAAAAATGCTGGTGGGTTGGATATTCATCCTTTTCATGCGCACGGGGGGCATTTCTGGGATATCGGGTGTGGGGATGGGATGTATGATGTTGTGGCTAATGAGGAGAAATTGAAGGGGTATCGACCTGTGTTGAGGGATACGACGATGTTGTATCGGTATGCTGATGTTGGGGAGGCGGGTAAAGATGCTAGTTGGAGGGATTGGAGATTGAGGGTTAATCAGCCTGGTGTGTATGTTATTCATTGTCATATTTTGCAACATATGGTTATGGGTAAGTTGCTCTACTATCAATATACTGAGGAGTTTGATTGCTGACTTTTTCGATCGCATAGGTATGTCTACAGGTTGGGTGTTTGGTACTTCGGCAAGTGAGATTCAGAATATACCCTACAATGATATATCCGGGTATCTGGATTTCGGAGGTAATGCTTACGGAAGTACAGCGCTGTATCCTGAAGTCGTTGAATACTTCAAGAACGTAGTGCCAGAGATCTGATATGATAGAAATGCTCATTGAATAATATTTGAAGTCCGGCTTTTTCTTCTGGCGCCCTTTCGAATTCCAATCTCAAGTCGCATGGGAAGTGACTGATATTTGCGACATCAAGTGGCAGAAACGCGGTTGGAGTTTTGGAGTGGTGGGTCTTGCGACCAGCAGCGAAAAACGCTAAGATGCAGCATGTTACAGCTTTATTGCGCTTACTCATTCGTCACGCTCTACACCCAGTTTTGGCATCTTTTCGACCTTATACAAGATTATGTTTATTAGAAATCAATTGTTCTATTTTTTTTCCCTAGGACGACGAGATAACCTCTTAATTTCATCTCATGCATCAACCAAACACTTCCATCATAAAGTGATATTCGATAAACGTCTTATCCTCTCTTCCCCTCGCAGTCAAAGCACGACATCTATCAGCAAGTTGATAGCCAACAACAGGTGCACCGCAAAAAAACACTCCAACCTTAAATCCATCGCTCAATTCCTCAATCTTCTTCTTATCCCCTCGCCACAACCTTTTCTTCGCAGCTAACAGCTTACACATGTCTTCATAATGCGTATCCATAATCATCTTCATATCCGGACGGCCGAAATGCGTGGGGTTGATCAATCCGGTGATTGGACTTTCCGGATGTTCGGGGGTGCGGTGTTTTTCCAACAGCCAGCGGAAAACATGTGTGGAAAGGTCTTTGCGTTTTTGGGTCACGTGGGTGGTGATGCGGAAATCGATGTTGGAGTGGTGGGATGTGCGGTCTTGGGATGAAGTCGCGTAGATATAGTTGAGGAGGTCGGAAAACCAGAGGAGATTGTTGCGGTCGCGGACCATCCAGTGGAAATCTACGCGTTTGTAATCTTCCAGGTCGTAGGATGATATGTCGGTGGTTGATGGGCTGTGGCTGGAGGTGGCTTCTTGATGTGGAAGTTCGTGTTTCTTTAGAGTGGCGGAAGGTTCTTCGGAGACGGGAGTGCTTGCTTCGGTCTTTTCGTTGTCGCTGGGCACATCGGTGGTTTGACGACTGAGTTGGCGAGATTGCCTGCGTGAGTCGGCCGCTTTTTGGTATGGTGAAGGACGCCATTTCTTTGTGCCCAGTCGTTGTTCTTCTCTCATCTGCAGGTCAGTAAGGATGCCAGAGAATGGTGTGACACCAATGCCGGCGCCAACAATGATGGTCTGATCAAAGTCATAGAAGCGCTGAGCAGGAGCGCCATACGGTCCATCAATGCCGATCTTGATCTTGGTAGGTTCCTGAGAGGTTCCGAGCTTTCTCAGCTTCCCTGTCCAGTTGCCATCCGTCTTGATGTGTAGCTGCAACTCATTGCCAATGCAGGTGGAGATGGTGAACGGGTGCCACTGGAAGCGACTCAATTGAGGGACCTGCAGGAGGACGTATTGCCCAGCTCGGTAGTCAAAGTTGCGAGAGGCAGGCATCATGACGGTGATGCACACAGTCTCTTTGTCGAGAACTTCCAAGTAGGCGGACAGTGGTGAGAATCCATTGCACGTCCTGACGATACGTTCGAGCAAGACCAGGAGAACAGGGAAAGCGAGGAAGTAGCCCATCATGGGCCATTGCAAGTATCCGACTGTACCGTGAGCCATGAGGAAAGCGAAGATGGGGAACATGAGCAAATGCCCAATCTGGAAGACTTCGTATGACCTGCGGCGGACCCAAGGCAAACTCGTCGCTCCAATAACCCAGAATAGACCAAAGATTACCAGTCCAGTCCAACCAGGAAGTGATCTGATCCAGGCTACGTATGGCCTCGGCACTGCATCTGGACCCAGGAAAGCAGCGACTTCATCCTGTTGAGCCGGTCTACTAGCATAGAGCATGCTTCCGGTAAGATGGCCAATAGCATGGAGCGAGGCAAAGAGTAACGCCACAAGCGACATCTTGATATGAAACTCTTGCGACAAATCCCAGTTGACGAATCTCGAGATCCAGTAAAAGCGGCGTAGTGCAGTGCTCAACCAGCGACACATGGAAAGCACCAGGAAGAACATGGTCGGGTACAAGACTCCTGCAGACGTCTTTGCCAGTACAACGCCCCAACCAAATGTCTCTCTGTATGGAGAAGTGGTGAGATATTTGACCATCTGCCAGATGCCAAAGGCGAGTTGCATCGAGACGACAACAGCGAGGAAGCCGTACTCAGGTCCATGCACTTCCCAGTAAGCGCGAAGTCGCCTTGCATAAGACATCTTCTTCACAAAGTCTGCTTGTTCGTCCTCCTCTTTCTTCTCTTGTTCCATGGATGGTATCTGCCATGATTGTACTATTCTTTTGAACTCGGCAATGGGGACGTGGTTTTCGTTTGTGCCCATGAAGCCTCGGAGAAACTGATGGCGTTTGTCGGAGCGGTCTTCATGGTGGAGGTTATGTTCGGCGGGTTCGGGAGCTGGGTCGTTGTCAGCAATGCCGTTCTGAGTTTCAGAGAGCATTGCTTACCTATCTCTCGCGATACCTCATCGAGTTTCGCTTCGACTTCGTGGTATTCGATCAAGCCATCATTGTCCGTATCCAGCTCACTCAAGAACTGGTCAATCTCCTCCTCTGTCAAATGTTTGAAATTCGGATCCATTGGATATGTGCTTCGCTGTTGCGATAGTCAATGCACAAGTGTTAAATGTCGCGAAAGTGAAAGTAAAGAAGGGTAAAAGTCCAGCTCACCCTTTGGTTTGACCTACCATGAGCAATACGGGCAGCGACTCCCATATATGACCTACCTCAGCAGCACACATCCCCTTCTCCCAAGACCTACAAGTCGTACAGATAAAACGGCATCTCGACAAACATGCGTAGGCCAAGCTGCCACGCTACTGGGCAATCTTCCAACCACAACCTTGTCCGGCAGAGCTGGGCGCCAAACAGTACCAGGGCATGGCGACATCTGGAGCTTCTTGTCCTTTGAGTTTTGCGACAATGGTTCCCTTGGTCGATCTGGGGAGAAGGAGAGACCCTTGGTGTGTATCGCACATTTTTTGACCTTTGTGGCTGACTCTTGGCGTGGCGTGTCGTCATGGCCTCCGAGGACTCCGGGGGTGCAGGGAGGACTTGTGAGAGGTTGAGCAAGAGACAAGGAGTTTGCCAATTCTTCCACAACATGCCATGAACTTTCTATCAAGTTTTGTTTGCTTGAGCGTGCGGGAAGTGTCAAGATAAGGAGCTCGATCTTGACATGTCGTGGTCAGCTATCTGATGATGGCATGAATGGACTTTCTGCTACACGATCGCGCCTTCTCTCCTCGCAGGTTCTACCTTTATCTGCTTCTTCGCGATGCATCTCTCCTCCAGCCATCTGGCGAACTGTACTGACGGTACATCCACAACCCGTGTGAATATGTCGGCTAACCATATCGTAACAACCAACACACAACTCGCCATGAGAACAAAACAGCCCTCTTTTCGCAGACGGGTGTTCGTCCCGATTAACCTCCAGGATATCTCCAATAACCCGTACCCAAGAGTATGTATAACAGCTCCATGGACCAAGTAAAGCGAGAAAGATATCCTACTCAGATATTGCGAGACACAATTCGTAAACATCCGTTGTAGAGAGCGATGGTTCGATGTGGACCATACGAGTAAAAGAGCTCCCCATCCAGTCCAGTACCGATGCCAGTCTTTGATGTATTTTGGTATCAGAGAATAGAGTAAGGACCAGCCAGGTGCGTGTTCGAATTGTCTTTCGGGTTGACCGCCGAGGTATAGACCGCAGATGAAAGCCAAGATGTAGATTGTAGACCAGAGGAGTCCAGACTTTGGATGAGAATGATCAAACGTATGTAATGCGGCAAGAGTGTCGCGACGGACAGCCAGTTCAGCGAGGATGAAGCCGCCGTAGAACAACACCATCTCCCAGCGATCTACTTGATGCGCCCATGCGATCAAGCAGATCAGACTCAGCATTCTGTATCTCGTGCGCAACTGACAAAGGCCAAGTTGCGTGACGTACAAGATAATAGAAGCTCGCTGCATCCCCAAGTCAGCTATCGGTCTCAACAAACACTCGATGCAACTCACATATTCAACCTTGATAGTCCAAAGATGACCATCCATCTCCATCCCCTCAGCACTGAACGGATTCACAAAGCCCGCCATATCCTTACACCAAACCCCCAAACCCTCACACCTCTGAGGATGATATTCCCTATGCCCAACCAACCTCTTCCCATCCACCGCCAACCCCCTAGTCCACTCATACCCCCCCAACCTCAACAAAACCAAAATCACAAACGTACTAGCAAAACAAGGCGCATACAACCTAACCCCCCTCCTAACCAAACTCCTCCCCAACCTCCTCCCCAACTCCCCAATCTCTGCTTTCCTCATCTGCATAACTGGCTTCCAACTCAACGCAAACCCCGAAACAACGAAAAATATCGAAACCATGAAATTGCCATTGTAAAAACTTCGGATTAGAGGGAGACGGAGGAAATCCTTATGGGAGGGATTGTATGCGGTATAGACGTCGTGGGTTGAGTAGGAGAGATGGTAGAGAAAGACCATTAAAGCGGCGAGTCCGCGCATACCGTCTAGCCATGCTGTAGGATGGGGTTGATTCGAAGGAGTCCGTGGATCATAAGAAGACTGCAGGAATGTCGGGAGAAGGAAAACGAGTAGTCGCTTTGCGGTCTGAGAGAGCGATGATTTCGAAAGGTAAATGGTGCTTTTTCTCAATGCTTCTGTTGTGAATGGTCCTGGAGATGTATCATCCACTACTGAAGATTCAGCCGTCGACATTAGACGCTGCTCTTCAATCATGTTGTCGGGACAGGTGATAAGCTGCTATAAGACAACGATGAGGATGCGATATGGAAGTAACACAAAAGTACATCGCGGAGGAAAGACATTCAGAAATCTTTTCCATGATTCAAGTCAATGATCTCGAATACTTGATTCAATGTTAAAGGAAAAGTCGAGCTGAAAGACGTTGGCAAGGGGCTAAAGATGAGGAGATTGGGTGTGTTTCATGCAAGGCTATTGCACAAGATGCGGCGAGAATTATGCAAGATCTTGTTCACGACGTAATTCGACGGACAATTCACAACATCAATTTGCTAAAAACTAACCACTACTTCCATATTTTCTACACTTTCGGAGACGATAAAGAATTGCTCCTTCCTTTGAGCTCCTTGATTTAGAAGTCAATGCAGACCTTTCCGACATGCGACCCACCAGTTAGGTATTCAAAAGCCTTAATGACTTCTTCCCTCGAAGAGCCAAACACCTTGTCAACAGGCACGGCAACATTTCTCGTACTGAAGAAACGAATAGCCTCTTCAAGAAGTTGTGTAGATCCCACAGTGATACCTCTAACCACACAACCCTTGGACAAAGCAAGACCAGCCACATCGGGCATATCCTCCTGCTTGGCTGCAGAAAGGAATCCCACGACTGAGATGTTACCGCCTATGGTGATGGCTTCGAGACTTTGCTTGATGGTGCCTGAGCCGCCGTTCTCGATTATGTAGTCGACACCGCTGCCATTGGTCAGCTTACGGGCTTCTTCGGCCCAGTTGGGGGTTGTTTTGTAGTTGATTGTGTGATCGACGCCAAAGTTCTTCTTGACGTATTGAAGTTTCTCGTCGGAAGATGAGGTAATGATGGTGGTCGCGCCTGCGGCTTTGGCGATTTGGAGGGCGGTCATGGAAACGCCGCCGGTGCCTGGGAAAGTTTGCATGTTAGTCTGGTGCTCAGTATCTCGAACAAAGCAAGTGTAGCAGCTTACCTTGAAGAAGCACAGTCTGGCCGGGACGCAGAGGGATGTTTCCGTACAAGCAGTTCCAAGCAGTCACGCCGGTGCACACGGTGCTCGCCCAACTGGCAGTAGAAATGTCACTGCCAGCAGGGAGCTTGATGACGGCAGAAGCAGGAACTGCTACATACTCTCTCAAAACTCCGTCCACAGGGCCACCGAGACCGTTGTTCCAGTTCTTCTGAGGTCCGTACAGGTTTGTCGGATCGAAGGTGCACACGACAAGGTCGCCTTTCTCGACGTTGTTGACGGCACATCCGGATTCGACAACTTCACCACAGGCGTCGGAACAAGGAACGACCATATCCTTGACGGGGAAAGGGTATGAGCCGTTGCTCACACCGACATCGCGATAGTTCAAAGAGACACTCTTGACTTTGATGAGGACTTCATGCTTGTCTGGTGTTGGGATTTCTTCTTCGTGGAGCTGAATTTCTTGGAAGGAAGTGCGTGCATGCAGGCGGAAGACTTTGTTTGTCGGCATGGTGATGATTGACGGATTGTGATGCAATGTGGTTGGTGGTGGATGAGATGTTCTAGAGGATCCAAGTCCTGCTATTTATGCGCGAAGTCAAGGTCGGTGACATCGTTTCCGGAACGCTGCGCATGGCTCCAAGAGGTTTCGGATTGGTAATTCTTGCTGTGTGAATAATCACTTCCTCCAAAGAGTGTTGTTGTGTCGTCAGTTCGCCGTTTCTCCACCCCCGAATCGGGACAAGGTGCTTGTGATTTCTCCAACTTTTCTCCCTCTCCAACTTTCTCCACTCCTTACACTTGGGAGTCGCGCACTCCGCCAGAGAGTTTCAAGAGCACTTGAAATGACTGAATTGCCATTATTTCGCCGATTTGAAATCGGCCACTTGTGCATTTTTATCTTGCCTGTTGTAGATGCACCGGCTTTGATTTTGAGTTTGCAGCATACATCATGTCAGCATAAAGATTCAATGACTTCCCAAGAATAGCGACCAAAGGCCATCGGATCTTTGCAGTAAGCACGTGAGCCCATGTCCTCAACACCATGATGCCGAGCTCAAAGCAGGTTGCAGTGGATGTCGAAGGCATCACAATCTCCGGTACTGATACAGCGATTTCCTTCATCATTGATTGAAGACAATGAATGGCCTGCAACTCTTCAACTGCAGAAGTTTGTAGTCAGCGTGAAGCCCGAAATGTCTGCCAGCTCAGAAACCTACGTGGCGGAGAAGAATCGCAGCCCTTGGCAGCGATGGAAAAGAGCCATCTACTCAAGAAAACACCGCATTCTAGAACCGACAGTGCTTGAGGTACGCTTGAAAAATGCTCGGAAACATGAGACACATACGCAATCCCGATATTGACCGCTACTTTGAGCTGATGGATAGAGCGCTGAAGTGGCAGTAGTGAATACACTGAGCCGTGTGTCTTGTCCGAAGCAACGCGCAAAGATCTTGCGATTTCTTGGGGAGCGCGAGACTGTAGCAGGCCATGTATACCGAGATCCGCATGGAGCCGTACAGATGCCAGATCCTGGTATGCCATGATGTTCGAGTAGTGTAATTTTGCATCGCGAAGTTTGGACACTGAGCCCAGGGAAGATGTATAAGTCGACTCCAGAGACTGTATTGCGCGCCTGGGACAGCGTTTTTTTAGAGGTTTGTTGTCTAATAACAAGACGAAGATTCACTTACTGCAGTTCTGCTATAGCCTCCTGTCCCATGGTATCCCCGGTCGCAGTGTGTAATTGACGTAGATAGTAGGTTCGTTGTAGCAACGCCAATGCCAGGATGGTGCAGCCAAACTCAGAGGTGTTGGGCGAGGAGATTATCTTGGGGGTTTCGACTGCGGAAAGCAATGCGCGGAAGCTGTCTTGGAATGCCATTGGCTGAGTCTGCTGCATTCTTACAGCCAACCACTCGGTCTCGCTTTGTGCTTCCCATTGCTCTGTAGAACACGGCATGCACAATTGCCATTCACTGCACAGAGTTGGCGAGGGTACATTGTGCATGACTGTCTGCAGATTAAAAAAGCAAAATAGGGCGAGCTTGGTTCGTCTGTCTTGCTCCTCGTGTACCCAGTCGATCCAAGTCGTAGTAGGCCCATGAGGTTCTGAATGCTCAGTCAGCCCGTAGTGCCTTGCGACTTCGATCATAAGGGGTTGAAAGCCAAGAATTTCCTTGGTTATGGCAGTGATTTCTCCCCACATCCCGTAGAAGCCGAGCAGTAACAATGCTCTCAAGCTTTCCATGGCAGTATGCCGCTGTAGGTCAAAAACATCGTCCATAGTTCGCATTTCGAGGCCATCTGGTCTTGATCTTTGTGTTCCTTGCTCATTGATCTTTTGCCAAGCGCGTAAGTTGCTGAGAGCGATAGTCTTGGATGCATGGAACAGCTCATGGGATTTAGAACGTTCGAAACGCTGGTACGCACCAATTGCAGCCATAGCTAACATCGTCTCCGGACTGCAATCCTCCAGTGCCAAAGTAGGTAAGTGAATGAAAGGAAGATCTTGGTTGAAGTCTTCGACGTAGCCATCAAGATAGCGCATAATTGATTGTTGAGAAGGCATCAGAAAATATGGGAGATGCTGGTGAATAGCAAGTTGTAGCTGTTCATGGTTTCGTGCCTGCACCTCGGATATGTCTGATGTAGAGTGCGTCGTGTCGCAACCACTGCTGACTCCAGAGTCCTGGAACTCCGCACTAAGGTCTACAGGTATGTCAAATAGAAGAGTGCCCGGGTCCGCTTGTATCCCCATCGGATCCTGTGCTTCTGTCTGTGCAAGATCCATGTCATTCCAATCTAGATTCAGGTCACCGGTATTGAAGAGGCCGAGATAGTTGTCCATAGAAGTCAGATGATCTGCATCAGCTACAAGATGGTTTCCTGACTGATTGTCACCATTGGGTATCGCATCAAGTGTACCCGTGTTCGAGAAATCGGGATGCAAGATCTCAGAGACATCGCTGTATCGAGCGATCTGATGCTCGTCTTGATGGGTATTTGATCTCGCAGATGTCTGGATATCTAACGCGGAGGGACGAGCTGTGGTAGAACTGTTCGAGGCGACATTGTGCGAAATATCATTAGCGACTGGTGTAGCCCTTCCAGAGACTTCCGCACAAGTTTCATGAGCACGACGACCATGTCGCTTGAGCAGATCTTGCCTGGTAAACGTCCGTCCGCAAAAGCAGGAATATGGCCGTTCTTTGGTATCTTCACGCAAACAAAATTAGTTGTGAATTCTCATTGGGCAAATTTATAGAGTTGATGGACTCGATGGTGGTGGGGACATTATTTACGGGTTCGGAGGTGCCTTTGCAAATGCTCGAGGCGCGCGAAAGACCGATCGCAGGTACGACATTCGAAAGATCTTTCCTGTTCTTCCGAGTTTTGCATCATGATCATGAAAAAAACATCGAACAATCCATGCAAGCATGAAAAAGAAGAAACGATGAACGACTGCACGCGAAAGAGCTCGTGAAGGCAGGCCGTGCGTGACAAATGAGCGTTTTCGGAAATGGAACAAGAACGTCACTCTGTCATAAAAGTTTATGCAAAGCTTTCTGGTATTTCATCAAATACGTATATGCACAAATGCTCGCTGGAAACGAATAAAATATTCTAAACTCTGGCGGCGCGCAAAAAACCGACCATACCACCACAATACTGCGCCAGCATCTCAACTCTTTCCTTCTCTTCTACGACTCTGTCCCTCCATTCCTTAACCGCTTGTCTCAACTCTGCATCGTCGACGACAACATCAGAGTGTACTTTGAGGAAGACAGCCATCCAGGCTTGACCAAGCTCAAAGTCGCGTTTTGATGTGCAGACATAGGAGAGGGCGCGAACAAAGGCGACTAGCTCGTTGCAAGCATCTGATTCCGGATCAAAGGATGTAATTGGGGAAGACAGACTTCTGATCTCGATATCGGCGGCTGCGGGATTCAGACTCTTCAGATTTGTGATGAAGGGAGCAAAGTCGCCAGTTTCCGAAGCATCGCGCAGTAGTGATGTGAATCTCGAAACGGTGTTTTGGCGATCCATCTTCATGATGCGGCTACGCTCTTGCTCAATGGCGGCGAGATCTTGCGTGGTGTTTGTGTTTGCGATGGCGGGATTTGCTTGTCGTTCTTGTAAGGAGGGGAGGAAGAAAGGTGCCTTTTCTGGCTTCTTGGGCGCGGCGGTGGGAGCGTTCCGTTGGCGGATGATGTCCAAATGTAACAAGTTCTGCCAACGACTGCGAGGAACCAGTGATAATGAGACGAGATCGGAGGACAGAGCGTCCAATTCTGCGTCGGCATCGAGGTCGGCATCGATGTAGTCTTCGTCATCCGACTCAGCGTCAGGGGCGTTGGCAAGAGTGCCGATGATAGAGATGCTGCCTTCTCCTGATACTGTCGGTGCTTGGCCTTCGCTGGCAAGAATAGTCGACAGCTCTGCTTCGTTGATGTGGCGGGTAGGAACATGGGTGAAGAGGGTCTTGTTTGACCACACATCCACGCCGACATGCTCCTCACTCGCTGTTGCAAGGTACTCTCCTGTGGGAGAAAAGCTGATAGCGTTACATGTTGAGGGAAGCTTGAAGACATCGATCAAATGACCAGTAGGCAAGTCCCAAGCGCACACGAAAGATGACGTTGCTGCCATGACCCATCGTCCATCGTTGGAGAAGCCAAAGTCGGCAAAGTCGAAAGCCTTTGATTGTGATGATCGTGACATTCTCAACTCACGAATGAGCTTGAATGTGGTAACATCAACAACGCGGACACAGCCGTCAGAGCAAGAGAAAGCAGCAAGCTCAGATGAACGGTGCAATCTCAAGCCTGTAATCTCAACAGCTCCAGACCAGTCGATCTCATGCTTGAGAGCACCACTCATGAAGTCCCAGAACTTGATCTTGCCGTCAGCGCTGCAACTGATGACGGTGCGGTTCAAATTGTCAACAGCCAGACCAGTAACAGCGGCTGTGTGCTTGCCCTGTCCACGGTAGAACTTCTTCTTGCCAGACTCAGCGGCTGGAGCAATGGCTTCCTCTGCCTTTGCCAAGTCAAGCTTGAGTTGTTGTGCTTGGGCAGGAGTGAGTCGTGCAGGGTATCTCTGTCTGTGGCTTCCAGATTGCAAGTTGAACATGTCGATGCCACCATTTGCAGAACCAACAAGCGCAAAAGTACCGCAAGGTGAAACTGCAACACTCTTGACTTCTCCACCATCTTGAGTCTCAAAGGCCCATCTTCCAGCCTTCTTTCTGCCCCAGAACCAAGTTCTCGCCTTGTTGTCTCCTTGATGTGCGGTCACAACACTCTCCCATCCAGTCATGCTTGTAGCTTCGGTGCTGTTCTTGGTCTTTCCCTTGCCGGACTGCCAGATGGGGAATTTGCCAGGCATGGAGCCCATACCACCGTCGCGGTTGAGAGAGCATGCAATGGAAGTGATCGGAGGAGCCTTGAGTGCTTCGATGGTGTCTCTGCCTTCGGAGGAGAGGATACCCTGCTTCCTGGCCTTCTTTGTGACGTTACCCTGGGAAAGTTCGGTGCTTTGACCATCACGTCTCAAACTCCAGCCCCACAAACTGCGGTCCTTGCTAGTGCTGAGAAGCCATTTACCGCTTGCGTCTGAGCCGTCGGAAGCAGCAGGAAGGAAGGCTAGAGTTGTGACAGGTGCGCCATGACCGCTGCGCTGGTGCAGGATGCGAGGAACGGGGTTGAAGGGGCTCTCATCGAAGATCCAGGTCTTCAAACTGTTGTCCAGACCGCTCGTTGCGATGATAGCCTGACCAGGAAGGAATTCAACCTTGCTGACACCACCTGGCGAAGAAGATGACGGAGGAGCGTGAGCGCCACGCAGAACACCTTGCTTGCGACCGCCGTTGTTCAGATCCCATAATGTAACATCACCGCTCTCGTTTGAAGCAGTAGCCATGACACCAGCTCTTTTACCATCGTCTCCTGCACCCATGCCATCTGTTCTGAAAGTGATTGAAGTGATCGAGGGACCGTTTGTGCCGTGAGCGCTTGCGTTGAATTGGAGGATCTTTTTGTCGGCTTGAATATCCTGGATGATGAGAGGACCGGATTCGTATGCGATTGCGAGGAGGTTAAGGGCGGGCGTGGGCTGGAGAGCGGTAACGGCGCCGTAATCGGCAGCAGGAGGGAGGACCGAGTAGACCAGTTTGCCGCTTGAGACGTTCCAGATCTCGACAGTTCCGTCTTCCTTGCCAGCGACAATCTTGTTGAGCATGGTGGGCATGCTGCTGAGAGTTCCAGTGAAGGCTGAGGCGGTGACGCTCTGGAGAGTGGTGTAGAGTTCGTAGTTGGACGACTTCCAGACCAGAATCTGGTTGTCGCAAGCGCCGATGATCCATGAACCAAAGATACAGAAGGACTTGATGTTGTGTTCGTGGCGCAAAGGCATCTCCAGCTCAGCGATCTTCTTGCCTCTCTTGAAAATCCAGACACCGCGTTCTGACTCGGCAGCCTCAGCTCCCCAAGCGGCAAATACCAAGTCTTTCCATGCTATGCTTGCTGTAATGAACTCGGGAGTTTGAGGGCGGGTGATGAAGACGAGGTTGAGACCGCGGCGCAAGTCGTAGGTTTGCAGGCTTCGGCCGACGGATGTGGTAAGTTGGAAGGTCGTCTTTCCGAGAGCGATGCTGGTGAAGGGAACGGAAGTGGGCGAGACGAGGCCGACAGTCTACAGAACAGAGTCAGTATGGCTGGCATCGAAGATGATGGTACAAAGGACTTGCCCTGTACGGCGCAAAAAGTCGCGAAGAGCCAACCTGTCTCTGGCTCTTGACGACTATCTCATTCTGGTCAGTCCTTTGGCGCTTGACGGTCCGGCCTTCTTGAGCGCCGTTCGTAGCGACAGCAGCAGGCATGTTGTGTGGAATATGCTGTCGTGCACAAAAAGTCTCGTCTTTCCATCAAAACTTCAATCGCGACGCCAACATTTCTTGAGCTCGGACCAACTCCATCTTTCGCAATCGCCGCTAAACGCCGGCCCAAATTGATTACTCGAGTAAGCCAGAGGCAGGGAAGCACCGAAGCATGCCACCAAACACCCTGCATCATCATATCACCTGCGTGCATACCAAAATCACCCTGATCTTCCCTCTGTAGTGACCTGATTTCCTCCATCGCCATGTGTCCTTAGCATGATACCACTTGACCTATTCTTACCGTCTCCAAGACAAGACCGTGTGCCTATCCATCATTGTTTGAAGCCCAAGGGCTGCGTCACAGGCCATGGAGCCTTTGCATCGGACAAGCAGTTCAGAGAGCCAGCAATCGAGAAGGAGCTCGTCGGCGTCGCATATTCTGTCGTCTCCCTTGCTGGATCACAAAGCACACTATGCCGAACCCGATGTTGCTCGACTCAGCAGCGCCGCCGTCAAGAGGGCGAGTATCAGCATGCCACATCCGTTAAAGTCAAATCCCCATCTTTCTCCACCTCCGCGACGAGCATCCAGGGCCCATTCCGAGCACAATCTGCTGGCCCACGTCCTGCAAGCACACAGGATGGCTTCTTCCAGTCTACCGGACTCGTCTGCCATCATCGACGACTCGGACGCGACTCCCATCGACACGCACCACAACAGCGAACCCAACCTCGCCGTGCCCCGCCAAGATAACGACGACTCGAATCGCCTTTCTTTTTCCCTCTACCAATTGGGCTCTGCTCTGTACGACCGTGCAAGGGGCGCTGTTTCAAGTACTCCTGCCAGTTCTGTCGCCGGTTCAGAAACGGATGGTAAGTTTCTTGACCATTTTTTCCACTTTTTTCAGCACACCAAGACCCTCTTCGATTCGTCTTTCGTCATTGTGCTTGTGCTCAACCGTCACAGCCAAAAGCAATCCACCCATCTTATCTCTACAAAACCCCTGTCTAACCACCAACAGCTGCTCCTAGGCTAGACGCCGCCTCTCTGTCGTTACCTGCTTCCGCCCCCAACGGCACCCTCTCTGCGCCCGCCGCCGCCATGAACCGCGACAACACTCTCCCACCGCCCGTTCAGTCCGAGCCCAACTCGACTGCAACCTCCCCTAGAGCCAGCATGTTCGCTACCTTCCCCCGCAACCCTCCCCCGTCCTCGAACGCGAACCCTCGGGGCAGAACTCCGCAATCGAGAAGAGTTAGCAGCAGCACAGTCAACAGCGCATCTCCTAGTACCGAGCGCCCTGAACAAGACAAGCCCGTACCCATTGGCAAGATCGGTATCTGCGCTCTTGACAGCAAGGCCAGAAGCAAGCCCAGTCGTAACATTCTGAACAGGCTCATCAAAGAGGGCGAGTTCGAGGTCATTGTCTTTGGTGACAAGGTCATCCTGGACGAAGATGTCGAGAATTGGCCCGTCTGCGACTTTCTCATCTCCTTCTTCTCCGAAGGCTTCCCTCTGGACAAGGCTATCGCATACGCCAAACTGCGCAAACCCTTCTGTGTTAATGACCTACCCATGCAGACCATCCTCTGGGATCGCCGTATCTGCCTACAAATCCTCACAAAGCTCAACGTCCCCACGCCCGAACGTGTCGAAGTCAACCGCGACGGAGGTCCCAAGGTGCAATCTGCCGACATTGCCCAGAGATGCTTCGAGAAGACTGGCCTCCGATTCCCTGTACTGGGCAGCCAGCCCGAGCCCGAGTCACAGCAAACCGCAAACCCTGTCGTGGAATTGCTGGACGATGGCGACACCATCTCAGTCGACGGCAAGACTCTGACCAAGCCTTTCGTCGAGAAGCCCACCGACGGCGAAGATCACAACATCCACATCTACTATCCTAAGAGCCAGGGAGGAGGTGGCAGAAGATTGTTCCGCAAGGTCAACAACAAGAGTTCGGAAAAGGACGAGACTTTGACAGTACCCAGATCTATCACAGAACCTGGAAGCAGCTACATCTACGAACAGTTCCTTAAGGTGGAGAATGCTGAAGATGTCAAGGCTTACACCGTCGGTCCCGAATACTGCCACGCTGAGACCAGAAAGTCCCCTGTCGTTGATGGTGTCGTCAAGCGTAACCCCAACGGTAAGGAGGTTCGCTATGTCACAAGCTTGAGCAAGGTAGAGGCCGGTATGGCCTCAAGAATTGCCGAAGGTTTCGGACAACGCGTGTGTGGTTTTGACCTGCTCCGTGTGGGCGAGAAGAGTTACGTTATCGACGTCAATGGCTGGAGTTTTGTCAAGGATAACAACGACTACTACGACAAATGCGCAAACGTCCTGAAGAGCATGTTTATCCGCGAAAAGGTCAGAGTGGAGAACAAGCAACAGCAACAACAACAGCAACAGCAGCAACAGGCTACTTCCGCTCCCACGTCGGCACCAGAGGACAACTACGAAAGAGAAGCTCCTGGAACACACCGTAAAAGCACCGTCTCAAACCACCGCAGCCATCTCAAGTCAGTCTTCCGCTCCGCCAGCGCCAACAGACTACGAGAAATGGCCAACAAGAAGCCTGGCTCGCCCGAAATATCCCAGCTCCCGTCTCCTATCACCTCACCGCCAAACTTCGAGACGCTCCCTCTTCCTCGCAGTCCCGGCATTCCTCAAACAGAGCAGCTCCCTCCTGCTATGCTTGATGAGAATCACCAGTACCAGACTTTGCAGGAGTCTATCCACGAAGAGGAACACCATGAGCCCGTCCCCGCCCCTGCTTCCAAGTCGCAATGGAAGCTCAAGGGAATGGTTGCTGTCATTCGTCATGCCGACCGTACACCCAAGCAAAAGTTCAAGTTCACCTTCCACACAAAGCCTTTCGTCGATCTGCTCAAGGGTCATCGTGAGGAAGTCTTGCTTGTCGGAGAAGCTGCCCTGAAGAGCGTACAGGAAGCCGTCCAACAAGCCCTGCGCGAGGGCGAGGAGGACCAGACCAAGCTCCGCACTCTGTCCAACGCACTTGACAAGAAGGGTAGCTGGCCCGGTACAAAGGTCCAGATCAAGCCCATGTTCCGTAAGAGAAGACAGGAAGAGCTCCCCGCCGAACTCCAGGACAAGGTTTCCGTCGATCAGGACGGCAATGCAAAGCCAAAGGCTGATCCTCTGCAGACTGTTGATGCAGAGGCTGCTGACAAGCACTCGCGCAGTGAGTCCATGTCGGACGTAACATTGTCCAGGATCTCCGCTGCCGAGAACAACCTTGTACTCGACAAGCTGCAGCTCGTCATGAAGTGGGGTGGTGAACCTACTCATTCTGCTCGTTATCAAGCTCAGGATCTTGGTGATAACATGAGGAACGACCTGCTCTTGATGAACAAAGATGCCCTCAGAGATGTTCGCGTCTTCACCTCATCAGAACGTCGTGTCTCTACCAGTGCCCAAATCTTCACCGCCTCCTTTTTGGACCAGAAAGAGCTTGATCCAGACTTCATCTCGGTCCGTAAGGATCTTCTGGACGATTCGAATGCAGCCAAGGATGAGATGGACAAGGTCAAGAAGAAGCTGAAGGGGCTTCTCCGCCAAGGCAAGCAAGCTCCCGAGCAGTTTGCTTGGCCCAAGGACGGCACTCCCGAGCCTTACTTGGTTGTCCGCAGTGTCGTTGAGCTGATGAAGTTCCACCGTCGCGTCATGCTTCAGAACTTCACCAGACTTCGTCCTGAAGGAGAAGGAGGACCACCTATCAAAAGCCCACCTAGCAATGCCTCATCGGCCAGCCTTGAGACAACCAAGAGCGAGACTACTGGTCTTGACGCCAAACAGATCCAGTCAAGATGGTGCTGCGGTGAAGATGCCTCGTTGTTCAAGGAACGTTGGGAGAAGCTCTTCAAGGAATTCACCGATGCCGAAAAGGTCGACCCTAGTAAGATTAGTGAGCTCTACGACACGATGAAGTTTGATGCCCTGCACAATCGTCAGTTCCTTGAATGGGTCTTTACCCCAAGCGGCGACATGGTTGATGACGACCAAGAACGACCCGACACTCTCAAGCGTACCGCCTCTGCAGACATGAGAGAAGAGTTTGGTCAGACACACGAAGGTCTCAAACCAGCAAAGGAGGCGACTCAACCCGACAAGGACGGCCAGCCTGCCAAGCAGCAAGACAAGGAGAAGAGTGATGATAAAGACAAATTATCTCACATGGCAAGCTTGAGAAGACGTTCCGAGAATGCTTCCACGACCTTCAAGAACGCTCAAGCTACTTTGGCTAATCGTGTCTCTGGTCACCCCGAGTCGTACTTCTCGCTCTTCACCGGCAACAGAGATCTTCCCGAGTCAAAGGCAAAGATTGACGAGCGTCTCGAGAAACTGAGAGAGCTGTACCGTTTCTCGAAGGTACTCTTCGACTACATTGGTCCTCAAGAGTATGGTATGCTGGAGAGCGAGAAGCTCGAGATTGGTCTTCTAACCAGTCTTCCCTTGCTCAAGGAGATTGTCACCGATCTGGAGGAAGGTATGTGCAGCGAGCCTCCGACTTATAGACTGCATTCGCTAACTCATCATTCACAGTGCAAGCGTCCGAAGACGCCAAGTCGTTCATCTACTTCACCAAGGAATCTCACATCTACACTCTCCTCAACTCCATCATTGAAGGTGGTGTGCAAACCAAGATTGCCCGCAACGCCATCCCCGAACTCGACTACCTTTCGCAAATCTGCTTCGAACTCTATGAATCTCAGAACGAAGCACCCACAGACGGCTCCGAAGGCAGCTGCTTCAACTACAGCATTCGCATCACCCTCTCGCCTGGTTGTCATGCTTTCGACCCGCTTGACGTCCAGCTTGACAGCAAGCACTGTATTGGCTGCACTCCTCGCAGAAGTCTGACCCCTCATGTTGAGTGGAAGGAGATTCTCGAGACACTGAGAGCCAAATTCCACACTGTCAAATTGCCCAAGAGTTTCCTGGCCGTCAACTTGAGTGAGAAGGTTCCTCAGGCCTTTGCTGCTCCAGAAGAGGGTTCTGCTGAGCCCAAGGTTGTTGGTGTGGAGGCCAGTCCCATTGCTCCTGCTCATCAACCTTGATTGGTGAAACAGCACTTCTGAATCAAGGGTTTCGGCGTATTCTAGGCTATGTTTTATGATCGCGTTGGAAGGTGTTCTGATTTGGGTTTACAGATAGATAGATTCCATGTACACGTTCCATTCACGTCCATCCATAACCAATTCTGAGATATAATCTTATGTGGCCGCCGTGTTCCTCATTGCCAAGTTTCTCCCCACCTCCGTGAGGGAGCCTCGGCAAGCATGTGCCAACCGCTTCTTCTTTCTGGACCAAGGTCACACCTTCCCAAGTCAAGTCATGTAAAAGTGTTCAGTCCCATCTGGAATAGATATCTCATGCATTTGAACTTTCGAGTCAATACGCAATGAATGACATACAACTCATACCCATCACGCTGCCCCAGTTGGCCACACTACGACCGGGTTCTACCAGCAGCGCAAAGTCAATACCGGCGCGACAAGCTGAGGAAGAAGTATTGGATATCAATACGTCGGTCGAGCAGTCTCTTGCCCCTGTGGATGGAGGGCTTGCTGCTTGGAGATTGCTTTTTGCTGCCTTTGTCTTTGAGACATTGCTTTGGGGTGAGTGATTATTGTCGCCCAAAGCATTGGAGAGCATCGAAAGATTGTCTAACCCGGATACCTTGTGATAACAGGTTTCCCTCTCTCCTTTGGTGTGTTTCAAGAATACTATTCCAAGACAACCGAGTTTGCAGGAAATCGCTACATTCCTGTTGTTGGTACTGTTGCTTCTGGGTTAGGTTATCTGGGTGCTCCTCTTGCTATGGCTTTCATCCAACGCTTCTCTCGGTATCGAAGGCAGATGATATGGATAGGCTGTCAGTTATCTCTTTCGTATCTCTCAGATTTCTTCCGATACCTTACTGATATTCACTAGGGCCCATTTGTATACTCGGCCTCGCCCTCGGCTCCTTTGCCTCTTCTCTAGAAGCATTGATCTTATCTCAAGGTATTGCATATGGAACAGGCTTCTTGATATTTTACTACCCCATCTTATCGATGGTGGACGAATACTGGATAGCCAAACGAGGAATGGCATATGGAATCCTTTGCGCTGCTTCTGGATTTTCTGGTGCTTTCATGCCTTTTGTATTGCAAAGTCTGTTGCACATGTATGGTTGGAGGATTACCCTCCGCGCTGTCGCTGTTGCGTTGACCGTTGCTACCGGCCCTCTGATTCCTGTGCTCGAAGGCCGATTGCCAGAATCCAGAGCCACAATTAGGAGCAAGATCAATTGGAAGTTTCTGGAAAGTTCAACCTTCTGGATTTACTCGACTGCGAATCTCCTCCAAGGCTTTGGATACCTTTTCCCTGCTTTGTATCTACCTTCTTTCGCTTCTTCTCTGGGGCTTGGAGCAAACAGCGGCGCGATACTTTTGGCCATCATGTCCATCTCCCAAGTTGCTGGGCAGTTCACTTTTGGCTACCTGTCTGATCGCAAGGTACCCGTCAATATTCTCGCTTTGCTTTCTACGACCATGGCGGCTATTGCTTGTCTTGCGATTTGGAGGAATGCTTCTTCTTTGCCTATTCTCGTTGTCTTTGCTATCTTTTATGGTTTCTTCGGTGCTGGATTCACGGCTACTTGGGCCAGGATGACGAGTGCAATTACTGAGGATATTGTGACTGCACCCATGGTGTTTGGGTTGTTGAACTTTGGCAAGGGTGTTGGCAATGTTCTTGCCGGTCCGATCGGAGGTATTCTTGTCTCTGACAGTGCTGGGATACAAGATGGCGGAAATTATCGATTGGTCATTCTGTTCACTGGGGTTTGTATGGTTGCCAGTGCTTGTGTTATTTGCTCCAGATACTGCAAGATTGAATTCGATCGCGTGCGGGGAGGTGCTTAGTCACTAGCAAGCAATCCTCAGGCTCTTGACCCGTCACTCCTCGCCTAAAAGTGATTACCCATACCATGCCCTAACGATCAACTTAGGGCTCGGAACCTCGTGACCGCAAGATGGTCGGACGGGGGAACGTGCGAGAGGTTGCCTGTGGGGAAATAAGCGTGAACTCGGCCGGGCTGTGGGGAATTCAGGGACGAACTGCGGGGATTCTTAAGTTCGAATTGTCATTGAGCAACGGGTAAACTCTTGCTCCTTCTTATTTCGCGATCTGAGTGCCAATCAGGGGAGTTCGGCAGGTCTTTGCTGTGGGGAAGGTGGATATGATATGCTCAAGCACTGATATTTATGTCTTGTAAGCTCTGCCGTGCCATGTGGTTTGATGTACCGGCGAGAGCGGGATTGAACGGCAGAGAGTCTAGAAGGATTGTAGATGATACAATGCAGTTGGTGGAAGGGTTTTATAAGGACCGAACATCCTGGTTGAAGACGCATTACTCACACAACTCTCATACACGCACATCATGAGGATCTCATCCGCCATCTCTGCCTTGACCGCATTGGTCTCGGTTACCAGTGCTGCTGCAACCACAAAGGCTGTTTCAGCCTCGGTCACCTTTGACAACAACAGAAGATTCTTGTTCGACACCGATGGCAGACAGATTGATGCCTATGGTTCAAAGGTCAACAACTTCAACGGCAAATACTACCTCTACGGCAATTCGTTCTCGGAGACTGGCGTCGCTTATGGCATAAAGTCGTACTCTTCAAGCGATCTTCAATCATGGTATGCATCGAAGATTCGTGCAAAAGAGGACTGAATGCTGACATTCCTCCTTTTCAGGCAATACGAAGGACTCCTCTTCGATCCTGCCAACAAGAACAACCCCTGCGCTGGGTCTGGCGGTTGTGGACGCCCTCACATCGTGTATAACCCAAACAAGAAGTCATATGTTCTCTGGGCCAATGCTGGAGAAGTCGGCTACGTGGTTGCAACATCAACATCGCCTACTGGTCCATTTGTCTTCTCCGCCGCGAGAGCTCTCATCGACCCTGCCTTTGACGGTCTGCAGCCAGCCGACTTCACCGTCGAAGTCATCAACGGTACTGGTTACATTGTCTTCTCGGCTTTGAACTTCAGAAGCCCCAATGCTGGCAATGTCTGGCCTCCAATCTTCCAGAACCTGCATGTCAGCAAGTTGACAGACGACTTCATGAACACAACCAGAGTCAGCTACCCGGTCAGCTCGGCTGCCGGAGATCTGATTGACAATGAAGCCGAGTCGCCTGATATTTTCAAGGTCGGAAACACCTTCTATGTTGCTGCTTCAAATACCTGCGGTTACTGCAATGGCTCAATCGCGCTGCTGTATCGCTCAAACTCTATCCAAGGTCCATGGACTCGCCAAATCCTCGAAGGATACTCTTGCAATGGTCAAGTTGAAGGCGTTCTCCCTCTGACAAATCCTGCAAACGGTGCTGTAACCAATGTCTGGCACTCAACTTCTGTTCCTGGGGGTCCTCGTACTGGATTCGGCGGCCACATCTTCCAACCCCTGACTTTCAACGCCGACGGCAGCGCAAAGAACCTCGACTGCTCGACCACTGCATCCTTCCCCGTCACCTTCACCAAGGGCAACGGCACAGCACCAGCAGGAAATGCGACAAAGGCCGTTGATACCACACCAGCCCTTGCTGTATACAACCCCGTCTGCGATTCCGACTCTTTCATCTTGTACCAAACCTGGACAGCATCGAAAGCCGGAACCATCAAGAGCGTCTCCCTGAACGTCGCTCGTGGCTCGCAGACCGTACCTCTCACCCTTACCGTCTTTAAGCTTAACTCCTTGAACGATCTCTTCACACCTGGTTTCAAGTGGACCGCTCTCGGCACCGCTGCCTTCAACGCAAACCAGACAACCTACACTTTCGACACCGTAACCGTACCCGTTACTACCAATTCCACAGTGACCAAGGGTGAATTGTTGGGTTTGTCGATCTCGGGAGCTGATTATTCGCCTTGGTGTCATTTGGAGTATTCGACTACTCAAGATTGTGGATTCAAGTTGTACCAGCAGGGCAACGGGCAGTACTCTTGGAGAGGACTGCAGGGAAAGAACCCGCCAGTTTATGAGAGGCAGGGCAAGAGTGTCAAGTTTTTCGCGACGTACGCTTGAGCGTATCGTTCAGCACTGTGTCCATTCTGTACATATCACAGCAATTGTAAGCAATACCACGCAAGAATTGTACTCTGCGTCTTGTATTTGAGATGGTTGCAAAGAGCGGAATGGTTGCGACAGCGTCTTCATACAAATGTCGGTGATCGGTGTTTTGGCGATTACCAATCCTCGCGGTTGCGAGAGCGTTTCGGCGTGAGATTTCACCGAGCGCAGCAAATTCTTGACAAGCAAATCATCTGCCCGTTGAACCTTCTTTCACTCCTTCCAAGCCTCGTAGATTCGACTCACCTGTTTGCGTCTTGAGTACGTGCTACTGGTCATCGTTAGCATGTTAATTAGCTATCTTTACTAGGACCGTAGGCCGTAGGGATATAAGCGTTAAAACTCGATTTTGAACTTTCCGAATTCCGGCGTGCGGGGTCTAATTTCTAAAGCTTTCCGACTCGCTTAGCGACTCGCACCTTGCCTCGCAAATTCCGCGAAACTTCGTCCTAAAACAACAAACAAATAATATGCCGCGGCCGCAAACTAACATTAACGACTTTAAGGATCTAATCCGGTACTAGATATAGTACGGCCTTCGTTTAGAAGGCGTATAGAACAATCTATTCTATAACTATAGTATACGAGTATCTCGACGTACGCTTTAAAGGAGGCTTTAAGAGTAGCAAATTATAACATATCGTTAAAGGCTTACTACCGAAGATGAAGGCCCTCTTACTATATATATTATAGACCTATTCTATTTATACCTACTAACCGACGAGTAGATAGTAGAGATCCTTACCCTTAAAGGGTTCGATGTTAGCAAATATATAGTTAAAAAGAAGAGACTAGCTATACGCCTCTATAAGCGACCCCCTTAGGAATTAGAAGAGGAGATCGAGGCTATAATACGAGACTACATTATATAGGAATACCGTAACGGTAAGGTCGAGGACTATAGTAAGGGTTATCTATATAGCTATCTTCGAGATTAATATCAATAATTCTATATTATTAGAAGGTAAGTCTAACTTACAACTAGACTCGTAGAGTAACTTATAGATATTAACTCGCCATACGACTCGTAGTAGACTTATAGCTAATTATTTTTATGCCTATAGGGAACGAGTCTACTATATCGCTCGATCTATTACGCTAGAAGGCTTCGAATGCCGACTTAAGAAACAGTTCGTACGCCGTATAGCATATAAGAGCCTAGGGCTAAACTAGACATAGTTAATAGATGCTTACTATAAGCTAGAGTACTAGGGAATTAAGATCTATGCTACTATTAATTACTTCTTAAGGAACATTATATAGATATACGTTAGCATATCCGCTCGCACTACTATCTCTATATTAGAGTAATACATTATAATAGTTAAAGCTACTAGTTATATGCCTTAGTTCGTACGAACTAACCGAGGAGTAGAGACTATAATAGCTATAGATGCTTACTACTACCTTATACGGTTAGTATAGGGCGACATACTGTTCTTAGATTGCTTTAAGTTTAGAACTAGTAAGTAGAACTAGAGGATTAAGTCTTAGTAGGGGCAAGTTACAAAGTATAAGATATAACTCGCTAAGAACTTATAATGTTAACTCGTAATGTTAACTCGTAATGGACTTATAATGCTAACTTATAACATTAGCAATTCTTACCTAATAGAGAACCTATTTTAAACGTCTTATTTTAGAGCAGATCTTTACTAGAGACTCTACTATCGACCGTATTGCGCTCCTTACTATCTATATACTAATAATCCGCTAGAACGTAATAAGCTTCGTACACTAATAGAATAATTACTTAGTTAGAAAGTAGGAAGGTAAAGTTACTAGGCTACTAAAGCTTAACTATAATTACCCTTAGCGTAAGGGGGTCTATATAGAGGATTAAGGCATTAGCGTTAACCCTAAGCTACTAGAGCTATTTAAGTAATACCTCGAGGGCTACAATCTAGACGAATACCTACTAGAAAGCGTTATTATATAGTATAGAGATAAGCTCCGTTAGGCATTTCCCTTAGATCTTTACCCTTGTACTTTCGATAGTAATAGCGACATATAAGGAAGCATAATTAGACTAGATAGTGCTAACCGTATACACTACCTTACATATAAACACCTTCGAAGTAGGATTATAGAATACATCCTCTTAGGAGAAGAACCTCTTCTAGTAGAGTCTAAAAAGCTACAAGGTGCTCGTAATTAGTAAGCGTATTTAAGGGTAGTAGAGGCGTTTAATGTAGCTAATAGAGACATCCTTAGTCCCTTATTTAAGTTCGATGCGTTATAAGAGGTAGATAGAATAGTAAGAAGGGAGATAGGCGCTTAAATCTAGACTCGTAGTAGACTTATAATTAACTCGTATATTCCTCGCATTTAACTCGTAGTAGACTCGTAGTAGACTCGTAGATTATCTTATATAGACCTAAAAGTTTATATAATTTCCTACTTGTAGTAGCCTCGCTTACTAACTTATAGATCTTATAGGAATAAAACCTTACTTATTAAATCGTCCTACCTTCTCCTCCTTCTTCTTCTTCTCTTCTATCCTCTCTATTATAGACGAAAGCATACTAGACTAGGGCCCGGAATAGCTATACTACTATACGTTTAATAGTAAACCGTATAATAAATATGCTATATATAACTTCTACCCTACGTGCTCTCGTCGTAATCTAATTAAACCTAAGGATAGACTAGTTATTAACACTTAAGCTACTAGTAGCGTACTAGAACGTAGAGTAACCGCTACTCCCTCGTCCCCTATACCTTTCTCTTACGCTTAAAAGGTCTTTCTAGCACCTACTACAGTAGAAAGCGAACGTAACTAAGTAAATAAAAAGATCCGCCTTAATTAAGAGAAGCTACGCGTAGAGGCTAGATCTATCACTCCATTACTTAGAAGTCTATAGAAGCCTTAGTAATAGCTATAGGAGAGGAACTATAAGTTCGAGTTAGCTACATATAAGATTATATTATATAGGGACCCTAATAACAACCTTAAGGAATAGGACCCTCTACGCTATATAGGCTAATAGGTAGAGTCCCTCTCTAATAGGACTTACTAGTTAATAAGCTTAATAAGTTAAACTATCTAGCTAATCTATTTATACGCTACTACCCTTAGGATAATATATTAGTTAAATCCGCCTAGAACTGCACCTTTATTAATAGCTTCTAGAAGGGAAACGAGCTAATCTAGTATAGTAAACGTACCCTCTAATACGACAGTCTATAAGAGGTCTTACGTCCTTACTATTAGCTAAAGGTTAGAACTTACGCTATAGATCTTTATTTTAAAATAGAAGAGGTTAAGCTAAGGGCCCCCTTACCTACTCCTAGCGAGGTTACTAGTACTCTTACTACTACTACTAGCGCTAATGCTAATGCTTCTAGTGCTGTCGCTAGCACTAAGATTAAATAAGAACAACTTAGTTAGACTTAGAAGGTAACTCGTAGCTACCTTACAATGTAGACTCGCCCGCTAATAGTTATAGCCTTTTAATCTAGATAAGCCTCCTCTACTTATTCGTCTTACTTCCGACTCTCTAACACTAATTACGCCTTACTCTATGCGTATTTAATCATCTATCAAAGGTTATACTATAGTTCTAAGAAAGAGGAAGCGTATATTAGACAGCATTACTCTAAATAATATAAAGTAGTTAAAGCTAGCTACTAAAACCCTACCGCTTACGACTCGTAGTGCGACTCGTAAAGCGACTTATAACTTAAACTAGGTAGATTAAGCATAAGAGTAATATCGAGTATCTTCTAGAGTATAGTCTTACTCTCTACGAGTTAGTATGCGAGTTAGCTACGAGTTGTCGCACTAGGAAATTCGCTTGTTTATTTGTTTACTTCTCGAAAATTTTAACTAACTTTTACCTATATAATATTACTCTTACACTTCCTTCTACTATTACTCTTCTACTATTATTACTCCTCTACTATCGTATACTTATAATAAGCGACTCTAACTATAATACTGCTATACGCGCCGCTTACGACCGCGACGAGAGCATCTACTATAGTAACCGCCTAGCTAGCGTTACCGACGACGACCTTAACGACATAACTACTACTAATACGGCTACCTTACCTATTAACGACGAGACCTTTAAAGAGGTCGACGCTACTCCTAACCTTACCCTCCCTCGCTACTCTACCCGTAATAGTAAGACTAATACTACCCTCGACGTCGATATAGCTACTACCCTTACCCCTACTAAGAAATCCGCCTCTAAGAAGAAGGCTAAGGCTACTACTAAGGCCGATAGGGCCGCCTCTCGTATCTAGGCTACCCTAAAGAAGGCTACTAGCTCGAAGAAAGAGGCTACCTCCTATATAACCTATAAGCGTATTAAGAGATACCGTCGCGAGAGGTTCGAGGCTAAGGCTACTCTTACTAAGAATAAGGCTAAGGCTAAGGATAAGGACGAGATAGAGGATAAAGATATAGGTAATGTCTCTAGCATCCCTACTATCCCTTCTAACGAGTAAGACTTATTAGTTCTACTACTTTTTCTCTTACTAATTTAAATAGCGATTTGCCTAAGGACCTTCATAGACTAGTTTGCCCTTCTAGTAACTACTACTATAGCATCGGCCTTATTAAGTAGAGAACCTTACTTATTAACGCTAGCGATGCCTATACTAATAGTAATAAGGCTACTCTTAAGAAGGTAAAGGCGAGCATCCTTAACGCTCTTAAGGCCGAGCGTATAGAAGATAATAAGGAGGGAGAGGATGCTAGTACTCTATACGACACCTATAAGAAGAAGGGTCTAAAGTGCTATATATAGATCGATAAGAGTAATAGTAGTAGCTATACCTTCTATAAGTGCCTCTACCGCCCTAAGTGTAACGCTATTAAGGTAAGCAAATTTAACTCGTAGCTAACTCGTAGTAGACTCGTAAATCGACTCGTAGTAGACTCGCAAATTAACTCGTAAATTATATAACTTATAATCTACGAGTCGGTTTACGAGTCTACTACGAGTTAGCTACGAGTTAACTTACGAGTCCTTTACGAGTTAACCTCCGAGTTAACTCGTAACGGACTCGTAGAAGACTCGTAAACTAATACGATTTATAGGCTAACCCCGATAGTAGTATTAACTCTCCCTCTACCGCTACCTCTATTTGCCGTCCTCTCTAGGACTTAGAGGACGAAGCTAATGCCGACGAAGCTATTTAGGAGATTAGGGATTCCCTTAAGGCTGCCGAGACTGCCGCTAAGAGCGCTTAAGCTTTTATAAAGGCCGCTACTAGTAGTGCTAAGCTTACTTGCAACTTCTTTTCTAAGTCTACTAGTTAGGCCTCTAATGCTACTAAGGCCGTTAATTAGATTAAGTAGCTCTCTATCGTCTAGTTAGAGCGTATAAATAACACCGAGGCCGTCTCTTAAGAGGCTAGCTTCTACTCTTCTTAAGCTAGCGCTAATGCTCTTATTACTCGTAAGGCTACTAATGCTATTTAGTTAGTAGTTACTTAGATCTTTAATGCTAGCTATACTAATGCTAACGCTTAGCACCCTGTCCTCGCTATAATCCTTAACTGCCTTACTAGCCTCGAGCGTAGCTATACTACGCTTAAATAGGAAAACCGCGCCCTTTATTAGCGTGTTAACGTAGAGGTAGCTAAGTTCGATGCCTATAGAACCCGTAACCCTAGCCGTTTCCCTAAGGCCGAAGATAAGGTTTAAATGCTATTACTAGAGTTATAGTTACTACGGAGGAGTTAATTGCTTTAATTGCCTTTAAGATACCCTAATAGCGTTATTTACTTTAGCGAGTCCACTGCGAGTCCTCTACGAGTCGCAAATTTAGAGATTTTGAGCCAATTTGCCCTATAGACTAGTGCCCTAAATCGAGTTTTGACGCTTGTATCCCTATGGCCCACGGTCACTGGTCGTTCACTGCAAAGACTCACAGTTTCTACCGACACACCGGTCGAAGATGGCGGGAAGGATTGTAAGCCGGACCCGAGAGGCTCCAATTGGTTGTCAGCCGGCGCCAAATTGATCCCGACTGTTGTCGCGACCGAAAGTTTCACCCTACGGACTTTTTGCATCGGAGAATAAAAAGATAGGTCTTCCCATGTAAGTCGTGTTCTTTCTATACCATCTTCATCTGCATCAACATCTGGATTCCTCGGTCTATAACACACATTAGCACTCTGCTCTCACTCACTGCGACGAACAAATCCCAGCATCAGCGCTTCCGCGAGACAGTTCTCTACAAATCCCACAACACCAGTCATCAATCATGTCGTCGCATGTTGTCATTATCGGCGGTTCCTACGCAGGAGCCAAAGTTGCACACAAGGTCCTCAAGGAAACACCCAACTCCAAGGTCACTTTAATCGATGCCTCGGATGTCTTCTACTTTAACATTGCCTCGCCGCGAATTATCGCCAAGCCCAAGGAAGCCAAGGTCGACCAATACTTGATTCCCATCATGGACAAGTTCAAGCATTATCCCACCAACAGATTCACTTTCGTACAAGGTCTTGTGAATACGGTGGACACTTCCGCCAAGATCGTGAAAGTCGAAGGAAAGCAGGATATCTCTTACGATTATCTGGTTGTCGCTTCTGGATCTACAACTCCCGGAACTGTTGGCAAGGAAGCTATTCCCTTCAAGACTACTGGAGCGGATATCCGCGAGAAGGTTGAGGATGCTCAAAAAAGAGTAGCAGCCGCCGACAGTATTGTCATCATCGGCGCAGGCCCTGTCGGAGTCGAAGCTGCTGGTGAGATTGCACAAGCATATCCCAAGACCAAAGTCACTCTCATCGCATCCCACAATCAAGTCCTTCCCGATCTCAAGCCTTCTGCCGGAAAGTCAGCACATGCCAGTCTGGAAAACCTGGGCGTCAAGATCATTTACTCTGTTCGTGTTGACGACAGCAAGCAAGATCCCTCTGGCAGATTTACCGTCACCCTCAACAACGGCAAGACTATTGAAGCGGCACTTGTCATTTCTGCAGCGGGAAACATCGCAAACACTTCTTTCATGCCCCGTGACGCACTCGACTCAGATGGCTGGATCAACGTCGACAAGAACATGCGCGTCACCTCCGTCACCGACAAGTCCGTCTACGCTCTGGGTGACGCCACAATGTACAAGCAGCGATACGCACTTAAGATCAACGACCAGATCCCCGTCGTTGCCAACAACCTCAAGAACGCCATCACAAACACTGGCGCCGTGAAGACCTATGACGCTACTGACAAGCTCATGGTCTTTGTGCCAATTGGCAGCAAGACTGGTACTGGACAGATTGGTGGATGGGTGCCTTTCAGTTTCATGGTTGCTTTCGCAAAAGGCAAAGATTATTTCATGTCGAGAGCTGCTACTTTTATTGCCGCATAGAGTCTTGCGCTTGAGATTTTCGGTGCTCGTTTTTTCTTGCTTCATAGCGTGAGATATCCTGTCTGATCTTGGTTGATATATCCAATAGCATAATAGAGTCTTTTCATTACTTCAAGTCGAGTTTCCCGGCTTCTACTGCCCAGTCGCAAGTTGTCATTGGATTATCCAGCGTTCGCGGTTCACAAGGCTAAATCGAATCATTGCTAAGGGAATGCAGGGAATCATTCGAGATTCAAAAGCTTCCAGTGACAAGCCTGAGACGAGCATTCTCTCAAACCAAACCCAGTGCCCATGTCTTACTTGATGGATTCGAGCATATCCGACTGCTGATATACCTGAGCGGCTCAATATACAAGGGCCGGAACAAAAGCTTGTCGAACCTTGTTGCGTTGACATCTGCATGTCCAAGAAAAGAAGGGAAAGCGCGAAACGATGGTCGCCGCTGACTCATCACTTGCCGTCGTACTTCTCCTTCGCTTGCGCAACCTCGACCGTCCCTTCTGCATCAACGTTGAACCAAGAGAATAGCATGATGACTTGATCATGCCATTTAGCCGCCCTCACAAGTTGTGTTGTCTTTCTGGCCTTCGACTTCGTATATCGCTTAGCTTGTGCTCGTTCAATTTGAAACTCGATTGCTCCTCAGCCGGCGGTGGGACGGGCCGCTTTACCGCTTCTTGAATATTGGGAAGCATGCGGATATCGAAAATCATGGTCCTTCTCGATGGAGTATTCGGCCCTGCATACTATCATCTGCCGAAGTGATCTTGGAACAACTCGAACCAAGCTTGAAGCAATTTCGAGGTAAGTCTTTCACGTACAGGCAACGCAAAGACATACGGAGCAGACAGATACCTTTCGTCATGCAACACCATCTTCCCTGCAGTAACCTAGCACCTGTCAAGCCGATCAAGCCTCCTCGGCCGAGTTATAGTTGTACGATCCTCCAAACAAGCTTCAGCGGACACGTTCCATGCAAGCCACCCCCAGGTTGGTTTGAGATGTACAGCGATCGAAGCTAACAACCATGTTGGCTAAACTGTATCTTGGTACCCCTTGATTATCCATATTGAGGCGGCATCTCTCAGGGAGCACGAGGTCCAATCTGCAAGTTTTCTTTGTCGTTCAGGGAGGGGCATGACATAACGATGGTAGACCAGGCCTTGTGGAGAGCGGGATGGCTGTTATTGTCAGGGTCAAGGGCTTCTCGGTTGAGCGTAATGGAGTCACCGATGCGGCAATGTGCTCGTTATAAGAGCCAGGGAAGTATGTCTTGTTCAGTCTTTTCTTTCCTTCAAAGCACTCTGAGAGTCCGACAACCCATTCCTCTTCTTCTTTTCTACCACTCCTTCGACCAATCATCAACATACATCATGCTTTTCAACACTCTCCTTCTCACGGTCGCTGCCTTTGGCTCTTCCGCAAACGCTGCTGCAGCTGCCTATGCACAGTGCGGAGGTCAAGGCTTCACTGGCGACAAGACCTGCGTCTCTGGCTACACTTGCGTAGCCAACGGCGTATACTACAGCCAATGCCTGCCCGCAAGCAACACCGCCAAGCCCGCATCTACTTCAAAGACCTCCGCGGCTCCTGTTTCGACCTCGAAGGCCGCCAGCGGTGGTGGTAGCAGTGGCACAACCTACAAGGCCTCCTTCACTCAATACGGCAGCGGTGATACTTTCGGAAGTGGCAACTGCAACACCAAGACCACCGCTTGTGGTTTCTACACTTCTGTAAGAACCAAATCCTTGATGTCACATCTTGCCCAGCATACTGACTTCTGCAGCCCGGTTATTCCGCCGCTCTTTCTCAAAACGCCTTTGGCGTAGGTCCTGGCGCAGGCGCCGGTCCAGCTTGCGGAACCTGCTGGAAGTTGACCGCCCAGACCGACAGTTCCGGCCACGCCCTCTCCAACGCTGGAAACACCATCATCGTTCAAATCACCAACCTCTGCCCTGCAGACGGAAACCCCCTGTGCTCGCAGAATGGCTTGACAGGAACAAACCAATACGGCGCCAACTTGAACTTTGATCTCTGCTTGAACAGCGGTGCTAATACTGCTTTGTTTGGAAATTCTGGTGTCGGGTTGGCTGTGGGAACTGCTGTGCAGGTTTCTTGCTCTCAATGGTCTGGTACTGTTGTTCACTGAAGAGAAGGTGATGAGGGCAGTGGAGAGAATTGGTTAGAGAACGGACAGTCTTTACCGTCAGATATTGAAACAAGGACCTATATGTCTTCGATCCTTCCCGAACATTGAATAGCGAAAGTCGCATCTTCAGAAGAGTACGATCGGTCAACTCTCAAGGCAGCTCCTATAGAGAACATGTCAATCGATACATCTCCACAAGTAATTGAAAAGGCACGTTCACCCCCACTGCAAGATTCGGACCTTCATCATGATCAGAGAACCAATCACTTGTTCAGAAGTTAGGGAATACATCGGTCCGACGTCGAGTTTTGATGAGCAGATGTAACCAAGTACATGGATACTCAGGTAGGGCATGATCATGTCCTTTGTGCTCCGAGGAGTAAGTCAAAACCGACCTCAGGGCAGCTATAGTCTTGTTGCGACAGGCGCACTAAAAAGTGAAGTCGAGTAATCCTTCTCACCGACTTGATGGGAAAACAAGAACCCGATGGTTTGGTATTTCTACTACGTCCATGACGCGGTCGTTGAAAGTAACAGTCCATCTGGCCCCATCCTCCGGGCAATATTTGTTCCTTCCAACGGTTTTATGTCTCACCGTTGTAGGAAGGGGTTTAAAGCCGAAGACACGCCCCCCCACACAGATCTTCGAAACCGCGAACGACTGCAGGGTTGTCGTCGGCCCAAAATGACTCCTGGTGATGTTATAGCGACCGTCACTTATGTTTGTTTGGTGTTTTCTTGCGCTTCGGTGTCTTTGAGGATTGTGGTTAGGCATAAATGGCTGGATCATGGGTTGAAGTTGGATGATTGGTTGATGATTGTGGCATTGGTGAGTGGATCATTACCAGAGTAGGATCATGCAATATTCTTGCACACAGCTCTTTTGTCGCGGTGTTGCTGCCTATGTTGCGATGAAGTTTGGCTGATTTTTTCGACGACAGGCAGTTTATTCGATATTCTGCGCCGTCATTATCGCATTCACTGTGGTCGAAAACCGCAATCCAATCTTGAAGGAGTCGAGCGCCGACTTGTTATTACTAGTAAGCATTTATCATTTCTTCGCTACAGTATTTCTAGCAAAATATTGACGGTGTCCCAAAGTTGCTTGCCATAGGAGAAGCCTTGTTTATGGTGACATCCATCGCCTTCAAAACTTCTCTAATGATCTTCTTCCGCCAATTCCTTCTCGAACGCAGACAACGTTATCTGGTCACTTCAATCACAGTTTTCTACTGCGCCATCTCTGTATTGGCCTTCTTCCTCGCTCTGGTTCCCTGCGGCACATTGAGCCACCTGGCCAGGAAAAGAGTTGAGAGAAAGTGCATTCCCACAAACGTCTGGAACGGGCTTCTCTACACTCACGGAGCCGTTTCAGCACTATCGGATTGGGTCTTTGCGCTACTACCTATCCTGGTCCTTTGGAAATCGTCTATGCCGGCCAAGACGAAACTGGGAGTGACTTTGCTGATGGTGTTTGCGGTTTGTGGATCTTTATGCGCGGTGCTGAGAACGATATATACCGGATCTCTGCACTTCGACGCCCGCTACTACGACGTAAACCACAAGCCGAGTTACCAACACGTTACCGCTTTGGTCATCAACATGGCTGTATTGGAGATGGGGATCGGGATTACGGCGGCGTCGGTGGCGTGCCTGATGCCCTTGTTTAGACGTTGCGCGGGATGGTTCCAGCGGCGTCTGGCGACGAGGTCTCGTCAGAGCGACATCCAAGGCAGGCGCAAGGATGGGGTCTCGACTACCTTGGGCGAAACGAACTCTGATCACTGGAGGAAGCCCAGCTTTGTTCGTCCTGATGTCGCATCATTCCAGTCTGGGAACCTGGACTTGAAGTTGTTCGGTGTCCTGCCTTCGGTAGATCCAATGACGGGAGAAGATATCTGCGGAGATTCTCTTGCGGACGATATGCCTTGATCAGAAAGCCAGGATTATCAGCGTTGAATGGTGTATGGAAGGTGAGCATCGATCTATTGTATACGATTGAAAAAGACACGACTAATCATCTAACACTACATGTAGTCGGTCTCTTCTCCGCATTCACCACCCCTCTACACAATAACAAGATCAGAGAAATGCACTTCAAGTCCCTCAGTAGAACTGTTGGCAGAATAAGTAGGCTTTCCAGCATAAACTCCAACCTGCAGAACAACATCATCACCAGCACGGTCCTCCAAGAACGCCCAAGTCACCTCTCTCAAAGGATATCTGCCCGCATCAGGGTTCTTCGCATCATTGAGAACGTAGACCCACATCTCAGAGCCCGATCTTTCGACGATAAATCTCGCAGTGGTGGCATTCTGAGGTTGTATGGGACTCAAACTCCAATCCGAGAATGCATAGGTGCCGACGGTGCCGTATTGAGGTGCTCCGTTTTCGACTTCGATGCCGGTCTTTACCCATTTGGAAGGCTTGGGGCCGGGGAAAATGATTGCAATACCTCCTTGATCGTATCTGGTCTTCCAGTCCGCGTTGACGGTTACAGCGATGGTGGTGAATGTGTTTGCCTTGATTTCACGGTACACATAAGGAACGGTGAAGTTGTCGGATTTCGGTTCAGCGTTGGGTCTCCAAAGATCGGTGGCTGGAGGTGTCGTGATGGAAAAAGACTTGTGGTCCTTGACGTGGATCTCGGGATGGTTGAGTGTTTTCCAAGCAGAGCTGGAAGTGTTGCTGCCGATGGTGGCAGGCAGGGAAATATGTTTAGGGTGTGACATTGCGTAGGTGGGGATAACGCCAGCAGTGAGCCCAAGGAAGAGGAAAACGGGTGTAGACCACATTGCAGAGGAATCGAGACAGACGGTAGTGATGATTTGACAACTGAGACGATGGTAGAGCCCTATATATACTGAGAATACGAGCGCTTGTCGTGCTCTAGGGTGCTTTGAGTGACAAAGCAACGAGCAGTGTCTTGATTGGCCGAGCACGGCCGAGTTCAAGTTAAAAGATCATGTCAACTTGAAGAACTCCACAGTACATCACGGATGTTGCAGGGGATTATGCAAGACCATCGGGTTGATGTGTTGACATTTGACTGGACTGACCTCATCGTATAGGAAAAGGTGCGGAGAGACGAAGGAATCCCCACACACGTTGCGGAGTGACGGACCGCTTCGCCGACTTCGCCGACCAGCGGTCCGACATGACAGTAGAGAGTATCACTGGGACTTTTGTCTACTCTATGTGGTGTCCGATGTTTTGCGACCTTTCACGTACAGTTGTATTCGTGATACTGTTCACCTACCCACTAATGGAGGCCAATCCTTAGTATTTCCCCACTTCGGTGGGACAGCACAATAAGATGAGAGCTCAGTATATAAGAACAATCTAGTGTCGCTGACAACCCATCCCGTTCGGCGACACTGAAGCTCACCTAGTTCGGAATACCATCGTGCGACTTATCTTAAAGGTCTTTGCATACAGGGATGGCCGATTGGAAACGGAAAAGAAAGTGTGCATTCATTCAAGAAGCTATGGAAAACGACCGCTTCGTCCTTCCCCATCAAGCCGAAGAGTGCAGAAGAATAAGGATTAACAAAAGGTATACCCACCAAAGAAGAAACCCAAACGCCAGCGCCATGCTTCAAGGGCCACCCATTCGACGATGAGTTATGCCATAGAGGACATCATCTATCGTGATCTACTTCAACAGACTGGCAAACACCGACAGCTTCTCAACCTCCAGAGCATCAGTCTTGCTGGACACAGCGACCACCTCCACCTCGATCCTGTTGACACCAGCGATGAGGGCGGTATCGTAGACTTGCTTCCTATCTCCTCCGCCAGGCAAAAAGTCGCGAGTGGTGCCCATGAGTCGGACGCCATTGACAGTGACGAAAGTCTTGTACTGCCGTTGCATAAGGAGACGCTGTGAGACGTTGGGGACAATGCTGATGTAGTAGTGAGCCGCGGGAACTGCAGTGCTCAAAGATTGTTGTGTGAACTGCTTGTTTGCAGGAACGTCGAGGCGGAAAGGCTTGGGCACCGTAAGTTGAGGATGTGTCATGATGACTACGCTCGGCAGGAGAGCTTCGGAGAGAGGCTTTGAGCGTGTGTATTTGTCGACAAAGGTTGGCGGTGGTGGAACGTATTGCGGGATATGAGGAACATGGGGGAGCATCGAGGGATGAGGGCTGCCGCTGATGGCGCGAACAGAAGGTGGTGGTGGCATCGAGGTTGCGGTTCCAGGTCGTGGACTCTGCTTCACTTCGGGAGCAATGCTCTGTGGTCGGACTGCGGCAAGGGAGGGAGATGCAGCGACGGTCGTCTCAGTCTTGACTGCTGCTGCTGTCGTTGGAACAGGACTTGAAGCATTGACGCTTGTTGCTTTGACTGTCGTTGGTACTTGCGAGTTCGACCTTGAGGGAGCAGCGCTGCTTGCAGGTCTGGCCTGGGCGGGCACGGGTGTCTTATGTCCGTTGGTGACTGGCTCTTCCTTCTTGTCCTCGGCAGGAGTGCCTCGTGGTGCAGGTGACCCTCTTGCACCAAGATGCAGTACGGGTTTCGGTCTTGGAGCGTTGAGCTTGATCTTTGGTTGAACAGGTTCGTCGACTTGACTCTTCGCGGTGGCCAGGCGTTCGTTGAAGAGGTCTTCCAGCTCAACTGAGAGGTTGAAGATGTCGCTTCCGTCCTCGTTGTAGATCCTTGCATTGCGCCAAATGTATGAAACCTCCTCTTCAAATGCGTCCCAGTTCTTGAAGTCGCTTCCTTGTTTCCCTCGTACTTGTTTCTTAATACCGGCCAGAGAGGTGGGCTTCTTGATGACTTTGTAGTAATCGGTCAAGGTTCGAGGAGGAAGATGGACGAAGGGTTCGAAGATAGCGATTCTGTGATCATGTTAGCAAAGCCTCTCGCCTAGGTGGTGGGTGTAGCTTGCCCTTGGTCAGTGTGACTGATCAAGCCGTTGACGATGTGCTCTTGCGCTTGCTGGAGTGTCTTGCCAGTAAACGCTGAAGGATCCGAATCATCTTGGACGACAGCAGGACTGGAGGCAGCGACTGGAGCAGCAGAGGACTTGCGATCACGGTTCGCTTTGAGGGATATCTTGATCTTGCGAGGCTGTTCGCTGGGGTCGCGTGTTGGAGGTGCAGAAGAGGCAGTCGCATCGTCGTCTTGGCCGGGCAGAGGTGTAGGAAGGGCGACGTAGTTCGGATCCTTGTAGGCAGGATTGTGCTTGGTCATGAAGTTGGAGAGGGCCTTGCGAATGCGCTCGGCATCTTGGTAGACGGTGGACTTGTCGTCGTTATATTGCTTTGCGTTGGAAACCATGCGCTTGATGTCGCTCTCGACGGTGCTGAGAGTGGGGTATTCATGGCGCTCGAGCTTGTCCTGTGGCTGTGTCAGACGGAGGTATTATCGTTGGCGGGAAAGAGGTCGGATTACCTGGACTGTCTGGATAGCGATGGGTAGTTTGATGGTGCGGTAATAGTCGGGCAGCTCTCTCTGTGACGGAGCTTGTCAGCGCATGTAGATTGGCGAGGGGGAACGGGCGCATGTAGATTGGAGAGGAGGAACGGGCGCATACCTTGCTGGGCAGGTCGATAAAGAGGTCGGCGATCAAGCGGCCACTGCGACAAGGTCAGACGGAGGAGTCGCGGACGGTCTTCTTTGGGGCCAAACTCACGTCTTGTCCTTGGCCGACTTCAGGTGGTCGATAAACTGCAGACCGATCTTTGTTGTTGTCTGCGGAGTCTCATGTTCCTGATAGGATTGTGTCAGCTCAGGAAGAGTCCAAGCGTTCGCGTTCTTGACGGTCGCGCTCCGTCGTAGCGGCTGGCCAACATCTCGGTGCTTGGGGAAGTGCAGAAGCCTCGCCGCAAGTCCGCGACTCGACACAGCTTCCCTTCCTCCCCAATCCAATCTTGTCTCCAATACAACACATGGATGCACACTCACCAGTGTAGTCTTTTGTCGCTTGGGTGTGCTCGTGTCGGCGTCGGGTGATGCTCCAGCTGCAGCTTTGCGCTTGCGGCTGCGGTCCATGATTTTGGTGTCTCTGTTGTCGCGTAACTCTGGATTGCACTGCTCGATGCTTGCAGCCCTCTTGCGATAGTGGGCGCTTGGTTGGGATGGAGTCCTTCGTAATTGCTCCATCTTGGACTCGCGCGTCGCGCGTTGCCTTTGCTGCAAGTCCGCCGACGCTCTGCACAGACCACTTCATCCACGTGATATTGTATTGAGGAATCTATTGTCGCTTTCTCTATCATCTTTTCTTACTTTTGTTAGAAGTGTATTGTTCATATTGTTGGAAAGGCGTGATCGCATGGCTATGAGGGAATCAAAGCTTGCATGGCTCAGTTCGGGGTGCTTGCACATCAGCGCCATCAGGAAGCCTCCTCACCAAGTTCAAAAGCCTGGCCCCCCAATCATCTCGAACATGAACACCGACACCATCACGGCTCAAGTAATTGTCAAAGCTCATGGTGAATAGTAGATCAATATGTTCCAGTCTCGAGCAAAAGTCTTAGGAATATCTTCCAGGCACACAGGCTCAATACCTGATCAGTCGGAACTTGAGCAATCTTTCCTTGTAATCCTCCCAAACGCCATGCCGAATTCAAAACAGGTTTCCTCGCTGAAGTCGATGCAATTCCCTCACTTGTTTTCCTTCTCCTTCTCGAAGCTGCCAGTAGAAGTTATCTTCTGTGCCTCCTCATCGGCCTTCATCTCACGAACTTTGGCCAGGACAACTTCACGGAAGATGGCACCCTTGGCAATCTTGCTCAGACTGCGCTTGTGCGTCACTCCCTTGTCCTCCGGTACCTTGAGGCCGGCTTCCAAAGGCTTCTCTTCTTGATGTGCGAGTGCGTCTCCTGCGGCCTGCTTTGCGCCGGCGGGAACGTCTCCAGCCTGTGGTACATCCTCCTCTTCGTCTTCTTGCATCTTGAGTGCTTCGATACGATTGGCGAGCTTGACCAATTCGATACCGCGCTTCAGGCGAGCCTTGGTCATGTATGCCTTGATTTCGGGCAGCAAGTTGTGGTCTGTTGCACCCTTGCCAGCAATCCAAGCATTCTTGAGCGCTTCCTGTAGATGGTGTCAGTCGAGTTCGGAACAATAGAAGGTTTATGATAAACGTACAGCACTTGTAGCTCTCTTCTCCGGCTTGGGAACGAGCAAGGTCATGATGAAATCCTTGGCTTCCTTGCTGACATCCTTCCAGTAACGTTCGTGGAAGACAACTCTGCCGTGCTTGGTCTCCTCAATAAGGTCGGTCAAGTTCTCGCTGCGGAAGGGCGAGTAACCGCAGAGGAGAGTGTAGGTGATGACACCGAGAGACCACATGTCGACGGGCTTGCTATGTCCTTTCTTGAGCATGACTTCGGGTGCTGCGTAACCGAAGGATCCAGCCATGGTCTTGAGCACACCATCGGGGCTGTCGAGATGTTTGGCAATGCCGAAGTCTGCGAGCACGAGAGTCGAGTCGTCGGCCTTGGTAAGGTAAAGGAGGTTCTCGGGCTTCAAATCTGGAAGAGCCGTCAGTATGGGCAAGACGGCCGCGTGAATTGGCGGGTGGAGACTGACCGCGATGGACGACATCGTTCTGGTGGAGGTAGTCGACGGCTTCCAAGACTTGTCTTATGGTGGCAGAAGCGTCCTTCTCGGTGAAGCGACCCTTTTCGCAGATGCGGTCAAACAGCTCTCCACCAGTCGCAAGTTGTGTCACAATGTAGTATTTGTCCTGCGCCCTGATCAGCTTGTGCTGCAGTATGTTCCGACTCTTGTATATCTCACTCTTGACTCGAACCAATCGAAGAACTTGACGATGTGGGGGTGTTGAAGGCGTTGGAGCATCTGTAGCTCATCGTAGACCATCTGGTCGTTGCCTTTGACGTTCTTCTTCAGGATGATCTTGACGGCGCATTTTCCTTGGGGTGACTCTGCTTCTCTGACGATGCCGTAGGTGCCGGCTCCGAGTGTCTTGCCAAACTTGTACTTGGATCTGTTGTCGCAATGTTAGTAGTGAACTGAGAGGTAGGATAAGGCTGGACGCACTTCTTGTCGTAGCTGTCGGGCTGGCCGTGGAGTTTGTTGAGCATACTAGTGACTATACCGAATGCTTGGTTAGTGGATGCTCGGAGCAGGTATTGTAGGGAATCGAGAATGGACGGCAGTTTGAGAGCGGGCGAGGATGTTTGTAAGACTGTGGCAGAGAGCCGACAGCTGGTTTTGTCTATGTCGCATGCTCAAGCATCAAGGGAAGGAGCTATCGGCGGCACTTACAACTCATGATGGCGTTTCGTCAGGCGCTCGCCGCTGACTGCGCTGCGTCTGGATGTGGAAGATGAGCGACGGTGAAGTCGCGCGAGTGAGATGAGAAGGCAAGTACTCCGTATATAGTCAACAAGCAGGATCAAGGTGCGACAGACAGATAGGAGGAAAAAAGGAAGACGATCAACATGGAGCGTATTCGTAACTCCAGTCTTACTCTAAGCTCGGCGGCCTGGACCCGGCGTGGCAGTGCGTGGGGCAGAGGGACGCAAGCTCGGAGGCTGAACAAGGGAGAATCAAATGTCACGGTGGGCTGTGCAGAGTTTCAGAACCTTTTTCAGCTCTGTTGAAACGAAGCCATGATTATTCATTTGCAGAGCTGTCTATATTTGCGTCTTTCTGCAGGAACACTTATATTGCAGCTGTTCCTTGTCAATGTCAATCTCGTGTTGTTGGAGGGGTTGAGAAACATGTGAAGCTCCGCCCTCAACTTCCGGGGCCGTCAGGGTCTTTGGTGAGCTTGGTGCTGAGCGAGACATGACAACCCGACTTGTGTGCGCCGCCATGTCCATCATCTGGGGTTTGCGAGACACGAAGATAGCTCAACATTGTATTGGAAGTGATCTGCTCTCGGCTATCTCAGCATGATTGCGCAAACATTGTCGCAATAGTAGGCCGGTCGCTTGGCTTCAAACAGGTCCAACAGATTGTTGCCAGCTCCAAGGTCTTGCATCTGGTGCTTCGTTCCATCTCAATGTGGGCGGAGTCTTTCTCGGAGCTGTGCACGCCCACGGCAAGTAGCACTTGTCCACTGCGCTCCGATAGAGTTGCGCAAGCTCGCTCGTTCTATCCATCCGCGTGCTGAGATCTGTCACAAACTACAATCATGGTCGCTCGAGAAGGGCGGGGAGGTGCATCAAGTTCCAAGGAAGTCGCGATGGACGTCATACAGGTACGTAGATGCTGGGCCGCTCTGACGTTTGCCCGTCGCAACAACAAAACAAAACCTGCGGGACCATTCGTATGGCAACAGATAAAGAGCATCAATCCGTCAGGTCGTCGCTGTTCTCATCCATCTCCCTACATTGCCATCACTTGCTCTCCATCGCCCTAAGACCTTTCAGAAGGCACTTGTCTCCAGCACCATCCAAAGCACAGTCTGTATTAGAGTCTCCAGCACTCCCACCTCGACCAGCACAAGCACCGCCAGTCGTTGAACAACGTCTCGTCTTCGCCTTCCAAGCCATCGTACCTCGCCCTGTCACACCTCAAAAGCCTGCCGATCTCCCAGCACCTCCTGTTCCAGCTCGCCCACGTTCCGTCTCTGGCGACTACCTCAAAGACAAGCGATTGGAACTGCAAAACTCGGATTAGGAAAGAGAACGTTGTCGAATTGCCCGGCAGTCCGAGGTAGAACAGCTACAGATCCAAGAGAAACTCCAGAAGATCAAAACAAGAATCGCAACAGCACCGAAACATGACGGCAAGCGCATATCTTTCAGTCCTCGCCGCTATGCTCGCTCTAGCGGTGGGAGCGGTCTACATGTTCGGCGTTCCTCCTCAGTGGAAGCGCGCTATGGAGGAGAAGGCTCTCGAAACCATGGGCGAGAACAAGGCCTCTTATCTGGTCAAGGGTAAGCTCTGTATCGCTCTTTGTAGATCCTTTCTCCTGCTAATACGACTTACCTTCCAGATCAAATCAACAGTCTCCCAGCAACAGACCAAAAGGACGTCAACCAGCTCAAGTCGGGAGTCGGAAATCTCGTCGGAGGAGCCCTACAGAATCCACTGGGCAAGGAAGCTGGGAACGTTGGGGATACAATCACTAGTCCTCTGACTGGTCGTTGAACATTTCATCTTTCCAGGAGCATCTCGACGCGCAGGTTGGGTTGAATGCTAGTTTTTGCAGGCACACGCGGTCGTGATCTGTCCCTATGATACCTACGAAGGATGCAATCACATATCAGATAGCATGCATATTTACCTGAGATGTCTACATCTGATATTCGGTGTCTCGTGAGGTCGACAATTGTTCTTCGTTGCATGCAGTCTTGTTGTGTTGGCAGCGTCCAGACTCCAACTTTCACATGCTTGGACCCTGCAAAATGCGCGAGCGGAGGCCGCCCGAGTTGCTGCGTGCTGTCGATCTTCAGCCTCGCGGTGCTGGCGACAACCTTCCTTGAAGGATCATCCTTTGTATCACGCCAACCCCGACCTGCTTCTTGCTCATTCTCTTCTACAACAACGTCGTTGCAACAAAGCATCGCCGGCCTTTGCGACAATATCCTGCAACACTTTCCGCCTGCGAAAACTCACAAAGCAGCACTCCCGCCTCTTGGCTTTGCTCCGCAACCCTAACACCTATTCGACCACTCCATACTTCTTGTCGCCAGTCACCGCCTCGCATAGTCTCGGCAAGATGATGAGCAGTAAAAGACTCCAGAAGGTGAGGTTCGTTTATTGAGTAATCTTTGACAACGTTCTGATGCTGTCGCAGGAGCTTCTGAAAATCCAAGGTCAATTGGCTCCCGGCATCACTCTCGTATCAGCAGAAAACCTCAAGACATGGCTCATGGACATCCAAGTCATGGACGCAAACCCCATCTACCAAGGCAACATCTTCCGTCTCAAGTTTGAGTTCAGCAACAACTATCCGATAGGTATCACAACATTCTCGTCGATTCACAGCACCTCTCGCTGACCATCCCTCCAGAACCACCGGAAGTCGTCTTTGTGCGTCATTCTGACCGCCCCATCCCCATGCACCCTCACATCTACACCAACGGCATCATCTGTCTGGACTTGCTCGCTGCTCAAGGCTGGTCACCGGTCCAGAATGTTGAGAGCATTTGCTTGAGCATTCAAAGCATGTTGACCGGCAACTCCAAGAACGAGCGTCCTCCTGGTGACGCCGATTTCGTCAGAAACAACCGTCTCCGCCCTCGCGATGTTGCTTTCCACTTCCACGACAATGAGGTTTGATCTGATGGTGTACTTGGTGTGCTTGGAGGTTCATGATGAATCGCTTGCGCCTGTCATCTTTCCTGCCCCACGTTCTTCTGCATAGGCTGGCGTTTCTCCTTTCGATCATATGGCATTGCGATGATGAGTTGTTCCTGGGTTTGGGGCGTGTTTTAACAGCTTTCGACGATATCTTACAAATCAGAGTCTGTTGCATTTTGACTGTCGTGACCTGCTTGCTCGTGTCTCACTTTGCTCTCCTCTACCGTGGTTCGCGGATAATCACGTCAAATTGCACAATCTTATCCTGATCGAGTTCTACATCCGCTGAGATAGACATCTACTACTGTTTTCACTGGTCGGATCAAGGTTACATGAGAACATCTTGCATTGCTGCAGACTGCAATCAGAGAAAGGGCGGGCAGAGGGACTGGAATTAGGGGCCGCTAGATAGGGGCAGAACTACATCTCTTCTGACGAGCAATGGGTCGTTCTTTTTCTGCCTCATCATCCATCTGGTCGCGGGCACGAATCATGGCTAGCGAGGCGGAGGGTGGGTTTTCGATGTTGCCCGAAGGCTCTTCTTCTTCATCGTCGTCGTGGTCGCCTGTATCAGGAAGAGAGGAAGTTCTTCAAGTATATATGTAGATATGAAAGTAGGTGATCTCCGTGATTGATGCAACCTCGATTATTGCGTAACACACCAGGGAGACTTGGGCTCGAAGGTACAGAGCTATGGGCTGTTTTCTTCGTGGAAACGTCAAAGAAGAAATGATGGAAATGATTTGAAATCAAACGTTGTATCTTGAGAGCTTGAGAGCTTGAAAGCCCCGAAAACATGGAAATAAGAGAGCATGAGGCGAAGTTTCCCGAGCATCCGAGCATGTAGACTCGGAACACGCAGCATTTGTGCCTTTGGAGAGGATTTGGAGTCAGGTCAACAAAGGCTCCAGAAGAGTTAGCTACTGCAACACTGCAGGCACTCAATGGAATGGAACTTGCTCTCAGTCTCAATCGGCAAGGTCACTATGTCACTATGCCAAAATTTATCGTACCCTTCTTCAGCTACAATAGTGGGGCAGATGACCCTGGGAGAGGCCTTCATTTCGAGTTCTTCAAGATCCCTACATTCCCAACACGCTATCATGCTGGCCGTCAACTGAGTGCCTGTATCAGAGCTGAAGGCAATCCAGTGGCCTTCAGAAGACCATACCATGACGGGCGGATTCGGATTCGAAAGTCGAAAGAGTAGTTGCATTGTATCTGACATAGTCAAAATGTCCTCTCATCTTATGACTCTGACTGTTGTTATCCTACGACACGACACCAACTATCCTGAATTGTGGCTGCCTCACCAATTACCTTAGATTGTGGTCCACTAATTTATACTCCAACAAGAATGAGTATCGTCTTCGAAGAAAGCAGTGTTTTCTTACGCTACAAACTCTTATCTCCTACGGCCACTCCTCCATCACATACTTACCTATCTACCTAGGTAGCAGTAGAAGACGATGGACGATGGACGATGAACCGAGGAGTTAGGGCAATCGCCTTCTCATTCTATCTCCCACTTCATATTCTGTATGTAACTATTATTCTTCCCTTCAACTTTAATATGTTTAAGAGGTACACTTCTTAAATGCAAGATCTAGGTAGGGTTGTCTAACCTTAGACAGGTAGAAGGTTTTTCTTTTTTGTTACTATAGTTATCATCGTCAATTTCATTACAAGTCTAGACAGAAAATGTGCGTGATATAGAAAGGCTTTCTGTTGTTGCCTAGAAGCTTTTTTTTATTATTGTTATTCTCGTTATCTACATTAAAGGCTTCTTCTTAACTACCGTTAAAGTCGTTAAGGTCGTTAGTAGTGTCTTCGTCGTCTTCGTAGTCGATTATGTCGTAGTGTTAGAGACAGTAGTATAGTCGACACCCGAACCGGTAGGAGAGATTAGTAAATGATCATTCTATTAAGCAGTGGAGAAAGTCTCGGACAATCGCGCTTTGAAGCTTTGAAGATCTGAAGCATCAGAAGTCCAGTATTGTATGGGTCCTGTGATGCGTTCGTCGCGAGGCTGCCGGCACCATCGCTGATACTCGTCACACTGAGCAAGCTCCTCCTTCGGCGTTTCCAAGTTGAATCACGAGCGGCCGCGATTTCCAACCTCCATGTTATCCACGGACTCCACCACCTGTTATACCACTCCAACTTGCTCCATGAATCCAGCCTCCTATTCCACGCCATGGCGTAGATCATCAAGGTGGGCTGGACTGGATTGGCGAGAGTGAGGAAGCGCGACGAGTACGCTGGTCCTGAGAGCTCGGAGGGTGTGCGGCGGACGACTCATCAAGGTTGAGCTTCCGGGCTTGCGAATCAGGGGAACGTGGACGCGAGGAGGCGACAGTGGAAGGGATCTCGGCCCAGAGCGGCGACTCGATGTAGTAATGTAGGCGAGGAACGAGGAACCCTTGGTAAAGTCGTTCATGATGCACATTGCAGTCTCGGGAATTGGGCGGTCAGAGTGCGTCTGCTTCTGGAGGAGGTTGTGTTAGCAATAATCAAATCAAGACAGGAACCATGAAGACCAACCTGTACGCCTGGAAGTTGGTAGTGTCGGGTTTGCGCTTCTTCTTGTGAGTCCTTTTTCTCGGTACCATCCTCATTCTTTGTGGTGGTGGCAGGCATCTTCTTCCCGCCGATTGCACCCTTCTTCTGCGTAACCCCGGGCTGTGCAATCACCCGTAGTGACCTCAGTACCAGGCATAGCAGCGCCAGCGTCATCGTCGGTAGGGAGTTGGAGCTGACTCGCGGTTCGCAAGCTATGGGTGCGAATGAAGGAGCTCGGTCTCTATGCCATTGAGACAGTATGCCATTGGGCCAGTATGCCATTCTAGAGTCGCACTTTCCAGAGCATCAGGCTAAATCCTCTCCGGTTCATATGAACAGGATATGATGACTTTCGCTATCAGTCGACTCACGTGTCGCCGACAGCCAGTACAAGTCTTCAGGTCGTTCTGGTCTGAGATTATGGACTGACATCTGGTATACAGTGTGTATAGTTTAAGTGTAATACAGACATGCTTACGATGTACACCCGGGTCACCGATAAACACCCGATACAATGGCCCTGTTAACAATTCCCATGCACCCTCGCAGAAAGTTCTTTTCTCGTGGAACGAATGATCAATCTCTTCTAACTTAGTTGTAATCGTGTCTACAAACCATAGTTCCAATGGACTGTAGGTCGGTTGAGGGACTTGCCGACATTGACATCGAATTCACCAAGGTAGTTTCCTATAACGGGATTAGCAAGGTATTGAGCATAGGAAAAGATGGAGAGACTTGCCTGGAGGACCATAATTGCACACTGTAAAGTGTGGTGGAGTGTAGGGTCCAACATTGGCAAGACCTTTGGGACAGTACTGAGTAGCGCAGCCGACCTTGGAAGTACCTTTCCAAACAATCTGAGAAAAGTGACCCCAATTGTGGAAATCGGACATGTCAGGTTGGGCTTGTCCGTAGAGCCCGTTGAAGTACGAGACTTCGCCGTTGTAAAAAAGTTCTGTGATGACGGCTGTTATGTTGTCTGCAGCAAGACCAGCAGCGATGTTTTGACCGTAACCTCCACCATCTGTCGTTGTGTTGTGAGCATAGACACAAGTCGATGCGATCTGGGCGGCAGTCGAAGCAAGAGCGTTGTCCCAGACGAGATTGCTGGCAGAATGATTGGCACGGTGGACATTGTGTGAAACGAGGACCCGCTGCTGATATGTAGTGGCCTTTGCTGCAGCTGCCGATGACGACTTCACGGTACTCGAGGTCTTCAAAGTACTGCTGACCTTCTTTGAAGAAGTAGTGGCCGCCTTTGTCGCGATAGGTGATGCTTTCGCGGTCGAGATTATCTTGACTGAGGAGGTCTTCTGGGTCGAAGTCATTTTTGTAGAAGTAGTAGCCCTCTTGACTATGTCGATACCATCCGCGTTGTCGGCTTGGCCAGCTATGAGGGGATAGCCAACCTCATAGTCAACACCATCCCCGAGGTCAAGCTTGACTGGACTAGCAAGACTACCGACTACCAGTGCGAGACTGAAAATGATAGCACTAGTACGCATGTCGGAATCCCGTGGGTCTCTAAGTCGTGATAAGCGTGGTCGTAAGGTCAAAGGTCTTGTATATGAATCGTCCGAATGCCAGATTCAAAGGGGAATGAAATGATATTTTTACGAGTAAGAAACAGTTTTGTGAGATCCAGATCTGCCCGGTGATAGTGGAAGTTTCGATTATTTCACATGTTGAGAAAGGTAGAGAAGTGCGGTTCTTATAGGCATCCATGATATGCAAGGTCTGAGGGCAAAAGCACACATACTGATGTGATAATGCTTTGACGTAGAGTTTGTAATAGTACCGTTACAAGTCTTAGGAGAGCAGATCTCAATGTATATTGTACTTTCTCTACTTTCTCGCGAGAAAATGTTTAGGGTGTGAAATCTTCGGATAGTCTGGACCTTGTTGACAGGCGATGGCGAACGGTAATGTTTTACAACGGCAGAGAGCTGTTGGAAGAAGGGAACGACACAACTACGCCCACCACCTCTCACATGTAAGAGCAAAGTCTGTTCTACATGTCAGTCCAGACACGTATCGCGCTTGGTCATGAAAAAGTTGGCTTTTTTGACCTACAACAGAGCACATTCATCAAAGAAGATAGCGAGAAGTCTGTACATCGATCTCGAAAGAAGAATGGGCTTGCGGACCCTTAGCATGTCCAACGTTTTTCGCAAGCCGAAATGAGCGCGGCTTCCCAATCGCGCGCCAACGTTTTCGTTGCGACTAACGGCTATTGGAAGACTTGCAAGAATCCAAGCCGCGCATCGCTTGTCTGCGCAAGCAGAAGTCGTTGATCAAATAGCGAAGAGACCAGCGATCATCTGGGTCATGACGTGGACATGAGAATATAATGGAGCTCGCTGACGGTAGCCAGCAGTAGGGAGGACATCATCATCTGTCTGCTTCTAGAGCATACTAGACCCTGATGCTAGACACGAGAGATTCCTAACAAACAATAATGGTTTGGGACTTGCCCAACAAGAGACGATCATGGAGATACGCACAATGCCGTCCCCCATCTATGCTCGAAGATCAATGTTTCCTCAATACGCTCTAGCTGCATTGGAACTTGTCGCAGGTGAGTTGATCACACAAGTAATGATCATTGTGTAATTGTATACCATCTCTATCAATTGCGACGATCGAAGTGTCATTGCTCGAGATTTGATGACACAAGTTGCTGTCAGTTTGATATGGGTGTTCGCTCGACAGGGTGGGGAAGATCTGACAGCACGCAGATTTGTTTGGGTCAGGACGTTGCAAGTTGCGGGGTCACACTCGAGGTGGTGCAATCGATTTGGGATAGAACATCTTATTCATTGGGTATATACGGATATGTACTCGACGATCACTTTCCTCTCACCTCTAGGAAATCAAAACTCCAACCACAAGCAATCCATTATGCCTTCATGTTCTCCAGCTCAAGCATGGGCGAGTCACTGTGGAAGTGGTACAACTTGGGCTCTGGAAGACCCTTCTTGCGAAGAATAGTGGTCTTGAACCAGTACGGCAAGACCTTGAACATCTGGTAGCTCATGTGGGTGCGGGTAGGGACAGCGAAAACGTAGTCCAGCTCTTCCAGGGAGCGCTGCTTGGTCTCAGGTAACCAGAGGAAGATCATTGCGCAAGCGACTGCGTTCATGGCAGCGTAGAAGCCGAATGCGCCAGTGGTCCCAAAAGCGCGAAGCTGACGAGGGAAGGTGAGAGAGACGACGGTGGCCCAGAAGTTGTTGGTGGCAACAGCCCAAGACATACCAACCTCACGGTGCGACAGAGGGAAGACTTCTGCAGAGTAGGTGAATGGTACAGGACCCTCACCAGGAGAGTAGAAGGCATCGAACAAGTAGATAAAGAGCGCAATCAGACCAAGGTGGGCGGCGGAAGATGTGGGGATCAAGAAGCAGAGTCCAGCTGCCAACAGCGTCCAGCACATGTTGGGGAAGGTGAAGAGGAGGAGGGCGCGACGACCGTAGGTATCGATGGTCCAGACGGCAGGCCAGGCGAAGATGAAGTTGATAATACCGAAGCCCCAGGATGCGAGAAGAGCACCGGTAACAGTTGCGCCAGCTTGTGCGAAGATGGTTGAAGAGTAGAAGGCGATGATGTTGATACCGCACATCTGCTGACCGATCATAACAATACCGGAAGCCTGGACAGCACGACGCAGACGAGGGATGGTGAAGAGCTCGATGAAGCGGGTGAAGAAACCGGCATTGGCGGGAAGACCAGACTGCTCAATGAGCATGACTTCCTGTTCCATTTGAGCGTAGATGTAGATCAACTCTCTTGCAGCGAGGATAGGCTTTCCACGGAAACGAAGCAGAGACTTGTAAGCCTTGCCGTACTTCTTCTTGGACATCAGCCATCTGGGCGATTCGGGAACGAAGAAGATACCAAGAACAAGGGGAACGGCAGGAATGAAGGCTGAACCAAGCTGAAGACGCCATGCGATATCACCGACGTCCTTGACAGCAAGGTTGGCAGATGTTCCGAGAAGGATACCGAAAGCAGTCCAAATCTGCCATGACATGACCAAACCACCTCTAATCTTGGTAGGAGCAACCTCTGCGGAGAAGACTGGGACGGTGACTTCCTTCAAACCCATACCAATACCAAGAAGGATACGAGTGACGATGAGCTGTTGCCAGTTCTGTGTAACGGCCATGCCGATGGGAGCGAGAAGAGAGAAGACGGCGGCGATGAAGATGACACCACGGCGACCGAGCCAGTGATTGAGAGGGTCGGAGATCCAGCCGGCGAACAAGAAGATGGCGAGGTAAGGGCAGGAGTTGATGAAACCAACAAGCCATTGGTTGGCGGCGCAGTTACCGGCGGCTTCGCAGACGGGTCCGCTCTCGGGAATGCCAAAGGCTTGAGGGAAGGACAAGTTGGCACCGTTGGATCCGGTCTGATCCCAACCTTGAATGGCAGCTATGGCAAAGTCAGTCAATGCTCACGAAGTCGGGGTAGAGGTGGAAGCGCATACCAGCAACAGAATTCAGAATGATGGTGATGTAGAGAATCTTGGGTTGGCGCCACTTGTGAGTGATCTCCTCGCGGAAGGTCTCCTTCTCCTCATCGGTAAAGTCGTCCATGGTGTGGACTTCGGCAGGGTTCTGAGCAGCAAGGGCGCCCTTCTTCAGAAGAGGCAGGATGTCGTTGAGGTCATGGTCGGCAGCGAACTTCTCTGCAGAGCGCATCAAAGTCTCGCGAGATACACCAACAAGAGGGTTGCGAATCCTGCAAAGGGTCAATGATATGCTTGATAGATGGGACCGGTACTGTCGTACTCTCCAGTAACATTGTCGGTGAGCTCTGCAACTCTTGCTTGACGCTTCTCCTCGGCAACATTGAAGCGGTCGTGGGTAGGATCAGAGCTGATGTCTTCGTGGTGAGCCATGATGACGGATGAGTTGGAAGGAAGTGATGAGCTGCTTCTGCTCGGCAAAGGAGGATGAGTGAGGACTCTTTATAGCACACGACCAACTCGCATACCCCAAACAGCCAGTATCAAGGAGTTGGTCCATGCCATCTAGGTTTCTCTTGGGGCCCCGCGTGACGGCCATGCGACATGATCTTGCTCCAGTATTCCCCAGTGTGTACCAGTTTCTCCATGTCGCCCCGCTCAATATCACACGGTTTATGTGGCGGGTTGCATCCGAGAGTACTGCAATAGTCGGTAAAGCCAAAGGTCCTAATCGGCCCTTTGTTGTAGCCGTACCCTACCTATCTCTCGGCGTGGTCGTGTTGTTTCGGCTTGTCGTCTCCTCGGAAGAGCCTCTCGGGAAAGCGACCAGTCGGGGAAGCCGTGACCCCACTGGAGAAACGCCCTTCGTACCGTGGCGCACCGTTGTAAAACCTCGTTCCTCGCTCCCACCTTTGATGAATATACAACACTTCCATTCTCTGACGGCGTGCATCGTGCAATCTTCATCCCAAGCTTCCTGCTGGTGTTTGAGGCGTTCAAGGGGTTGTGGGCGTGTGAGTGAGGCTTTTGTTGATATTGTCTCGAAGATCGGGTCGACCAATGCATGGCATGGCATTCGTGACCACAGCTTGATGTCGCAGGTGCAAAGAAAGTGTTTTCGCTTGGTCGGCGGTTGCCGGGAGGGGTTGTCAGAGTTTGTCACCATTTGCTGCTCCCGGCGACGGCAGGGGCGCGGTGTTGACGGCTCAGGCGCCATACAACGGACGTGGAACAAACCTTGGAATTTGGGCGCTATGAAGGTGACGATGCAGCGCTTTCGCTTGGACTGCGCATCTGCGACTACGACATGTCCAATATCATCTGGAGCAGCTCTGCCACAGGATGTGACAATGATCTAGAGAAACACAAATTGATCATTGTTGAGCAAGCAGAAGAACTCGAAGCATCACCTCCAAGCTCTTCTCAGAATCTTGTTCAAGAAAGCACTGACCTCCTCATCTTTCCCGTCGAACGGCTTTCCATGGCGGGGAATAACTTTGCTGTCCAAACCTCCACAACTCCACAACCCGCCAAACCACACAGGTTTAGACTTTTATCTGTACACAATCATGATAGGCCGCTGTCCCTATTTCGGAAGTCACAAGTGAGCTGGTTGTCCTGCTTCGGCTGGTGCAGGATCATGATCAAGAGTTTCCCGAAAATGCCTCACCTCTGACACTAATTTTCGGCCGAAAAACATGCTATTGAGATGCACCATGTGTTATAGGTAGGCAAAGAGTTCCATGAGAAGCGAGGTTTCGCTGTAACTCCATTGGTTATTGAGACTTGCCTCGAAAGGCTCTGCTCTCGACAGTAAACGTTTGTCAAACGCAGGAGATTGAAGTTTGTTGATGGCACTTTCCCGAGGTCGGACTGGCATAGAAACACTCCTAATGTTGACTCAACAGGCCGGTGAAGCCCTTGACTCGCAAACAGGCATGCGCGACGACAAACCCTTGACAGCAAAGCAAGCCCTGATGATTCAACATCGTCTAGACTCCTGAATATTTGTTCACTTGACTCCACAATCTCCCCATGGGCACAAATACTGCCCGTTGCAAGTCCACATGCAAGACTTTGCCTCTTGGTTTTTGGGCTTGAAGAATACCACATCTTGATTTGAAACCACTCTTTGATATCTTGGACGTTCCAATGAAGAGGACAGCCCATGACTCTGTACCTTCTAGCCCTAGTCTCCCTGGTCTGCGATAATCAAGTTTGCGTCACGGAGATCTTGCACCTCGAATCGCCTGCTTCCATGTCTATATACGAGCTTTTTGTCGTTAAGAGAAAAGCAAGTGAAACCTAGGCCATCGGTATCTGACTTAGTCAAAGTTTGTCCTCTTATCTTATGATTCTCAGTATGATATGTTGTCCTTCTGCGACACCAACCACCTCAGATTGTGGTCTACCCATTCGTACTCCAACAAGAACGAGTAAAGTCCTCTGAGAAAGCAGTAGTTTCTCACGCCACAAACTCTCACTTCCTCCGGCCACTCCTTCAACACTGGACGCATAAGCTCTAGAAGAACTTCCTTTCTACGTACAATGGCATACTGTCCTCCCACATGCTATCCGTCAACATCTTCTTGTTCTGCCCATCCTTGTCCATCACAACAATCTGCCCGTACGGCTGGAAGGTGTTGTCGTACATCACACTCTCATCCCGGAATCCGTACATGCCTGTACTGTACATGATCCTTCCATCGAAACTCCAAACGGCATGAGCATCGTTTGCTTCGCTCTCGGTCAAGATCTTCAGGTCGGTGCCGTCAGGACGGATGGTGCAGATATCAAAGCGGTCCTCTTGCCAGCTCGAGCCATAAGTCCAGTTTGTTTGACGTGTGAAGACGATCAATTCACCATCAGGAGACCAGCCGGGTGTGTTGTCCCAGCCAGCAGTTAGCTGAGTGGTGTCCCCGGTCTCCATGTCTAGCACGTGCAAGCCCAAAGGCCCATATGTGGCGTTCCAGAGTCTGTACACAAGCTTTGTGCCGTCAGGAGAGAAGGAGGGAAAGCCTGCGTTGTTTGTGCCGTCAGTCAAGTTCTGCGTAGCCGTGCCGTCGGCGTCGAAAGAGTAAAGAGTTCCAGGATACAAAATGCGATCGAAGAACCAGACTCCAAAACCCGCGGCGAGCTTTGAACCATCTGCTGTCCAGGTAGGTTGGAACGCTCCCGCCAGTCCGCTTGCATAAAGCTCTGCATATTCTTCCGAGGCATTGATGTCCCAAGTGTCGAAGGCAGTGGTGAGATTGGCATAATCAGCACCAGTGAGAACAATCGAAGATGAGCCATTGCCGAGCTGCTTCTCGGTAGTCGCAAGGCGTCCTGTCTCAATATTGAACGAAGGGAACACGTCCATGAATCGGTAGTCCCACTCTTCATCCCAGCTGAACAGCTCCTTCTCGGCGGGTCGCTGGCCCCACTCATAAACTTCGTACACGACCTTGCTGCCGTCCGGGGACCATGCCGGATTGCGCATAGTACTGTTAATATAGTGGTGTGTAGTATCTGGACTGGTGTAGTGGATGCCCGCTTCCGTTCCAGCTTTGACGAGATAGCCAATGTTGCTGCTGTTACCCAAGTACGCAGGAGACACCTTCAATGTGTTGTCGAAAGTATGCTGGACAACATCGCTGCCAGTGGCAACATCAACACTGAAGATCTGAGAAAACACAGCTAACTCTTGACCAGCCACTGTGCCATGCGCGCCGTACGTATCCTCGGTCGAAATGTTGTAGTAGACGATTCGTGATGCATCGGGCGACCATCTCGGTGTACCCAGGCAACGACTCTCTTCTCCGATGACCTTGCGAAAACCACTACCATCGGGGCGAACGACAAAGACGGCGAGTGATTGAGTATGCTCCCAGCCAGTACCATCACTGTGGCCAGTCCACTGAGTGCCTGCATCAGAGCTGAAGGTAATCCAGTGGCCGTCAGGAGACCAAGACGGGCGGAAAAAGCTGTGAGGGCCCACGAAACTGCCAACGCTTTCGTCACTGCCTGTGACATTGATGGAGATACCGGTGTGAAGATCCTTGACAAAGATGTTTGTCGTGTAATTGATGGCTGTCGACACATAGGCAAGCTTGTTGCCGTCGGGCGACAGACCTCCGATATCTTCAAACGAGTCGCTGGAGACCAATTCGGTAAGCTCTGTACCATCCGTATTGACTAAGTACAGGTCGGACTGGCCATCAGCGCGTCTTTCGCTGGTGAAGATAATTCTCTGACCGTCGGAAGACCATGAGGCGTGATAATCAAAGGGGGCCGTTTGGTTGCTCATCAACTTCGTAGCATTGCTTCCATCGGCGTTCGAAATCCACAATTGAGACCCGGAAGGCGCGATGCGGTTGAAGTAGAAGACGCCCTTCTTGTCGGCGGAAGGAGAGGTACGATTCGTTTCGTTTCCATATTGCGCAAGCTTGTTCTTCCCGATGGACGCATAGGGGCAGTCAGGGCGTGCAGCTGCTTTATCAGCATACGGACATGCTGCAAGACTGGTACCGACACTCAGGCTGAAGGCCACAATAGGAAAGAACCGCATGGCAAGACTTCCTTGTTTGACGCGACAAAAAGGGGAGGGGCAGGTCGGTGGTAGAAAGAGTCTTAAGGCGCCTGTCTTATCAATCAGCGAATCCTAGATCGCTTCGTATTTTGTTCAAAGGAGTCATCCCCAAGCGATGATCTACAAGGTGCAAGGTGTCTTTGACGACCTGTGCGATGGTTCCAAGCCGTAATTCGCCTGTAAATCGATTCGGTATGGTGCTGCTTCGTGAAAATTCTTCAGTGAACAAAATCGATCAAGGCTTTGGGCTCCAAGCAGAAACTCCGTGTTCGAATAGCCGCAGCAGCAGCAGCAGGCTTCACGTCTTCGCGTGACCCCTGAGCAGATCAGCCCATTCTCTTCATCTGTGAACCGCTCAATCTACTCCATTCATCAGCGATGCCATCTTCTTCGCAATCAGCTTGCTGTCAGCAAGCCCCCTGACCGTCGCCCCTATCCAAGGCGTCGTCATCATCATCGTAAGTCAACAAGTCAAGCACATGTCAACGTCTGACACCCTGCTTCTAGAGTACTTACTGTACCTTCTTTTCATCATGCCTCTGCTGCACATGGCTTCCTCAATGGCTTCCTCAATGCCGCCAGCAAGCAAGCAAGCATGCTCCATCGTCATGATAAACGCTTCTCGCTTCACCATTGGGTAAGTTCCTGCAGACAAGATGACGATGATAACGTCTTCCTGAATTCTTGCTGACAGTTCTTCCAGTTGATCCAGATTGTTCCAACCAATGCCAATCATTAAACCAAAGATCTTCGCCGGTCGGTTCAAATCAACGCCGTCGACCTGTTCATCATCGGATCCACAGCTCTTGCTTCCGAGCGAGAGTGTAGGTTCCTACCCCTCGCTGTTTCGGCAGGGGGAGGGATCGGCCTACATGTGTATGAAGATAGCAGGTCCACCGCACCCACCGCAAGATCAAGAAGCTCAAGAAGCCACGCCAACCCACAAGTCCCCGCTTGTACCATGTCTGTTTTGTCGTCTCTGGTTGCTGAGAAGCGGACAGGTTGCCTCGCATAGGTCTTCAGCAATCTCTACCTTGTATCCTCTTGTTGCGGAGGTGCTCGGAAAAGGATTGCCATAGCACCGGAGACAGGCAGTATGGCAAGCACGGATTAGCATTCATCATGACATGAGCAAACTTCCTTCACACTTCCATGTCGGACATACTCGCACACCTTCATACTTCCATCCTAGACATTCTTTTGCTCTACTGCAAGCTGCAGGAGTTCAAAAGCTTTAGAAGATACGCCGCTCCACAAGTCACATGCTTGTACCATGTTCTTCTGTTGTCTCTAATCACCGAGAAGCGGACATATTGTCTTGCACAGGTCTTCTGTAAGCTCTTCCTTGTGTCTCGGTTTCGGAGGTGCTCGGGAAAGGAATGTGGTAGCACTAGAGACAGATAGCATGCGCATGGCTCTTTACCACAACAATTGGTGTAGTCGGCTTCAGAAGATTAATAGCCAAAGTGTCATATTCTAGTTTCCTCGATCGGCTTGTCGTACATATGCAGAACGAGCTGTTGTCCACCACGGACTCGGGCAGATCCTGATGGTGGCTTTTCCCCGCATTTCGGGCCATCAAGGTTGCCATTCGCGAGCGTCCGAGCGCGTTCTGCTCCAGCTTCGCCGGCGCACTCTTCAGCCTGCATCAACAAGACAGTCCGCCTATCAGATCTGCTCTCTGAATATCGCGCACGACAGATCCCATCGCGGCAGTCTTCATCGTTACCAAACAAAGTTTGTTTATCACGCTGACATCACAGTACAAAAGCCTGACGCAAGAAACGAAACAATGCGCATTCGTCGTTGACCGTCTCACTGCTGGACTCCGCAGAGCATGGGCTCCTCGATATCCTTAGCCTTCGTCGTTCTCCACCTACGACACTCTTGTAGTCCGTCGATCTTGTTTTCCGAAGCGACCTTCGATTGAAAAGCCCACACCGTACCCGTACAACGCCTGCCACTCCGCCGCAGCCGTCTCACCACGCGTCCTTCCACCACAGACACCGCCCCCCAAGTCAGTCCAACATCTGCCAGACGCGCCGTCGGCAGCTTGAAGCATATGACATGGCGGCAACGCTGAACAAAGAGATGGAAACATGATATACAAGTTGCGCTTCGCTTGGACTGCTCTTGCAACTCCTTCGTCACCGCCGAACCTCGCGACGACTCAAGGCCTTGGGACAAGCGCATTCAACCCTGACTGACTTCTACCTGCTTGATTGTCTCATCTCCATCGGCATGATCCTCGGCGCAGGGTGATGCTCTTCAGGAGTCGTTGTTCGACGTCGCAATTCCGAACGCTGGACCGCCTGCTCCCCCAGACTCCTACAGCCTGCAAAGCACTTCACGAACGCCGCGCTGTCGCCAGGCGGCGCCGGGAATGAAGAGACAGTACGCGCCATGACATTGCTGTCGGTCCCGAGCGCCTGTCCTACGACGACCTCGCCGGTTCACACGCCCGGACAAAATCAAGAGAAGGAACATGGTACATTTGCTGCAAAATGGAGAGGTACTCTTTGTCACACCACAGCTATCGCTGTGGTTGCCCTGTCCCCTCCTTCGACCTCTCGCAAAGAATACTTCGCTACAACGTGGCTGGCTCTGGCAGGTCCAACACAACTTGAAGCCTCACCACCGGGCGCAATCTGGACATGTTGTCGACTCCGACAGTGCGAACTGCTTTGGTCCTCTTGCTCTTTGATTCAGCTTGCTCCTACGTGCCCGCGCAGCACTCAACAACTAATGATGCAAGTCATGTCCTCGCCGCCTGTCAAACATTTGCCGCTTTGCAGTCTCTTCAGGTCCACCATCCCAATTTTTGTTGTCAACTTGGCCGACGTCACCCACATCTTCCACGCTTGTGCACCCTCGCGCGAAAATTCCCACTTGTCCCTCGTCATCCTGTGCACGACCTCCGTACTCAACCGCTCCCTCTTCTGTCCACAAACCGAATCTGGACTGACGCCGGCTTCACGTTCCAAGCGACCTTTTTGACGAGTAAACCAATTACACAAAGAGGAACTTGATCGGCCAATCACTCATCACGGCTACTGCTCCCCTGCATATCACTACCCTTCCTGTCGCTGATCAGGGCCCGCCGATCAATACTTGAGTGATCTGCTGTTGATCGCAAAGACGCTTCTGTCAACAACTCAAGATCTTGTGCCAATTTGGACCACACGTCACGTCAATGGCTCGTTATCTCCGATCAGATGGCTGCATGCTCTTGAAGCAGACAACGCAACTGCTCAAGGACATTGCGAAAGTCAGGATCTTCACCTCTGCCAACGTTGTGTGCAATGGTCTGTCGGTGGGTACATGACAACACTTGTGATTATTGAGAGGATTTTGGGGATGATACGAGTGGTCGCACTGGTATATAATGAGGTTCTCAGTACCGCCAAGTGGCACATCATCCACATCTTCTCCAGTCTCATCCACTACCATCTCTTCAAATCCAGCCATCCTCACTCAATCAACCGCAACTACTCCTCCAACATGGTTCAATTCACTACTCTTTTGACCGCTGCTTTGGCCGGTGTCTCCTTCGCCGCTCCTCTTGAGAGCCGCGCTTCTTCTTCTCCAGCCGACAACGCAAACAACGTCGTCTGCGGTGCTCTCCTCTCCCCTCTCACTCAAGTCTTCGACTACCAGTCCGGCAATGTTGGTGGTAACGTCGAAGATGTTCTCGCTGCTGCCAACAACATTCTTTCCGAAGCCAAGCTCCCCAAGGATGTTGAGAGCATCTTGTCCAGCGTGACTGGTGGAATTGTCGGATCCGTTACCAACGGTGTCAGCAATATCCTCTACGGTCTTTCTACCGCCGCCGAGAATGTGGACTCCGAGTGCCGTACCAACGCTGCCTACTGCACAAACGAGTTGGGTGCCGCTCGTGCAGCATGCGCTTCTAACCAGAAGGCTCAGGCCCAGGACGGCTGTCTTCAAGCCAAGTACACATGTGCCCGCAACGGTCTTCTCACATCTGACCAAGTCAACAAGATGGCGCCTTGCTGTTCTCAGTACACCGGTTCTGCTGCTGCTGCTGGTTTCTCGTAGAGGTTGAGCTTCTCGATATCATGATTATGACGGGTCCTTGGTTGGTGCTCAAGGTTTTTGGATGGAACATATCTACTGCAGGCAGTGCATTTGGGGGTTTCACGCAGCCTTCGTCGGGCGTTCTCTTGTTCTTTTAGCATCTCGATATGCTAGCTCTGTATCTTCAGACGTGTACAATAAATGATTTGCTCCTGATTCTGAAGTTCATCTCGCGCCCGTTTTCCCCCAAGATCTGCTTGATCGATGCCTGTTCGTCTCCGCTTCGTCGCGCGTCTAGCTATCCCTTCGCTCGGCGACGTCCTTTCGCAAGGTTCAGCCATTGATGTTATCGCTGCCGCGGCCTCCTCTTCCTCCTCTTCTTCGTACACACGTCGTCGTCGCCACCTCTTCCACGTACGAACCACCTCGTCGTCGCCACCTCTTCCACGTACGAACCACCTCGTCGTCGCGATGCCGCCTAAGAAGAAGATACGAACCGAGCATAACCTGCCTCCCCTCGTCGTAAACGATGTCCCCTCGATACCGTCGCCGCTCAAGATTATACAACGAGACGCTCGTGTCTAGTATAGGAAATCCGCCTTAGGTTTTACTTTAGTTCCTCGATATTTTTTCTCCAAATTTAAGTATAGCCTTCTTAGACATTAAACCTAACTATATTAAGAATTTAACGCTATTCTATAAAGGACTACGCTCTATAGAGCGCCTTAAACATAGTAGAATTTTAGGTATAAAGCTTCGCCTATAATAACTACTTCCTAATTAGGATAAGCGCCTATATACTATAATAGGGTCTATCTAGATTTAGTTAAGTATTTCCTTTTATAGTACTACTTAATATAGGTATATAATACTACCTCTACTAGTATATAGACAATATTAGAGATCTTAAATAAAGTATACTTAGTATATAGTACATATTTCTATCTAGGAGAGTTATAGACTATACCTTTACTTACTACTCTAGGTATATAATTCTATCGCTATTTAGCGTCGTATACCTATATTATAGTACGCTAATTAGTCTAACGCTAGTATATAGGCTAGCCCTAGTTTTTTTAGTATAACGCTAAAATGTAACTTACCTACTCTATCTTATAATGCTAAAACGCGCCTATCTCTTCCTCTTTATTACCTACCCTATTATACGACGCTAAAGTACGTCTATCTCCTCCTCTCTATTATACTATAATTATATTACTTAATGTAATAGCGTATCTACTATAATTAAAATATTATCTATCTATAATATACTTTATAATATATATACGAAATACCTATATACTAAAATAGTAACTAATAATGTAGGTCGCTATAAAGCGCCCTAACTCCCTATTAATACATTTAGCTATAACTTTAACAATAATATAATCCTCTTAAATAATCTTTATAATACTAATAAGAGTAACGCATTTAACATTAAGGACATTATATATAAGACTAGCTTATAGAACGCGTCTAACCTCGATTACGTAGTACCCCTTCTAGGTACTATATTATATCTATACGTATATACCCTACTAGTACTAACATATTATAAGTTTAGGAATGTCCCTAGAATAGGATAATAGCTATATTAAAATTAACCTAGCTATCCTTACTAACTACCCTTCCCTATACGCTAACTACTCTTCTATAACGTCGCTAGACTAAGCCCGTTCTATATATTCTCTATAGTCCTTACTAATACTTCTATAAAGCCTATTCTAGTATCTTAGCAAAAACTATATACTCGTCTATCTCTAATACTAGTATATAGTTAGTCCTAACCTATAGGTAGTTATTAGGCACCTTTAGAAATATTATAATATATCCTTTATAGCTAATTACTACTTTATCTTCTATCCTTTTACTAATCTTCCTATTATAAGTCTTAACTCTATTATCCTACTAGAACCTCTATGCCCGCCTATGTCCTACTTAAAGCTACTAACTACTACTTTCTACTACCTTTACTATCTCTAACTCGCCTTAGAACTATATAATTATATTACTATTAACTACTTTACTATAAGGGCGTATTAGAATACTATATACGATAATACTCTACTAATTAGTAGCTAGTCTACGCTAGCTTTTTAATCTAAGTTAAAGAACGATCGCTAGCGTATTTATAAGGTACAATTATTCTCTAGGAACTATAGAGGTAATAGATATTTTATAGTATATAGTCTATACTAGGGTCGTATTAGTAAGACTTTTAAGTAGTCTATAACGTAGGTTATTCTAGACCTTAGTAATATAATCGCTACTAAGTAAAATAGTACTACTACTAATATATAAGTAAACCTTAATAGGTACCTAGACTATATCGCTCCCTAGGACTAGACTAGTTAGTTCTATAGGACTAGATAGGTTAACTACCTTTAACCTTACTAGGACTATAAATAGCTCGCTAAACTTAGTTAACTCCCTCTCTAGATAGAGCCTAAAATGCGCTTAGTTATAACGTTAATAGATCGTATTATAGAATACGCTATATCTAGCCTTAGTACCCTCTTATATAATACCCTTTACCTCCTTAAAGAACTAAAGCTAGACTTGCTAGGTAACTACCCTCTAAAGCGTATATAGAACTATAAGAGCTAAGAATAGGTAGCTAGATTATTCGCCTAGGCTATATATTATACTATCTACTACTACTAGCTACTTAAGGAACACTCTAACGTTATTAGTAAGGTAGAGGATAAAGATGATATTACTATAGATATATTTATTACCTATAACTTTCCCTAGTATAGTCGTATTAAATAAGCCTACTCTATTATTTATAACATTATTAAAGGCAACAATAACCCTACTATACTAGGTCTAGCCTAGGAACGCCTTAATAGATACACCTTACGCCTCGCTATAGAGCTTATTATATAGTACATATATAGGTATTAGTTCTATAGCCTACTCCTCTACTTCCTTACTATTCTTAGTATTAATCTTGTTATAGGCTAGCTACGTACTATACCCTAGTATTCTTCTATGCTTAGCGCCCTTATATACGTCGCTTATATCCTTATAGCTAAGGCGTACCTACCCTAATTATAAAGGCTAATATAGTAGGATATAGAAATTAAAGCATTCCTCTATTATTACTAATCTTACCTCGTTCTTAGTTCCTATAGTCCTATAAGTATTATGTTACGCCTCTTAGGATACGCTAAGCGTATAGCTTACTAAGAACTAATTAGAATGGCTAACCTTACCTAGTAGTCCTATAACTTACTTACTATATTATATTCTAGTAAACCTATTAAACTCTTACTCTTTACTAAAGGTATTTATAAGTTTATCGCTAGCGCTAAGGCCTTACTATAGGAGGACTTACTCTAGACTAAGGACGTTTTAAAGCGCGTAATAATAGATGCCTTATAGATCTATAATAATACTATAGTTAGGAACGTTAGCTACTCTCTTCTCTAACCCTTAATATTACTCGAATCTAAATCCTAGCTCCTTAAGTACCTTACCTATATATTATAAGTAACGCCCTACTAGGCGTTATACGTAATAGTTAATAACTTATCCTCTAGTTAGTAGTAAGCTACGTATTAGAAACCGCTCTACGTTCGACGATACCTTTACTAGATTAATTAGTTCCTTAAAGCCTTACTTATCTATATATACCTTACTAGTAGTTAACTAGTATAAGGCCCTAAGATAACTAGTATATAATAGTAGAATAGCCTAATAGTAGACTATAACCTCTACGTAATCGATAGACTTATTACTATAGTAACCTACTACTATAAAACGTAGTCTTAGTTTAACTATCTAAAGGTTATTCCTAGGTTCTTTCTATACTCTATTAGCTAAATAGTTCTTATATACCTTTACTTCCTTTAACCTTTCTATATACTACTATAGCGATAAGTAACCTAGGACGTACCTATAACTAATATAATGTACCTCTAGAGTAATAGTTCTATTAGTAAGCCTTAGAACTCGACTCGCCTTAGCTATAGTCTTATAGCTATAACTAAGGAGCGTATTAGTGTTAAGCTTAGTATACGTAACTACTAATACGTTACTATTGCTATAGGCTACTAGGTTATTAGTAATACGTTTAACTAAGGTCTTAGTAGAAATTCTAAGTAGGAGAAGGTTAGTTATAAACCTAGTAATAATAAAGGGGACAAATATAATAGCTCTAACGAGGATCCTCTTAAGTTATAGGCTAGGTATACTACTACTATTAGCTATAGTATATACGCCGTTTACGCTAATCTCGTATTAGACTTAAGTTTATGCTCTATCGATATGTTCTATAGTCTAAGCTTATAGTAGTACTCCTTCCTTAGATTAAGCTTATACCCTCTAAAGGTAGTAGCTACGTTACTACCTTCTACGCCTACTACCCCTACTATACTCGTACTATAGCTAGACTATAACTAGTATAACTAAGCGTTACTAGCTCTACCCTATATTACCTCCTATACCCCTAGGTAGTTAGTTATTATCCTACTATTATAGGCTATACCTATAATACTACCTTTACTACTACTATCTAACGCGATATAACCTAGGCTATCTATATTATAGTCTATACCTACTATAAATTAGTAGAGGTATATATTATAAACCCTACCTAACTCTCTTCCTTATACTATCTTATAAGGTGTTATAGAATCTCTATCTATCTTAATACTAGTATAGAAGAGGTTCTATATATAGTAGCTAACATCTACTAGGCCCTCTCTTAGACGTCTACTCTCTAGTAGTAATAATAACTAGATTAGTATCTTATATAGCTAATACTACCCCTCCCTATATACGTAGAATACTAACGCTCCCTTATCTACATTTCCTTAGTTACTATCTCTAGCCTATCTACCTTAGGGTTTGCTACTTAGCTACTACTAAGCTCTTACCTTATCTTTATATAGAACTAGTCTATTATTGTTATAGGACCTATACTAGACCTTTACCTAGTCTACTAGCAACGTTTAATAGGACCCTCTATCTTTACCTTAAGCTAGAGCTAGCGCTACTTAGCTCTCGCTAGACTTACCTCCTATAAAAACACCTAGGACTTACGTCGCCTTATCTATATAGATCTATTAGCGCCTTATACTAGCTCCTAG